TTCATATTTTTTCGGGATTCCCCCAAGGTTCTCAGACTGGACCCATCCTTTTTAACTTGTTTATAAATTATATAGTTAGTGTAGTTTCGGAGTCGCAGTGTCTTTTGTTTGCGGATCATTTGAAGATATTCATGAGGGTTGGATCGCGCGAGGATGCTCTGCTCCTTTAGAGGGACGTGAACAGTGTTTGCATGTGGTCTAAGATTAATATTCTTACGTTCAATGTAAAAAAATGCTGTAGTATTAGCTTTACTCGTTCGTTGAGTATGGTTCACAACCGATTGATGAAGTCGAGATCGAGGCCGTCACTAAAATTAAAGACTTGGGTGTTTGCTTTGATTCTAAACTAAGTTTTGCGACACAGTGGTAAACAGGTCTATGCGAATCCTTGGGTTTGTTGTAAACTCCTTTATATATCTTTGGTTCGCTCTAGACTGTGGTACGGTCTTCATATTATCCCTGCCGTATAGATAACATCGAAGCCGTTCAGAAAGAATTATTAAGATCTTTGGCTTCAAAGGCGCATATTAATATCTACAATAGGTATCAGATCAACTTTGGTATAATAACTAAGGCTAACAAAATTGAGTTTATTCACCCATTACTAGAATGCTGAAAGCGTGTAACTGTTTAACGCTTGATCCTTTTACAGGCAGCCTCCTCTCATTTCGTTCTGATGTGTCCCGTTTGAGTGCTAACACTTAATTCTGTTTATTGTTATTGTTATATTTTGTTCTGGTTTCTGGTTGTTATACTACTGCCTTTCTATCTCTTTGCCGTTAATGTACGTAACAGTTTTGTAAATTGGTTAAACCGTAAACAAATAAATAAATACATAAATAAAAGCTAAAATTAAAAGCCTAGACTACAATCTCACATGCTAAAGAGAAGCTATGTTATGTTATGCTTGCTGGAATCTGATTCCTAATATTAGTAGCGAATAAGTCCAAATGTCCTTATTGACCAGCCGGGTCGCCCTTGCGATGAATGTATTACGTCCGTAGTTGGTACTGTGGTACGGTAAAAAAATGTGCTATTTAGGCGAGTTAATCATATTGGTGCCAAAAATCCAATTTTTGACAGAATGGAGGGACAAAAACAGCAACATCAGGTCGCCTTCAGTTTTCAAGGGCCACATCATCGATGTTAGCCAAGTTATAACTTAAAAACTCTATAGCTAAGGAAAGGGTGCTGAACTTGTTCGTTTCGACGAATATGACATTGATAATCAGGATCCCATAGAGATGAAGCATATTCCCAGTGACGCCGTCTTAATAAAGCCCAACGTTTTATAAGCCTTTGAAATTATGTTGGACATATAATTGGTAAAGGTAAAGTCGCTTTTCCAGAGCATGCCAAGTTCTAATGTTAAATAAATATTGTGCTTTAAACTATTACTTTGTTTTTAATTTTATGCAATTTCATGGGCTATCCTTTGATATATTATTTTTTAAGTATAAGGTTATTCGATTTTTCAATTTTCAACTTTGGTTGATGTGTCTACGAAATTTCGATAAATAATTTGTAAACCAATTTGATTGAGGACCGCCTGAAAAACAATGCCCCATCACTCCCGCAAAATAAACAAAACAAAGGCGCCCTTATATGAGGGAAAGCAATTTAATGCCTCCGCCGTCATCAATCTCGGTATCAGGGCACAGAGGCAGCGCATAAAAAATCTTAATCCCCGGTAGCTGTGCCTGGCCGCGTAGACTTCTATTTCACGTATTCAAAGAATCACGTACCAAGGGCCACCAGAAGCTAATATTCTGACCCTTTACGGCATTTATAGAACCCCAGTCATTTTTTTTAGGCATTGGCAATTTGTACATGAAATTCCCCACCAGGTGAAGCTTGACTAACAAGTCAAACAAGAGAGCAATAAGCAATTGATTTTAATATAATTTATCAAAAAAACTATTTACACATCTTCTGGATTCCTCCTGCATCGGTTCTTCAGAAGTCGACCTGGCTGACGTTTCGCCAATCATCTTGCTGGTTCCTTCAGAGCTTAATTAAAACTGGTTTGCATTATCTGTGCCCAGTCAAACTTAAAATGCAAAAATTAACAGAGACCTTATCACCCAAAAGCAAAATATAATATAGGTATCCCATTTTTTAGCAAATATTACTTTTAGTTTTCAATTAATCATAACCAATAAATATTTGGTTAGTTTTGGTTAGTTTTGGTTAGTTTGACTATCTCAGAGCACACCACTTTTATAGTTTGTTATACATAGTAGATTATTTGCTTTTAGGTTTCCCTATACTTATTACCTTAAAAATTTTGAAAGATGCCGCAATATTTTCAACACTTCGACAATTGTAAGTATGGTAAACAAAGTACGACCCCGGTGAAGTGCGATGCATTGCGATGCGGTTTACTTGTTCTTTCACGTTTCCTTCTAGTTGGCATTGATTTTATCAAAGTGTGACATATTTTTGTTTTTATTTACGTCAAAGGAGTACTGTGATAAGGTTTCGGTGTTTTGAGATTTATAGTACTATGTTAGGAAGGAACTGGTGCATTTTTCGTTTGCCATTCGACTTGATAGAACAACTCTATTTGCTTCCTTTGTTTGACCTCACTAAGATCATCGCAAATGAATTCATGTTACGGGCCCTGTGCCCATTTCTCCTTCCCTAATTGCTAGAGTACCGTGCGTAAGCCTACATCATTTTTTTTTAATTGAACACCCTGTTTTCCGGATTTCCCACAAAATCCAGAAACTTAACTTGCTAAAAATTGACAGTACTTTCAAGTACTTGTTGGTTTTCCAAATTAATAGCACCTCCAATCCGTCCTACTTACGAGCTAAATAACTATTTCGTAATGTTCGATCAGTAGCTTTAAGGCACCCCTGCAGACTCTTACCGCCACGATATCGTTTATCTTATCTGTTGTAATTTTTAATTGATTCAATACAATCACATTTAATTAAGTTCTTTAAAAAATATTTCAGGTTAGAACTGATAACTTCTCATATAATTTGATTTTCAATGTTATTCTTTTTATTTCTACTTTTAATAATTTTCCATTGTTCCATATCACTATCACATTTTTCTATTATACTATATTTAACTTATCAATGTAATTATAACTTCAATTTAGTTTTCAATTTAAACATTTAAGAGGTTAAGTGGAGTGGCTTTTGCTAGACTTCGCCTCTTCTCTACGGTATATTTGTATATAACAATATACAACAATAAAGGCAATTTATTATTATTATTATTATATGTGTTAATACCATATCTTACTCCGATTAGATTGATGTAACATGCTTTATATTTGAGTCCACTCGTTTTTGGCAAAAATTGGATATTTTTACATAATTTCAAAGAGTGACCTGACTGACAAATGAAAATATGTTTATGTTTAACATATTAGTAAACAACGTTGATGGTTGAATTATTGTCATTAAGGTTAAAATGGTTTTTCGCCAATTTGGCATCCGTGAAAGGGGTGATATGCTTGAAGTATACTTTCTGAATAATAAAAGTGCAGCCGCAGTACGTCGTCAGTATGTTAGACATTCTTCAGAGCGCCGTGCTCCTTCAAGACAGATATTTCCAATTCTGGCAAAGAAATTTGCAGAAAACGGTTGTTTTAAATGAAGAAAATAAGGCACAGATATCAGGATTCTATGAAGCACATCCAGTTTCCTGTATTATTATTATGTTATCAATCCACTCACTTTTGAAAGAATTTAAATTTCGTAAAACTCAAAAACTATGTCGAAAGCAATGTCAAAACAGGACGCAGTTTTGTTTGGAGTTTTTAAATAGACATAATGAGAATAATAATTTTTTGAAAAACGTTTTATGTACTGATAAAAGTTAGTTCACTACAAGAAAGGGTTGTAGTAGTAAATTATCCTAGACAAATACACGAAATAAGGGTTAAAGTCTGTTCATAGATATGAAAAAGTGACTAATATGGCCGAACAGGTCCGTATTTTGCTTAGAAATTAATTATTTGGGGTTTATGTATGTATTTATGTTTAAATCTAAAATGAAATTACAAATTATTTTTATTACCTACCAATTACATTTTATTACATACATACATTCATTACATACCAATCAATTAATTTGTCTGTGGTGTCATAGATGGGCATATTTTGGGTCCGATATTTATTGATCAAAAGTTAACCGGAGATCGTTATTTGCAACTCTTAGAGCACCAAATAGAACAGTATACCTTAGGCCGAGAAACGTTAAATTATTTTTTACTTTAGTGTGTTTTGCCATTTTTAGTGTTTTTGTTCTACTTTAATTTGTAAATAATTATTGTTGTAGCAGCCAGTCATGGCACTCTTTGAAATTAGAGAAAAAATTCCTATTTTCGCCGATTTGTCAAAAACGAGTTGACTAAAATATTAAAAATATAAAATAAATAAATATAAAACATATGATGTAGGCTTATATGTCAGAAAAGTGATAGTGTCTTTTGTTTACCTTGATATTTGTAAAAACAAAAAAGTTTCAGCCAATTAAAACGTTAAAAAAATTGAACGCACGGTACATATTTTGCAAAAAACTCTTTTGTTTCGTTTTTCCAACACGAACGTCGTCATCAAGGGGCGTCAACCGCCGATCGCGATCAATGGAAAACCGACTGCCAATACAAACTATACGCACCTCTACCCTATTCACGCACCTGCAATCGTCCCCGATAATAGTTCCTATTCGTTCGGTGATAAAGCTAGGACGAGTTACCTGGACCACTTCCCAGAGTTCGGAAATTCCCGCCGATAAGGCACCCCACCGTAGAAGGCGGGATGGGTACGAAAAACATGGTAGGTTACCGTTCCGGTACAGTTTTTGCGCGAGTACCGACAGGTGAACGTAACAAGTGCGCGGAAACTTTAAATGACGTACTTAAAATACGAGATGAAGTTTGCCAAAAACAGCAACGGCAATGGGATGAAAAAAAGTACGATTTTTTGCGCATCCGAAGTTAAACTGGAGTAGATTGAACGTAATTTTACCGGTTGCAGCGACTTCGATCTGCCCCAGGGGTGCCATGAAGGAGAAGAGCAAAAACGCGGCCCGAAGTAGACGGGAAAAGGAGAACGCGGAGTTTATAGAGCTGGGGAAGATGCTTCCCCTACCAGCAGCGGTGACCACTCAATTGGATAAGGCCTCCGTCATCAGGCTCACCACGTCGTATCTGAAGATGCGCCATGTGTTTCCCGATGGTAAGTTTGTGGCCAGACCCCGATGCCGATTTCACTCCGTGTGATGATTATAATCCCAAACGACGTTAGGCGGATTGTGTTCAATCATAAAAAGAAGATACATTCTCCATAAATATAAGCTGTCATTTGCTAATGGCGGCTGCTTTTTATCACATCCTTTGTTGTTTTCCTAAAGGTATTGTGTATGTATCGTGCGGTTTAAAAAAATAGCTTTGATTTTGAACTTTGTACTTCATTACGTTGCAACAAAGGTGACAGATTTCTGATATGTTGCTGGTGCGATGTGCGAGGTTAGCGCCAAAGAGTGTATTGAAGTTAAGAGGGATTATAGTGAAAAATAATAAAAAATTCAATTGTTCCTCTAGTTTTTTTCTTTCATATTTAGGCCGGGAAATTTTGGCGCTGCCCTCGTATATACAAGCATTTGCTGTTTTTTAAGTAGGTATACTCTGTCTTGTTTTGGCTTTGGTTTTGAATTGTGTATGTGATTTTGTAGGTTGTTCCACAACAAAAGTAAAAGGTTTCTGACATGCTGCTGTTCTATGTCCATATTAGGTATCAAAAATAGTTGTTTGTTGTTGTGCTGCGCAAGTAGATATGCTCTGGCTTGTAACCTGTAAATAAAATTACAGCAACCCCAATTGCAATTGGGAAAATTGAACCAAATCCAACCAAAAAATCAACCAAATATTTTTTATTATATCCTTTGATGTTTTTCTAAAAGTTTTTGTACTCTAAATTTTGAAAGAAGGTTTGGTTTTAATTTTTTTAAATGATTTTGCAGGTTATTTCACATTTCAATTGCAATCGAGGTAAAAGGTTACTGATATGCTGCTGGTATATGTCTATATAGATGTCAATAATGCTTTTTAAGTTGGTGAACTTTGGCTTGCCGGAAACGTCCGGAGTGACTCGGATCCGTGGGAAATGAAATTGACGTGGTAAAATGACACTTTTCACAGGCTAGATTGGTATACAATAAGGTATTTTACAGAAGAGAGTAAAAAAATAAAATTAAAGCAACGCTCCACTTGCAATTGAAAAAATTGAAACAAGTCAATTATCAATCAAAAAGTTTTTGTATTATAAATTTGGAAAAAAGCCTTGCCTTTATTTGTTTTTAATTATTTTGTAGGTTATTTCACATTCCAATTGCAATAAAGGTAAACGATTTCTGATATGTTGCTGTTATGTGTATATAGGTATCAATCATGTTTTTTCAGTTGGCGTACTTTGGTTTGCTGGTTTTTTGCGATATGTAAATAAAAGACCTTCGTTTGATACGCATCACTTCAAAGGACCTCGGTCTTCTTCTTTTAAAGAGATCCCCTCATATAAAATAATTTATTCCGAAGGGACCCCCATCAAACCGTAATCTCGATAAGCGAACCCGAAATAAAATAATTATCAAGACGAATTTTCACGCGCTTTTATTATCAATAGACATTCGGGTGACGCCTAAATTAGGTTTGTCAATACAGCGAAGCGATGGACGATCACTTATCGCGATCTCGGGCCCCCTTTTCAATCCCTCAGATCTAATCATTTGTGGGAATGTTATGCAAAACGGCGTCTTTGGCCGAACACGACGGATCTGTCGATGTGGTGTTGTGTTTGGCCTCTGGGGGTAATTATTTGCGTGAATTTACCTGCAAATCGGAAAAACCCGCAATCCCGAGTTGCAGATGACGCACCATCGGCCGTTTGAAGCTCGACCGGGTGGGTGTTTTCAAGACTTTTAAAATAAGAAATTTCATCTTTACCTTCGATGGACTTTAAAAAAGAAAATATAATAATAAAGAAAAATAACACAACAGAGAAATCACCTTGATGAGGAGCTCATGATAGTATAATCTTTATTTAGCATTATGCTACATAAAAAATACAAATTCTAAATATAAAATATAAAATTCGAAACGACGACAGATTCGCATGAATGTTTGGAGCGAAAGTCCGACTGGCTAGGCACTAAAATATTGTTCACGTCACAATAGCTTTGCTGTTTCACCACAACCTCAAGAACCTTGTCATAAACTGGAACGGTATTAATTGGTCTAAACTCTTGACATACCTTGGTGTTCGGAACCTTCTGTACTCCACTCGTAAGGGAGGTGTTCACAATGTCTGACGCTGACCCTTAATCCGAAGAAATTTATAAAAATTAATCATAAGGGCAAGGGTTATAATTATTTAACAATTAAATTTCAAGTGGGAAAAACAAAACATGATAAAAAATTGGGACTACATATACGTATTACATTTTATTTATAGCAAGTTTTTTGAGTAAAGGAAACAAGGTTTAACAGCACGGCAGGAAAGTCATTTCTGTGTTCGTGGACACTGAAAACCATAATTAATTTGTCTGGTAGATGTAAACACAAGCGCAGTAGTACTAGTATCCGCTTCGTCTGCAGGATTGGGGGACGCGTGGGGAGCTTCGCCCGTGTCCCCTAACCCCCGGGAGTCCCTGCTGAAGGAGGTGGGGTGGTACCTGATGCAGAGCCTCGACGGTTTCATCTTCGTCGTCGGCCAAGACGGCAAGATCATGTACATATCGGAAACGGCGTCGGTCCACCTGGGTCTTTCGCAAGTAATAGTTTTTAATTATTTATTTTGGCAGTGTTTGTTGTATAGCGGCCGTCACACTAACAAGAACTACTTCAAAAATATTAATTAGTCTTAGGATTTATTATTATTTCGTTCATAATCTTCGGTTTGAAAAAGATATCAAGATGAGGTATCACACATACCATTTTGCTATTTTGCTGCAATGTTTGTTAATTTATATAATTTATATATTCCTACTGTTTATACAGTAATGAACGGTCTTTCAATAAAAACTAAAGTTTTTTTCGACGCTGATTCCATCTGTATCAACGGCGACGCTGTAAGACACTCCGTTCCGAGATATGTTTCTTTGCCAAGCCCTTCCGAAAAATTCGATTTCGTCCATTTTTCGGAAGCAACAAGAGTGTTTTTTTAATTAATTGATAATTAATTTAAATTTATAAATAATGCTTATTTTTTTAAACGGTAATGTATCCTTTTTTTTGTATGAGTGGGATTCGGTAGGACTAACTGTATTATTATTTTTATGTTAGAATTCCTTACTATAGGTTTTTGATGTATTTGTGATCAAGGTGTTTTTAAAGTAGAATACTCGTTTGAACACCTGGTATTTACTAAAATGTAAAATGCAAAATATAAAACTATCGAGTTTTTAGACTAACGGAAAAAGAAATGTCCGCAGAGAGTGTTAAATGCCAACTGCCCTATCTTTCCTCTTGCGTCCTTAGCGCGCCCGACGTAACTCGACACCCACTTGATAAAACCTCCATATCGGTTTTTTTTCGCAGGTCGATTTCGTCGAGTCTTACGAATATTGTCCATAACATTCGGCCCTTCCTGACCCATAGAGTGTCCTCACTCTGCGTGTGTGATCTAAAAGGAGAAAAAGCCATCTAAGCCAACGAAATATATGTTTTTTTTTCAAAAATCATTTCACAATCAACAGCAAATCTGGATACAGGTTCTCCGGCAAAATTATACGACCTAGAGGAATTTACCTCATGTAAAATAAAAAACCAATAAACCATAAGCAAAAACAGTAAATAGGGGAAAAACAAAAAAACAATATTATGAAAAATCGCAAAATAGGGGACAAAACAAAGTTTTTAATTGTGGGCCCACGCTATCTAGAGTCTTGGAACGCAGTACCATCTGAAATAATACCAGGTTTTGTTTTCACCCTATTTCAGTATCCAGGCCAGCCAATTCCTCATCTAGCTACTGGAAATATGAGATTTCCAGGACGTAGTACCATCTGAAATAATGCCAGGCTTTATCGCCCTATTTCAGTATCCAGGCCAGGCCATCCCCTCATATTTCCAGTTACTTAACCTAAGCTCACCTTAAGTAACGTTTCATACTAAAATTGTATCCATGGTTTCATATTGTCGATGCCAGCCACACTCAAGTACGGTGTCCTTGATCGTGTCATCCCAGGAATGTCTGTAACCTCATATCGGTCACACCCCAGTACGTTCGAAACCCTGAAAGGACCTCGCCACTTTGGCATCTACTTCTGACTGGCCCCCGTTGCTGGACTAGACGTGATTTTCAATAAAACCAAGTCTCCCTGTTGAAACCTCTTTGGTGCGCACCGCTTCAAATCAAACTGCTCCTTTTGGCGAGCCTGATATTTGGGATAATTATCTCACACTTTTTGACGTAACTTTGACACGTCTATATCGTCCTTAACTAGCGGAGGGTACAACGCAACTTGTCCAGAGACACGACACCCGAGTAAAACTTCACTCGGAGCCGCCCCTGGTGCTTTATTTACTGTTCCATTTAAACCTAACCGAATGTTCGGTACATTGTCATCCCAGCTGTCATCTTCTAAGTTCGCACCCATGGTCGATAAGGAATCCAAAATTGTACGATTGTACCGCTCGACTTGTCCGTTTCCTCGAGGAAGACCCACCGCATTTAGGTAGTGAGCAATTCCGCGTATGTTACAAAACTTTTTAAATCTTTGTGAAATAAATGACGTTCCTCGGTCGCTAATTATTCTCTTAGGAGACCCAAAGAACTTAATCATGCTCGATAACGATTTACCCTCCTGCTGATGAGAACTCTGCTCACTCGTAGACGCAACTGCCAAAGGCGGGGTGTAGCTCCTGCTTTGGGCGGATGATTGACGTCGTTGGATTGCATACACATCACGATCACCACTTCGCGAACGGCTACGAGCACTAGGGGTTATGGGTCGGTCCCTCCGCCGGTCACTAATTGCGCGATGACGATGCATTGTTTTACTCAGGTGTGAGCAGACACGGAGTTGTTATCCCACTCCTGATGTAATAAAGGTGTTTTCAAAGTAGAATAGTCGTTTGAACACTTAGGATTTATTAAAATGTAGAATACAAAATATAAAACTATCGAGTTTTTAGACTAACGGAAAAAGAAATGTCTGCAGAGAGTGTTAAATGCTAACTGCCCCATCTTTCCTCTTGGGTCCTTAGCGCGCCCGACGTAACTCGACACCCACTTGATAAAACCTCCATATCGGTTTTTTTCCCAGGTCGAATTCGTCGAGTCTTACGAATATTGTCGATAACATATTGTATGAAACAAACGAGTAAGTAAACATTTCGCGTTTTTCCAGTTTTCCCAAACGGTCTCCCCACATCGATCGACCAAATTAAAACCGCAGACAGCAAGTTGCCGTCCCACTAATACATATTCGTGTGTTTAGAACCAAAACGGCCGCGTCAACGTTTCGTTATTTATGCCCATCATAAAAATCTCGCCGCTTGTTTAACGAGCAGTAAATTTTTTTTTATTTAAATAAACACAAAACAAAAACGCGCGGCAATAAACCAAAACCAACGACAAACTTATAAACGACCTCAATTTGTTTTAATTTTACGATCAAGCGGCGTCGACGCGCGCCCGCTGGTGTTCCCCGAGGTCCCGTCCCGGGGCCCCTTCTTCGCCGCACCTATTGACGTTTGTCTCCTTGCAGGTGGAACTGACGGGCAACAGTATTTACGAATACATCCACCCCGCCGACCACGACGAGATGACGGCGGTACTGGCGCCGCCGCTTTCGCTTCCGGGGGCGGCGATACACGATTACGAAATCGAGCGTGCGTTTTTCCTGAGGATGAAGTGCGTGTTGGCGAAACGAAACGCCGGCCTTACCAACGGAGGCTACAAGGTAAGTGGCGAACTTCTAAAAAGTGCATGGGTAAATTAACATATAAATTAATTTTTGGAGTCACAAAAAAAACAGAATTGGTTAATGTTTATATATATAATAAAACAAAAAATCTACCAAGAACACGATAATACTTGGAAGAATACCCTAAGATAAATTGGTTTTCAAAAATTGAATACAAGAACAGGCGACATATTATCACTATCACCCCGATGAGAACAGGACATTGCCTCACCAACTTACACCTTTTCGAAACATTGATTACGGAAAATCTTTTGTGTGAATTTTTTGAATGCCCTATCAATAATATCCCTGGATATGATACATATATTATATGCCTATAGCAAAAACTGCAGAAATTTTGATGACATTTCTAAACCTCGACCTGATTAAGTTGCGAAAAATAAAGCATTCCTTTCCCGCCCCATATATGTAACACTAAGATAAACCTCAGATTAAGATTATAAAAAAAAGAAGAAATTTTTTGAAAAAGAAGAAAAGAGGAGGAAAAACTTTCTCGTAAAAAAAAGACAGGCATAACCGCAAGATTGCTCCATCTAACGAGCTGGGGACTGCTACGTACTGTAACATAACTTTTCAAAAAAAATTCCACAGGCTACTGTAATGCAAATCCCCCGGATTTCTCCATAGTTTTAGTATATAAAAAAGGGCATTTAAGAATAGGATACTTATAGTTTTCAGAGCATACAACACTTATAGCATCTCAAATTTTGCCAACCATGAGCATGATGGCTAAGATGTAACTATTTATTTTGTTTTTGTTTGAAATTTGAATGAATAATAAATATCTTGAGCCGATCAGATCTTAGTATAAAACGCTTATATTTAAAGGTTGCGGTATACGAGGTGTGTTTAAAAAGTAAGTCGGCTTTTAAGTTTTCTCAAAAAGTGTTTATTTATTTATCAAAATTAATGTTGTCTCGTTCAAAGTAATCCCCCTTCCAGATGTAAAACGTCTTTTCTACTCCTCGAAGCACTTTCTGGTATAGCCTTGAGTTCTTCCAGTGATTTTTTTTTCCTTCCTTTTATGGGTTTCTTGAGTTTTGGGAACAGGAAAAAATCGCAAGGGGTCATATCTGGTGGCTGAGGCATGAATTGTTTTCCCGGACGATTTCTTCGTATTGCTTCTCGCAAATGGCGCATATCAGGACGTCGTCTAATAGCTGTTAAGCGATGCCCTTTCGACTGTCCTTTTGTTCAAAATGAAGCAGTTTCATATGTTCCAAAATAACAAAAAATATATCGAAGTTCGAACATAGGCCGCCCAATTACAAAAATCAACTTACTTTTTGAACACACCTCGTATATTATAGATCGTTTTGTTTATACATATCAATTCAAGCTTGAAGTCTGCTGGTAGTCTCATGGCGTTTTTTTTTCCTGGAATTGTTGAACCTTTCTAGCTTCAAAAGCCTTATTAATGAGAGCAGTTGAGAAGTAATTTACATATAAATATTTCCAGGCACGTCATCAAACTTATAAAGCTTTATTTGCTTGCCTTACCGGTCTAAGGTTTTCAATTAAACTTATCTTTATCGCATCTTCATTATTAGCATATTATTAATTACACATGCGAAAGTGGCGGAACTCCCCCTTTGAAAACGAAAATGAATGTCTAAATTATAAGAATCTCCTAATGTGTATATATCGATTGATCTCTGTACAATTATAGAATTGAAACTAGGAGGGCAGTTCCTTCTCACCTAAATTAAAATGTATGCCAATACAATCATCAGTGTAGTTCTTGGTCCCCCCACTTTTAACTGTGAACGAGTGACCAAAAATTGCCGATATCGAACAAACGTGACCGTCTCGACAATCCGGATCTTAACCCACAGAAAAATCGGTACTAACAAGTTTGGTAAAGGGCCTGACTCGCCATATCCCAGTAATGTATGCTGGGCGCATTCTGGGCAAGTAGGTCGCGAGGGTTGCGGATAAATCTGGTGACCCTTGCATTGTGTTCGATAAAATCGATATATAAGCTTCATGACTGAAATGAGCTCATGCTCCTAACCTAACCTAAACCTATGTAATTCACCTCATGGTGAATTACATAGGTTTAGGTTTGGGTTTATTTAATTAACCACAGTATACAAAATGTATGTGTAGCATGTCAAAAAAAAAAAAAAGAACAAATACATATGAGGATAAAAAATGTGTGAATAAAAGTACAAAACACACGAAGCAAACTTGCAAAAGTGACAGGTTTAAAATTTGAAATTTAGTACTGCAAAAACAGTGTATTGTCCGTAGATTCTTGAGAGCTCTCTTAAAAGAATTGTTTAATTCAGGATATCTCCGAAATTTCTTAATTTAAGGTAATTTAACATTATTAGAAAACCTGAGGAAAAGTTTTCCTGAGTCTTCTAGGCGTAAAGTGAGAGAAGCTACTGAATATCTAACTATTTAATCGACTTAAAATTTCAAATTTCAACAATCTTGAAGTTTCAAATCCTAGTTTATATTGAGCACTCGATAGTTTCAAATTAAATTGCTAGAGGGCGTAATTTGCAATAATCGAAAAATAGATGTAATTTGCAAGAAAAATATGAATAGCACAGTTAACGCTTTACTTTGAGCAAATGATTAGTTTTAATAGTAATTTTATTGTTGTAAAGTCTTTTCATTACAACTAATTGTTACCAAACCTACGGTTTCTTGGAAATATGTAAATATTGGTGTCGTCTTTTAAGCAGGTGCCATGATTTAATTGGAAGCTAGGAAACTCGACCAAGCGAACTTGCAAATTGGTTATCAACTGCCGTGTCGACATCCACTAGAAAACCTAATTGCAGTGAAAAGTGTCTCGTTTCCCATGTAAATCCGTGCGTGTATGTACTCGTGGCTAATCAAGCGCACATATGCACGCGCATGTATGGAAACTTCCAATTATTACACTCGTTTCGGTTGAAAAGTTTTGAATTTGATCTACACGCAACTGCTCCCGAAAACGCCACCTACCGATTTTTAAAAGTTTTCCGCAAAACACATTTGAGTTTACGTTAAGTTTAATGTATCCATACACGTGCATTCCAAGCCGCTGGAAAAAAGACTGCCATAACGATCGACCGAACAGCCTATATAATGACTTTTAAAAATAACAATGAGTGATTTCCGTGAGTTCAAGTGTCCCTCCCGTGCAGTTTTAGCAGACCTTTCATCGTTAAAATGTACGCATGTTCCAGGTGATACACTACTCGGGGTACCTCAAGGTGCGGCACTTCGGCACCGGTGGCGGCGGCCCATACGATACCGCCTGCTGCCAAAACGTCAGCCTGGTAGCCGTGGGTCACTCGTTACCGCCCAGCGCCATTACCGAAATCAAACTGTACACGAACATGTTCATGTTCCGCGCCAGCCTGGACCTGAAGCTCATCTTCTTGGACGCCAAGTAAGCGGCGCAGTCGCGGTAGGATTGGATCGAGCGTCGTATATATAAGGCGCTAACCCCTCGATATAACGTATTAAGTTACCGCTACCCTCGTTTAACCACTTTGTATCACAAAACGGGGCACTTGCGTATTAATTTCTTTGTCAACACGGCACGTGATGCGGGAGAGGGGGGGGGGGAGACAATAGCTAACGGATAACGTTTCGCGATTGTTTTTTATTCTTCGGTTTCAGGGTGGCGCAGTTGACAGGGTACGAGGCCCAAGACCTCATCGAGAGGACCCTCTACCATTACATCCACGGAAGCGACATCTTCAATATGAGATACTCACATCACCAACGTGAGTATATGCGGATCTGTCCTCCCGTAAAATATACTCGTTATCGTTGCCTTTAAGTGAAGATCAAGGGAGTGCGCGATATAAATAAAAAAAACACCATAGTTCGTCCTCTGGTCAATTCTTGCTCTCTTCACTTTGAATACATAAGTTTTGACTGTCTGTACGGCCTATATCGTCGTATAAAACAAATCGACTACCGAGTCACAGCGTTCTAGTTATAACCAATTTTTATTAAAAGAGGGGCCCGATTTTCAATTTTTTGCGAATTCCCTACACACCCTGTATTTTTTTGAAAATTACCAAGAATGAAAATTTCTAGCACTAGATCTTGCGGATCTTTTTGTCCGATAAACGGCATAAAATATTTCCTATACCCTCGCAAACGAGATTTTGTATTCTTTTTAAAATATTTTCCGTTACCGAGACATGAAATTTTTGTACGAGCGTTGATACTTTCGAAAAATTCCGTGAGAGGATTATTTAACAGCTAGCCAATATACCTGCTAACGACTTTAAAATTCAACGAGACCATTTGCGGAAAAGGTGTTGATCTCCCTTTTAAGTAAAATTTGAAATGGCTGTGTTGTGAAAATTACAAATTATTAGGTTATTGAATTTTATTCCTTAAACAAAGCTTGCTATTACACCAATCTTGAATTTTAATTTTGGTTATTCGAGCCCACAATGCAAAAAATATCTATGCAGTACACCCGATTAAACGGCATTCGACTTACGAATTTTCGTCGCTATTAAACCTATTCGTTAATCGTTCCGTTTGGTTCTGCTATTGTTGTCTCATTTTAACTGTGTACGTTAGACAGAGAGAGATATATTATTGGATATGTCATATGAACAACGGAATAAACACATTGTTAATACGTTGTTATTTATTTAATATTACAATTGATCATTAAGTAGTTCATTTAAAGAAAAAGTCTGTAATAAGCAAGAAGAAGCAGGTCCAAACCTTTTTTTGTTTTGTTCGTACTGATGAGACATGTATATTTGAAAATCGTACAATTGGTCTTAACAAGATTTGTGGGAAACTTAAATTATAAATGTCACTTTACTTACCGACTATTTCACTAGATTTTAATTGTAGCTTATAGCACGTAGTATTTAAATTGTCTGATATATTGCATAACATTTTTCTGTGTATTAGTTTTTGGGTCCGACGTGGAAACGAAACTGACGCGGTAAAGTGACGCTTGCCGCACGCTAGATCGGTAATTAGGCATTTTACAGACGGGAGTAGAAAAATTTCGTTAAAACTGCCACAATACGTTCCGAATTTAAATATATTCAGTACTTCGTCTAGGGTTAATCTCGCTTGGAACACTTAAAAAAAAAGAAAAAATTTTTTTATTTTTGGAAGAAGTCCCCATACGGCAAACAAACAAGGAAAACACAGACGGGAAACCAAGCGGGCAAACTAATAAAAGAAACACAAAACCATTAGTATTAACTACTTGTTTTCGCTGGTTAAACAATACCACATGTTCGCTTTCGATTACCCCACCATCGATGCCGACGTAAAGTGCCGGCAATAATCGAAATCATTGTCGGGAAGCGGCAGGAGGACCCTAATCTCGGCCGGTCTTCCCCGGCCATATAAACACCACGGAAAACCCCGTAATCTTAATAAATAACAGCATCGATAAATGGCCATTTCAATATATCTTGAACGGGCTTTCGCTTCCGATCCGGCTATTGTTATTTAAATGAAATTTATTAGAGAATTTAGTGCCGAAAGTAATTTTCTTGGTCTTACTCTTATATTCAAAACGTCTCGTGTGATAAGAGAAAAATTAGTATAGTGCCACAAGTGGGGTAAACGGCATTTGACGCACGAGTGACATCCATGTCTTTAGAGTTTACCAAACGTGTTACATATTATACTTTTTCTACGACCGACACGAAAAAATCACAATTATTTAGTTATCTTTTACAAATGAACATTCAGTAGTTTATTTAAAGAAAAAGACAGTAATTGGAAGAAAAATCTTCCAAGAATAGAGCGTGCAAGAGGATTAAATTTTTAAGATCGTACAATCAAGAAAAACCAGGTCCCAACCTTTCAATTTTGTTTTGTTTGTATTGATGAGGCATGGATATTTGAAAATGGTACAATTGGTCTTATAAAAACTGTAAAAACAACTAAACAAGAAACTTAAATTATAAATATCAGTTTACTTACCGACTAGTCCACTAGATTTTAATTGTAGCTGTAACACGTAGTATTCGCATATTAGTTTTTGCAAAAAAAACGCGAAATACATTCACTGACATGATCGTCAGAATTGGACAAACGTCAAAATTCAAACCGTGCGAAAATATCCGATTGCTCCCAAAGCCGTGCGGTAAAATCCCGGAAATGTCCGAAGTGGCTCGGATCCGTGGTAAACGAAACTGACGTGGTAAAGTGACGCTTCCCGCACGCTAGATCGGTGTGTAATTAGGCATTTTACAGACGGGAGTAGAAAAAAGCATTTTATATTTTTTTAATTTAATAGCAAAACTTATTTTGTACAATTCTGTACAAAATATGCATTTTGTACAGAATTGACTACGCCTCACGGCGATATAAAGTTGGTTAAATTAGTAAAGTAGTACAATATAACTCTGTTTTTCATGGTAGACCCTATTGGAAAAAGTAAATATCGATACCAAGTTCCTTTTTTTTTTTAATTTTGAACATTTTGAATTCCGTGTCAAATTTGACGCATAATTCATATAGCCCAACCCTATGTCATTAATTTTCATTATTTCGTATCTAATTGTAAATTTTAAATCATCCAAATTTTGTTTTTTCCTATTTTCGAAAAATCTCTTCTGGATTTTGTTTTCAGGTAGATATTAACTAATCTTTTTAATCTTAATTATTCTTTACCGGCTGAACACGTTGTACATGAGATATTCTTTTTTTATGTTCGATATCTTAAATCACCGTCATGAACTTTGCTAATTTAAAATAATAACAATAGTAATAAAAAACGTAGTAATAACGAGCACGTAATTTGGCACATCGCGGTTTTCTAACCAAAACAATTTCCGACTTCACAAACTGTGATGCTTTAAATTGTAACTTGAAAGCGAACAATTTTAATACATACATATGTGTATATAAAAAATTTCTACTTTTTTCTGCTTATTTATAGGAAACGTAAGTATATTAAGTACAATTTTTTCGCTCGCCCTACGCCGCTGGCAAGGGGCCCTCAAACCGCTAAGCCTGTCGCCTGGCGCATCCACCAGAACGAGTGCTTTTACAAGATTACAAACCGGAAACGTATTCAATAACTAAAACAAATAGGGCGGACGGGAACGGATGGATTTTACGAGGGGGTTTAGTGTTATGAATGCCTACAATAATAGGCGATTTTTGCGAGGGATAATGGCACATTGACACCCCCGGGCGTTGTTCACGTTTTAATTTGAGCGAAATTTGAAAACCGTTTTTTGAAATTGAATTGTTTGAATAGTTTAAATAATATCATTTTCGTTCGCAAATCGTTCGTTCTAAATAACCGTGTGTTTCCTTTTTGACGTCGAAAGGGCAGTAGGGGAACAGAAGGCATAATGGTACCGTTAAAGTTATTGCCGGGATTAAAAAAGATGAACAACACTTTTGATAAACTAAACTTATATTTCGGTAACATAGTATGTTTCCTTTCACTATCGTATTAAACATAAATGAAAATAAACCAGTACGGTTTATTAAAATCAATAAATGATAAAACTACACTTGCTCCATTTTGCCTTCAACGGCATCCGCATGCAAAACGTTTCGTCTACGTTATCTGGTGTTAGGTTAGCTTCAACTAAAAGTGAAAAGAAGCTGCTAACAGAAACCCGATTAAACCATTCAGCTCTTACAGCTGAAGTCGGGATTCCGTGTTAACATCCTTGTACTTGGGTCAAAGTTATGCTGAATTCGTCAAATCGTATGCCGAAGATCTCAAATCTTTTGTTGACAAAACCAAAGAATCCTGGTTTTTATTAAATACCGTATCAAATCTCAACATTTTCTTCGCTGTTGCTGTATCAATATCTTGATGGTTTTCGTTGAATAGCTCAAGCCTTTCTAAGCCCCATAGCCTAATGTTTGTTTAAAAGAAGAAAAGACAAAATGAATTGTTTAGAAAAATGGTCTAAATGGTCCATTTTGCCTTTTTGCTATATTCTAGAAAACGTGCCGATCTGGAAATTAGGTATGTCAACATAGAACATGAAGCTACTATTTTGCCCTCATTAGAGGTAATAAGTACTGGCATTCAAACGTTGTTTCATTTTTATATTAATTTCTACCAAATATAGCTTACCTTGCTACTTTCAAAAAACCGATAAAAATCGATTATTTTCGAAAGTATACGCGCTCCTCACTAAACTCCAGATCTCGGTAACGGTAGGTCCTAGAAGAAAAAAAAAAAAAGAAGAAAAAAAAAATGTTTTTGTCTGTCAGTTCTCCGTTCTCTGTTGTAGGGGTGTAAAAATGGCTGCGTTCAAGCCTCGGTGTCCATTTTTTTTTATTTTCGGCTGTTTTGTGGACGTTGCTATGAAACACAGTGTCCGAAATTTGAAGCTATCGACTTCAAATTTTTCAGCTAAATAGCGTTTGGTTACCTATTGAAATTTGAGGGGGGGGGGGGGGGGTCGGTAATTATTTAAAAAGAAACTAAAAATCGCGTTTGCATTGTCTAAGAAAAAAATCATTTCTCCAAAACCGTTAATGCAACCAAAAAAACTCTTGAACGAAAAGGCGCACAATATTTGGCTCCATAAACTTTTTTTCTTCATAATTTTCCAAAATGTACAGAGCGGGCAGCATATTCAAAAAAACTGAAAAATGGGCCCCTTAACATTGAAAATTGGATACAACTAAAAGACTGTATCTCAGATCCTAGTTTCTTTTATATGACGATATAGCCCTTTCACCTATTGTAAAGGGTGTTCCCGATATCGACTTCAAATTTAGCAGAAAAGTAAAAGTCCTTGCCCACATTTGAACAGTAGAAATTGAAGGCATCAAATGTCACCAAGTATTTTTTCTTAATTTTGATTTTTTTTTGTTATATTGATCGTTCAAAATTATCTAAGCAGCAAACGCGGAGATACAGCGCCACAACATTTATTGCAGTCATTTTTTCGATTATATTCAGAGTTTTCCAAGTATAGACAAAAATCTAAAAAAAAACAAACTGAAAATTGTTGTTTTCCCAAGAAAAATTCTTAACCACAAATCAAAAATCGTAAAAAATATGGCTAATCGGTTCAAACAGTGTTATAGGCCTATAGGGCTACCATTTTTGTATTTGCGGTTTTCGTCTGACACACGCTGCTCGAGATATTTGAAAAAATCCATATGAAAATCAGGCCAGACGCGATGACGTCATTGATTATTACGCTGCACTGCATAGTTCCAGAAAAAACTTATTTTCTCGAGAACCATGGACTATTTTGGAAAAAATCTTGGACCAGCAAACGTGGAAGATTCAGGACTATAACTTCCATTTCCGGATTGTTTTCAAATATGTACAGGGCGTGTCGATTAAGGGTAAAAAAATCTAAAAGACTCTGAAAATTGCCGTTTGAGTGGATAAATTGGAAAAATAATAAATTGTGGAAAAATGAAACATGGGATATTTGGTTTAAACAGTCTCGAATATTGTGTGGAAAGAGAGAGAGAGAGTTTCAGGTTTCGTCTATCATAGAGGGTGCGCGAGATACTTGGAATAATATCGTTGGAAATCGTTATTACTTGTACAATTTTTCATATTTATCAAAGTTTAAAATTCGGCGGAAAAATAATGCGTCTCTCTAGCACAAGAAACCGCGAAACGGCTTTCTTTTGAAATACAAAGCTGCTTCAGTGAATGGTGCGAATAGTATTTAGAGAATTTTAAAGGACAGTCGTAAGACTGTAGGGTGCGTTATGCCTCCCCTTCTTGTTTAATATCTGTTATATTTTATATCGACTCGAATAATGATAATATTTCAACGGTACAGTACTATACAAGGGTCAAGTGACTACGAAGTACTACCGGTTCCTCTGCAAAGGCGGAGGCTGGGTCTGGATGCAGAGCTACGCCACCATTGTGCACAACTCCAGGTCGTCAAGACCGCACTGCATCGTCTCCATTAACCACGTGCTGAGGTAATCCCCCACTACCACCTAATCCCCCATTGCGCGCTAACGGGCCGATAAACATTCCAGCGATATCGAAGCCAAAGACTTGATCATCAACCTAAGTCAAGGCAGCCCCAAAGAGGAGCTTCCAGCGTCCCCCCAAGAAAGTCACTCACCGTTGGCGACCAAGTATCACCCTTCGCCGCAACCCGCACGACTTTTACCCCCTTCCATACCTGACGACCATTTCAGCGACTCGAACAGTACGCATTTCGGGTCGACGCTAGATTATCCCGGCCCGGCGTACCTTCACGGCGTTACCGACGAATCCAACGCCTACTACCACCATCCGGAGTATTTCTACAATGGGTACACCGATCCTGAGCAGTACCCGGTACTCACGGGGTCGGTAGCGTCGCAGAGCAGGCCATACAGCGCGTCATCCAGCAGTTGCAGCTCGGTGGAGAACGACAACAACATGCACTTGCACCAGGTGCACGCGCCCGGGTACTCTTCGGAAACGGTGTCCAGTTTCAATCTAAGTGGATGTTTTAATAATAACCCCGCCACGTGGCACGGCGCTCAGCACGAGTTTAAACACCAGCTGCCCAACAGGCCAGAGCACAACGCGGCCTACGCCAGCGTCATCGTCGACACTCAGCAGTACCAGTTGGCGAACGAATACGTACATTGATGAGGTGATTTTTTTTAAATTGCACAAACCAAAGTTTTCTTACTGTGAGGCTGAGACTTGGATTTAAAATTGACACGTGTCTGTGAGGAAGATTTCCGAAAGCGACGAAATTTGATATAGGTACCACGTAAGCGACGTTGCCGCGCTTGTAAATATATTTGATCCCGAGAATGTGTCGTGCCATTTCATAGATATACTTAGGAAAATCATATCACTCAATCCTTTGTTTATTTTTTTCTTCGTTTGTAAAAAGTTTTTATTATATTTTTTCGCGAGCGCACCCAAAAATGTCCCACATAGTTTATTAATTAGATATTAAATACGATGTAGATATAACTGACAATAATGTTTGAGACTGTGAACCTTGTGCGTGTAAAACTGTATATATACATTATTTCGGCAAAACGGTTTTTATGTACTATGATTTTTAGTTGTTTTGTAGAATTAAATTTGTTGTTATATTTATTTAAAACGTGTTTCGATATTATATCCCCGCCTCCTTTTCGACGAGAAGCCACTTAGGCATACATAGATAAAAATAAATTTAAAAGTAATATAACTCAGTTTGGTATGGCAAAAAACTACAATTGAGAGGTGAAAGTTCTCATTTGCTGATTTGTGGTCGTATAAATAAAAGGCTTTTCCATATATTTACATATAAATTTGAACTTTAATTTTAAAAGTTTACTGGGTCATTGATAGTTCGGGCCACAAGACCAAAGAAGAAGACGGAAGGGGCGATTTTGTAGGTTAAATAAATCAAAATAAATACTTTATCCAGTATGTTTGGGATGTTCGGGAACGATGACGACGACGATTTTAGTCCATCTCCCAGGTAGATTTCGAAAACTAAATAAAGGGAGTGCGCGGAAGTGTTTTTTGCATTTCCAGTTCAAAGTTGTCGTCTCTCTTCAACTCTAGCGGTACCCCAGACGATTTAAATAGTAATTCTTTAATATACAAAGCCCCAAGACAACCTAAAGCTAAACCAGAGACCGATCACGTTGATAATTCGAAAGACAACAGGACGCCGTCGTCAGTTATCTTGGCAAAAGTTATTACCTTGTGGACTATGTAAGTTAAAAACGAAAGTTTTGGAAATTTTGGCCATATATTCGACACACATATTGACATAAATTTGACTATGCCACTAAATTGTCTTTTTTTTTCATGTTTATGTAATTTTGGTGCTTTCTATTGGTATACAATTGCGTATCCAGTGATTTAGTCCATAGCCTCAAAGTTGCATTCTTTTTGTTTTGCTTTCAACTTCGACAGGCCATGCGGTATAAACTAAAAATTTTTCTTGACAATTCGTTGCAGCGAATCCAATAAACAGAAACATTTAGGTAAGCACATCATCGCGATCATCGGGTGCCCCCTCAAAAACGTATTCGAGGCAATCATTTACAAGGAGAAAAATAACATTCTGCTGCGGAGGCTTCTGAACGAGACCTGCCAATGGCACAAATACCCGAACAATTTCGTCTCGTTTTACCACAACGACAACCAATTTTGGACGTTGAGTTTCGATCACACCCACGACAGGGACGGGTTTTTAGGTGAGGTGTCTAAACACAATTGTCCTGTAGTGGACAAGAGTACCACAGTGCCTAGCGAACCATCGCAACCACAGCTGGTGGGAAATAATGGCAATTCCGATAGCGAATTATCAAAAACCAAAGCTGATATCTTATCGAGGATTACCAAAATGGGGCAACAGATATTGCCGGAGAGCGCGTTGCAGCAAACGACTGGCACCGAGTATTCCGACTCGGAAACCGAAGATTTGCCCATAAAAAAACCCGTAACCACCCCCAGGAAGTCGAAAAGGAGCAGCCACCAAGAGAAATTAGATGTTGCTCAGATAGTAACGCCTGGCAGCCAAATCGCGTTCAGTCACCCGCAGGGCGGAGCTTATCCCCACCCGTACGCCGACTTTGGTTACGTCGGGTACTTGGCTGCGCAAAACGCCGATTTAAAGACGAATTTAGCCGAAATAAATTACAAATTAAATCGCGTTTTGAACAACGGAAAGGATTGCGGCGACGAGGACGTGGCGAAATTAAAATCGGAAATCAAAATTCTAAAATTAAAGATCGAAAATGTTAATTCGGAATTGGAAGGGTGCGAGAAGAAGTGCAACACACTAAGGGAGGAGTACGACCGTAAATGCGAGGAAGTGCGGGACCTCGGGGACCGACTTAAATGGGATAAGGACGAGAAAAAATCAGAGGCGGAACATCTGGAACGAGAGCTTGAGATTGCGAAAAGGGAGATTGAAAATAGGGACGAGGTTGTTCGGGAGCAAAATTTAAAATTGGAGGAGTTAGAAGGTATAAGTCGAGAGCATCGGCGGTGCAGGGACGAGATCCAGTCCCTAAATGATCAGATTTTGGAGCTTCGAAGCGATACGAAGGAGAAAAGCGATAACCAAGAAGTGGGGAAGGTGATCAGGAAAAGTATGAATGAAGCGTTTGCAGGAATAATGGAAAATTTTCGGGAAGATATTTCGTATAGTTCTGAAGCGATACGGCTGGTCGTATTGCAACAGCTGAAGAAAACCACTTTCGATATTGTAGCAGGGCTCAAGTAGGGCAGGTACAAAGAAAAACGTTTCTTTCAAAACGGGTTTTAATTATCCCTAAAACGCTCCTAAGGCTTCCACAGCCTCACCAATCCGTCTTCGCTGTAAGTACACAACAAATTCGAGTGCGGATGATGCGCTATACCGATGACGTCCTTCTCGTGTACCTGCAACGTTTGCACTGTGACGACGGCACGTTAGCCACGCCCCATCGCGACTTACGTTCAAAGTCCGTTCCAATTTACCGGATACGGTGGAAAAACAGTAGAGCACCAAGTCCTCCCCCACGCAGTATATCCAATCTCCTCGCGGCGACACCGTCGAACACACGAAGTCCCCGCCCTCCCTTTTCCCGCTCGCGAATGACCTGACGATCTAAAAATTGCGCGAGAGAAGAATGGATATTAACCTATTTCCTTTTTTCCTTCTAATTTTTTCCTAAGACATTAATTTTTTGCTCTAAGGGAATTACCACATTAATTATTCCTTTGCGAAAGTTTGTAAACAATTTAGAGTACTAACCTGGCCTTGAATGTTAACGATGACGACGGTGTTGCTACGATTGCACACGACAAAATGTTCGGGATTTTTCGCGAAATTGTGGATATTATTTACGGTGCAATCGGCCGGACCCAACGATTTAAAGGTGTTCACGCATTCGGTGGTTTTTATGCTCCAAACTTTTACGGTACCGTCGGAAGAAGCGCTGAAAAAATAAGGAAAAAATTAATATGCATTAATTAAAAAGAAGAAAAAATAACAAACCAAATACCTGAGGATGTTGTGACCGTCTAGGGTAAAAATAACCTCGTTTACGAAGGACGTGTGGCCCCTGAACTCTTTTAGGGTCTTACCGGACTTTAACCCGTGGATCCTGATGGAATGGTCAAATGAGGCGCTTAAAACCTGAGTGTTGTCCCGTGAAAATTGCAGACAAGTAATTCCCTTGGAATGAGCCTTTTCTATTTTTTTCAAGCACGCCCCCGTACTGATTCTCCACACTTTTACTCGGCCAGCTTGTGAGCCGGTTACCAACATCTCGCTGTCCCTCGAAAACGCCATACAGAGTACCGCGTGTTCCATCATCATGAATTTCTCCTGAAAACGGATATAACAGCCCCGCGTCCCTTGGAAACGTGCAAACACTCTCTCACTAGCGCCTGATACTTCAAATCTTTACGAATCTTGCCCGTGGTGAAGTTCCAAACTTCGATAATACCATCCACGCTCCCGGTCACCAAATATTGACCGTCGGGCGAAAATCTCGCGCATTCCACGTGGGACTTTTGGCCAAACTTTATCTGTTTCGCCATCTGCGTGGGGAAGGTCTCCTCTTCCTGTTCCCTGACCGCCGCTTTTCCTCGGAACAAATCGATGGTCGTACCAGGGGGTAACAGCCCTTGGTGCTGCTGCCATTTCAAAGCTTGGCCCAGTAAAGCTAGTAAACGTGAGGACGGTACGACTGAGACTTCGCCGGAAAGGGCATGCGCGATCGCGGCCCGTCTCTTTTCCTTGCTGCTACCATCGGCGTAGGCTTCTCTCGGGTCGAAATATGAACGGGCCAGTAGATTTTCTGGACATTAATTTTCCGACATTAAATAACTCACGACAAAATGATAATTGTACAAATTTTTAAGAAATCCTAGTAATAAGATTTAATTTAGCTTTATTACATTTTCTGATATGCAAGAAATTATGTCTCTGTTTGCATCTCTCCAAATAATCACTTGAAATAAATAAATGATTAAGAACTTACCTAAATGTATATATCTTTCTGGCTCATTCTGCTTGAGCATTATCATTGGATCAGTCTGGCGCAAAAGTGATCTCGCAGCCCCTAATTCCCTAAGTTCGATCAGTTCAAGAACAATCTAGAATATCAGAACATAATAGAAGAGTCAATAGTAACATATGGTACCGATGAACCTGTTCATATAAGTCAATTAACTTTTTATCTGGTAATTTAAGGGACTGTATTGCTTTTAGCACTGTATCCCAATGACCATTATTTATATCGGCGCAAAAACCATCCACACTATCCACCGTATTCAGCGTAACGCCGGTTTCTTCCTAGATAAATAAAATCACTTACGAAATGCTCAAAAACATATAAGTCTAGTTTATTTACCTGAAGCGTATGCAAAGTCCTAAAGAGATTCGCTTCTTTTAAATACTGTTGAATTAAGCGAATTACGCTAAAACAAGGATTATTACAAACTTCTCCAATTATAAACCAAGAGTGAACTTACTCTGCTGATTCTATTTCTATAGACATTTTCTTTAACTCTATAAACAATAACACAAAATTTTAGTAGTTATTGGTTGGTTTGACAATCTATGTTCTTATTTTTTGAGAATCTTTTATCCCGGACAAACTTCTTCCTCTTTTTTACGTTATCCAACTGCCTCGAACCATTGACCACTGCCAGTGGTCAGTGAACATTGTTGAGGTTATGTTTGTATGAAAAAATAGTGAAATGTTATCCAGACAGTTAAATAAATCATTTTTCCAGGTAATGCAATCCTTTACTTTTTTTGAAACGTACCACTAATTTGAAGCTTTCCATTAAGCATCAGGGAATCGCTGCCTTTTGTAGACAGGTTATAAGCCGGCAGAAGTCTTACACCCCTATTAACACTGTCGTTATGTTCGTACCTCAGCAAGAGGTAAGCTTTAGACTATAGCCATTTGTTTTTTTCACCACCTATAATGGTAGGCGTGGATAGTGGAACGAATGGGAAAGTTTCACAGAATATTGGACCCCGGATTAAACCTGCTTATTCCCATCATAGACCGGGTAAAATATGTTCAAAGCTTGAAAGAAATTGCGGTAGATATACCTAAGCAGAGCGCCATAACTTCCGATAATGTTACGTTAAGTATCGATGGTATATTGTACCTACGTATAATAGATGCTTACCTAGCAAGTTATGGTGTAGAGGATCCCGAATTTGCAATTACCCAACTTGCACAGGTAATCCCATATGCTTGGGGCTTCTGCTTGTTTCGCTCTTGACGAAATACCCAGAAGCTCCACCATAGAATCCCCAAATGAGTAAATTTGTAGACTACCATGAGATCAGAACTGGGAAAAATATCCCTGGACAAAGTATTTAGAGAACGTGAGAATCTAAACGTCTCCATCGTCGACTCGATTAATAAAGCGAGTGAGGCGTGGGGCATGACGTGTCTGCGTTATGAGATACGCGACATACGGTTACCTCAGCGGGTTCAGGAAGCGATGCAGATGCAGGTGGAGGCCGAAAGAAAGAAACGAGCGGCCATTTTGGAATCGGAAGGGATGCGAGCGGCCGAAATTAACGTAGCAGAGGGCAAGCGCCAGTCGAGAATATTGGCTTCCGAGGCCGACAGACAAGAGCAGATAAACAAAGCTTTGGGGGAAGCGGATGCAATCCGAGCAGTGGCGGAGGCCCGTGCCACAGGACTGCAGGTTTATTTTTGTCAATTTTATTTGTCGATACATCGAAAGCAGACTCGTTTATAATCTGCTCCTATGCGAACTGTGAAGGAAAAAAAATGTTTCTGGTAGAATAAGTTTTACAATGTGAGGAGGTTAAAAGTGGTTCAAGCCGAAACATGTAATTATCCAACAATTTTAACAGCCTCAAATGAGTGTCGTTTAAAAAAAATGTATGTTAAATAATTTTGTACGCAAATCACCTTTGTTACAAATCGTAAAAGTCTCAGAGACAAGCACAAACGCTTCAACCTACTTTATTGTTAAAAAAATGCTTTCACAAAATGTCAACAACGCACACAATGTGAGGTTATGTACCTTTTAATAAAAGTTAAGTTTTTTCTAGATTCATATAAAAATATTTTAAGAGTTTTGGTTTATGTTTAAATCATGTTAATGAACAATATGCGTTTTGACTAGTTTCGGTACGTTCAGAGCCTTTAATAATAATGTTTATTTAAGTTAAATTCCACTGACACTTTCACATTTGACTCCTTAAGCGGATCATCATATCTCAATTTTGACAATGACAAATAGCAACCAACTAGATTTAATAGATAGAAACTAAACACAACTGTATCACGATTCACGTGATACATATCGACCAATGAAAACGTGAAACCCAAAGCAAATTTTATTTCTGAAAAGATGTTGCACTAACTTTAAATAATAATTAATAATAGTCAATTCATATTGTTTGCCCAATCAGCTGGTATTTTGTCAATATATGTCAAATGCGATGATGGTTGCATAAGACTTGTCGGGACTCTTTTCGATGTAAAACTTCAATTGGTAATAATTCCTATTGGTATAAAATTGTATCGAGAAAACCGTCGTCTGTAGGTTATCGCGTCGGCGCTCCAGCAGGACTACGGTTCAAATGCCGCCTCTTTAAGCGTTGCCGAGCAATACGTAAACGCGTTCGATAAATTGGCGCGAACGAGCAACACCCTGATCTTACCTGCCAATGCGGGTGACGTATCGAACATCGTGACGCAAGTAAACAATTCGCTGGTATAGTAGGCGGCAACGTAGTTGCATGGTATAATTCCAGGCGTTGTCGGTGTACTCGGCTGTGACGAAATCGCAGCCGTCAAACGTCAAACCAAGTTTGGCGAAAAAATACGTGCCGATCAATCCCACCGACGAGTTTGCGGAACTGTTCAGCGACGAAGAAGAGGTTCGGAAACACAGAGACAAACTGAGGAAAGAATTGAAGGCCGCACCGCCGAAAAAAACGAGTTAGATTTTTTTAGTTATTTCGTTAATTATATTTTTTATAAACTGCAAATTAATAAAGCGATTACATATGCCCACAGTTTTCTTTTAAAAATTTTTAAGAGCCCGCTACAAAAAATGCTGGAGAGACGAACGAAAATAGATCCTCATACGAAATTTTAAGCAAAAATTTAGTTTGCTAAAATAAGTAGTCATTAATTAGAAAACGCCATTTTGAGGATTTAAATTCGATAAAACGGTTTGTCTGTGACATTGTGGTTGATTTGTTATATCGTCATAGCAACCGCGTTGTTTAGTTTGGTTAAGGTGAATTGAGTTCCGACGGCCGATGGGAACTACTCCGAAAAAAACAAAGATAAATTTCAAAAAATTGCATCAATATTTTTGCGAAGTGATCAACAAAATTGCGCCCAAAGTTCGACAGTGAGTTTTTTAATTTTGGGCGCAAAAGAACCCGATTATTTATTGTTATTATAATTATGTATTCTTTAATTCGTAGATTTTAATATTCAAAGTTTGTACAGGATCACAAAAAATTAAAGTAAAAATTTAGCTGCAATCTGGACACTGAGTAATAACGTCTTTCTTACTGTGCGCGTTTTCATAAAAATTTGTCATTTTTATTTTGAAGAAAAAAACTAAAATTTTCCAGGCATATCGATACCTAACAACTTTGAACTATAAATGGGGTTGCCAGGAAATATTTCCAAAGACAACTTATCCTCTAACTTGAAAGAACTTCAAACTCATGAGAAAAAATTACGTAGCGAAATTACGTATTGTAAATCGCTTCTGAAACCCAAGACCGATATTAATGACGATGAAAATTGCGATCTACCCGCTCAGCACAAAGTGTCAAAGCGCAGGAACCAAGAGTTTAAGGTAAACATATTCTTTACAGTGAAACCGATACAGATTTTGGTGATCCGGTGTGAGTTTCAGGAAGTGAACGAGTTTTTCGATTACGTCCACTCCAACGGTGGCCACGAAAACGGCTGGAAGACAGAAGACCATCTGCAGTTCCTCAAGTATAGGTCGAAGTTTAAAAGAGCCGAAGATATCGCCCGACACCTACACGATTTGTTGCCCGACATCGACGTCGACGAAATAATCGCCCACGAACGCTGGTACGTCACGTACCTGGAATTGCTATCGAAAAAGAAAGACGCCATAGAACGCTGGAGGAAATCCAAAAAGACGCAAAAAAAAGAACCGGCCGTCTCTGACGAAAAACAAAGCAAACGGGACACATGGAAAAACACCAACGACGACGCGTTGCGGGCAAAAATCGCACTGTGGAAGGTTGGGTGACCGGTTTTCGTTCTATGTGTGATTACCATGTTTTCACTGCTCAGGAAGAAAGGGAAGCGAAAGTGCGCGCGGAAAATGCAGAGCGCCGACGAAAAATCGACGCTCGGTGCAAACAAGAGCAGATCGAGAGGGTCAAGCGCAACGACATAAAGAAAGTAGTACGGGAGTGGCGGGAATCCAAGCAATTGGCGGGCGAAAACGAAAAAAATAGAAGGGCGGCTTTGGAGAGCTTGCAATCCAAGTTGAGGTTCGTTGTAAGTACCATTTGCATTTCCATCGTCGCACATTTTAACTTACAGATCAGCGACAGCGAATAGAATGATCAAAACGTATCAAAGCATGGACGAGGCGCACGTTAAGAAAATGCTTCAAATTCACGCCAGCGAGAAACAAAAATCGATTCGTATTCGATCGAGTTGCGAGGCGAATCGCGATCCTGATAGACTGATGAAACCCACGCAACAGTGGATGAATAGGCTACGAGCACCGAGAGATGTCGCAGTTTGCCAGATTCCTGAAGCGCGCATGCCCAAATTGTGAGTAACCAGAACTAACCCTAAGAGGTTAGGTTGTTTGTTTTCGTTTCAGAGCTGTTCCCGATTGGAGGAAAGGTTTGTAGCGGTACAGGTATTTTATACACGATTCTAATTATATTGATTTATTTGAAGAACACTGCTGTTTTTGTTGCCCTCGCCCACTTCAAATAAAACGCGCTTTACAAAGCTATAGTTAATATATTCCGTTAAAAAATATAAAATATCACTATAAGAATATAATATCACATAATATATGGGGTAGGATATAGGCCTAACAGGGCAAAAAAAATAAAATTATTCGAATTTATCGTAGTCGCGCAGCGTCATAGGGTTGCTAACCTAACCTCACTTCAAGGTGGTTACTCCTGAAAATTTCAACTGAATCATTTTTTCACTCTGAGGAGCAATCCACTCACGTCGAGTATAAAAATAGGGTTCCGCACCGGATTAGGACATCGAGCGACTTGTGAGTAGATGGTCGGATGCCGAGCAGCTGCTTCCGTCAAATTGCCTCAAGTGTATCTAGATAAAAGTCTTTTAGTAACAACCAAAATGGCATTTATTCCCATACTATCACCAAAAATCACTCACGAGTAGGTGCAAATTGACCTCGGAGCTGCGACTAAGGAATGGAAAATTCCCGCCCGATTTTAAGTGAGCCAATTTCGCGTGTGGATAACACTTGTACAATTCCTCCCTCACAGTAGAACTCAAGGCAGATTCGTCAAACACATCCACGATTGTGATGGGTATATCCGCGAGTTTATGGGCTTCCACGTAACCTCTAACGCAATTTAACGTCAACCGACTAGCCAGCTCGCTCTGCGATAAAGTGTCGAGCTGAAAACAGGCCAATGCATTTCGCAGAGTGAATTTACGCGTTAAAAACTACCCGCTCCACCATGAAATCAATCGCGGATATCATATCAGCATCCTTCGAGGGGGTCGGTTCGAAATTGGACATCAGCATCTTCTTCAAAACCAAGGAAGGCAACATCCAGTACAGGGCGGCGGTTTCGTGCCCCCTAAACACCGCCGTGTCCGTAAAAGTGTTACACAATACCAAAGACGCGACGCGGGGGCAGGAAAAAGTGTGCTCCGCGAACTTCTGCGCGAGATAACCGCCGAGGGAAGCCCCGAAAATGTGGACCTTGTCCACATCTAAGTAATCGAGTAAACGTCGAAAACCGTCGCACCTGATACAAGGCGAATTATTTACATTTCCCAACTGACCTTGCTGCAATACCATTCCCGACTTGTCCAATAGGGAGGCGCTTCGGCTAAGATGATGCGTACACCGCGGGCCGACAAGGCCAAAGCTTGCCTGAAAAATACATCGCCGGTGCCCGACACCGGCGGAAGACACACCAACGGACACCGCACGTGACGGGGACCGCAATCGTACACCCGCCATCCCTAAAAAGTCTCGATGAAAGCAGCTTCCGCGTAAAATCGGGCTTATATTCAACCTGCCTTCGCATCGTCACTGTCAACGACGATTTGTCTTAAAGGCACGCTGCTGCGGAAACTTAAATACTCAGCCGATTGCGATAATTCGCACGCCGACCCCATATTAACGAGAACAAATCAAGTTTAAATTTTTAACAGCGACATAACCTTATTTTTGAGTACTTCCAAGCCTGACTTTGGCTAGCGCGGCCTGCCATGTTGTGCGTCATCGGCCTGTTTGCTGGAAGCAAACTATTTAATATTTAAATATCCCCTAAATCTTATGTTAAATAAAAAATGCACGCATTTGACGTACAGCTGTTGTAAATAACCTTACGGCATTCAAATTAAAAGAATGGGGAACATAAATCAGTCTCCACAGTTGTTCCGATAAAAAATAAACGAGCCACAATTCCCCAGGATTTTGGGATATTAATTTCTTTACAGTCCTTTTGATTTGTATCGGCGAGAATGGTTAAAATTTTGCGATTTCAGTTGACTGTTCTAAAATATCTGTTCGTCTGGCCCAAGGACAGGCTCGACTCGAAAACTAACCGTATTTTGAGCGTTTCTTACTTTACGCTGAGCGTCTTGTTCTGTTTACCCATATTAGGCGCAGTACTTTATGAGGTAACTCGCGTTTCCTGTCTCATTATACGAGCGATCGTTCCGCTAGCCGCGTTTTCAGGCCCTAAACGGAATGAAAGATCCGAATATCGCCATCGAAGCAACGATCGCGCTCTGTGACGCCACCGCCTACTACGTGGTGTTCCTCTGCTTTTTGAAAAACCAGGCAAAGATCGCTGGGATCGTAAAAGACGTCAACTTGTTTTTGAACTACTGTGAGGCAAAGTTGATCGAGGAAATCGACGCGACTTGCCACAAATACACGAAGTGTGAGCGTTCAAAGCTGAATTCACCGATAGATCAAGATAAATCAAAATCCACCTATGCTTGATTTTTGAATTATTTGAGAATTTTCATTCATTTTTAACAGGATTGACAGAATTGACAAAATGACGGTTCTTTTATTGTAATAAACGAACAATGGTAATTGAAGTTTTGATACATTTTAAATCGTTAAATGAATTTAAGGTATGTGTGACGGAACACAAAATTCAATAAAGGATAACAAATGTGATAACTAATAGACATTGACAGCCATATGCCCGGCCTACTTATACTTAAATATAAAATGCTAGTTTAAAATTAGGGTTTTCCTGTTAAAACTCCAATTACATCCACCCTGTACGATTCTACACGTAATGAATAAACACCCCGTATTTATTTTTCTTTAGATCTATTGACCTACGTGACATTTGGGGTGCTTTTTAACCTACTTTGGCCTCAGATCACTATCAACCAATGCACCTCCGCTAGGGGCGAGTTGGTCAAACACATGCCTTGCGGCATGGTGACTCAAAACTATTTCCCGTTCGACACTAGGGACACTTACGTGTACTGGACAATTTTCTTCTACTTCGTCAACTTCTGTTTGCACATTTGCGTAGCGTTTTCCATAGGGACCTCCGTTTTTATAGGTCAGTTTCGGTCGTAAACTGTGAAAATGTTCTTGTCAAACAGCGATTTTTTCAGGACTTTTGATGCACACCATCGGACAGCTCAAAAATTGCAGCAGTTACTTTAAAAGCATTTTCTTCGGAGCAGACATAGCTACAAAATTTCGCCTCTCCTATTGCATTCGATATCACCAAACAATATTGAGGTATAGTCGTCCCAGAATTACAAAAGAGTACTTAATTTTACTTAATGATTAGTAACGATTTTTCAACGTTCTAAAGTATACAACCAATAACGTGATTCGTACTTATGCAACCAAACTGACCTATATGAAAATATACGTTTGACAGTAAATTTTAAAATTTTAAACATTTACATATAAAAAACAAAATTAATTAACCAAGAAGTTAAATTTCGATTAATTACTTCGTGACTACCCGTTTTGACATTCATTTTTTTTTCTGGGTTTATAATAATTGTTATTATAGGTAAGTATACGAAGAGCACAGTCACATTTTTTGCTTTTTTTCAGTTACGCAGAAAGGATATTCAGCACTTTCACTTCGATCCTGATAACCTACGTAACTATTACGTCTTTTACGTTCGCTGTGGTTAGCTACCAGATCGCCAATTCCAAAACGGCAATCGAAGAAAGGATACGCTACGTGCTGCTGCTGGTCGGATGGATCATCTTGTTCTTTCTTATTTGTTTTTTTGCACAGGAAGTCATTGACCAGGTATAACTCACAGAAACAGTCTTACCTTATATTTAGTAACCCGGAGGGTAGTGGAGTAAATAATATTTTATCCCACCTTTCGTTTTAACAGAGTTCTGGATTATTAATAATATTTTGACACCCACCCACAGGGTTAATTTTAAAAGATAGAAAAAAAAAACGTAAATACAAAAGTTTGAAGATTTTGGCTCTACTATCTTATGTAAATGTCAGCAACATCATCTTGATTTCAAAAATATATATTTTATTGACATTGATAAGAGAAAGACTTAATATCAATTTACAAGATCCAAACAGAGAAAACCCTAATTTTATCACCTCGTGTATCAACAGGAAATTGAAAGGAAATATTGTCTGATGTCTAGAAAATAATGGAGGTTATGTAGAAAATGTTTAACAATAATTATTGATATTTTTATTGTTTGAATAAAATAATTTTATTATTTGACGTTTTTCTTCCCCCTTAAGTTACTTAACTTACACTGTAGATCTTTGGTTTTGATTAGATTGATTTAATGGGCCATTCCATTTTTAAACAATGATGTTGCTGCCATGTTGCGATCGTCGTTTGTTTTTTTTTTGACATTTGTATTTACACTTTTCGCAGTCGCTAAAGGTGGGTGACGCGGTGTACCACAGCAATTGGCACCTCGTCGCCGGTACCGATGAAATCAAAAGAAGCTTAGCCGTAGTAATTTTAAGAACGCAAAGGCCGATATGCTGGAAGGTCAAGTACATCGGTACCATGTCCCTGTTCACCTTCGTCTATGTAAGTTTGATTTTTTTCAAGTGTGCTGCCCCTTGCGCTCTTATACTTTCTTCTCTTTCAGGTGATTAAAACGTCTTATACGTTCTTCACTCTTCTGCTAACAGCCACCGATTCGGCATGAGCCGAAAAACCAACGCGCCAGCTCAAATTAACCGCATTTATTAACATATATCACAATAAATAATCAGCAGCGAATGAGTTGATTTCATTTTATTTAAACGACTAGTTTTATGATAGTTTTCAATCTTCATCAAATGTCAAATGTAGCGTTTTATATTCGTCGAAGAAGGTAAATTGCGGAGGAAAAGTAGGTGTCTGTAAGGAACAAGCCAAACAAGAAATTACTGGCAAAGAACTTCTGACATAGAACTGATGTCAGGATTTGAATTTGACCCACAGAAAACAGAGTTTTAAATGAAAAACAATTTATTTAATAACTTGCTCTGTGGCAATGGTATTACATTAAAAAAAATATCATAAAAACATTGTGACGTCACAAAACGGGATTGTAATGTCCTCTGTATTTTGCGGCATTATACGAGGGCAGCGCCAAAATTTGCCGGCCTGAATATGAAAGAAACAAAGTAGAGTAACAATTTTTTATTATTTTTCAATATAATCCCCCTTAACGCTTATTACATCTCTTTATGAACAACCTAATCCCTTTAAAAAAATATTCTTTTGGTTTTTCTGCAAAATGAGGTAAAACAGCCTCTTTTAATTCAATTTCGTCGTTAAACCGCTGTCCACGTAAGTCCTTTTTCAAATATCCAAATAATAGTCGCTGGGGACCATATCTGGACTATAGGGAGGATGATCTATCTGTTGGAATCCACACTCTAAAAAGGCAGCTTGTGGATGCAGGTGCATTATTGTGCCAAAGACGCACGCCTCTGGTCAGTTTTCCTCGACGTTTTACACGTATGCAGTCTCGCAATTTATGTAATAATGTTGCACCTCTTCCACAATCGCAATATCTTCCTTTATGATCTCCACTGGTCGACCAGTTCTTGAATCATCTTCAAGGGACTCCTGCCCCATTCGAAAACGTTTTGCCCGTTCTTTCACTATAGAATCCGAAAGAGAACTTTGACCGTACACACCATCCAGCCTTTCTTTAATAATTTTGGGTGCTCTATCTTAATTTGCGTTATTTGTGACATTTTTTCGGACACGTCTTCTTTAAAATGCTGTCAATAAGAAACTATTTGACGCAAGACTTCAATTTTTTTTCGCAGCCTACTAAGACACATATTTAAAAGAAGACAAAGTCTTATCGTGACACTGGAGCTGCATCTATGTCAGGCCGGGAAATTTTGGCACTAACCTCGTACTTAGTTTAACCTTTCTTTGACTCGAGAGCCAAAACTGGCCGTAAATGTTAATATTTCAATTTGTTTCTAAATAAATTATATCCAAAAAAAACTAACCCAGACTGGCTAGAATTTCCACCCTATCCGTTTCGGCTAAGATAAACCAATATGGCTCGGGGCAAACTGGTTTTTGTTTCTAATTGTTTCTGTAATAGGCTGGCGCTATTTATTGGTGTATTTTTAAGGTAAAAAGTTACTATAAGTATGTGGTCAAAAATCTTTAATTTTCGAGATACGAAGTTTACATTTTAGTTTTTTGATTTATTGTGATTTTGGTCTGTTTTTTTACCCTGTTTTGTTTAGTCTTTAACGTATTTTTAATGTCTAAAAATACATTTACAAATAAAAAACGAATTCGAATTTGTAGAGTCAATTTTAGTCCAGAAATCAGTATTATTTATAAAAACAATATGAAAACTTTTGACACCCTGTATATGGAAAACGAAGTACTTTAGGTCACCCGTTTTTTTTACCTTAAATATAGTTGAGAAATCGAATAATGTATAATTAATTATTTTTGAATTATTTATTTTTATTAGCAGCCAAAGGAATATAGATATTGCTTAATAATCCGAACTTTTACGTATAGATACGTTTTTGAGTGTTTTTTTCACCGTATTATCATCTCGTCGTAATCTTTCATATCTTTTATATTGTATTGGTCCGGGACCTTGGCACGGAAACCGTTGTACATGATCGTTTCTCCCGAATACTAAAACCTGAGCGAAATCCGTTGCCCAACAATAGTTTTATTGTTAAAAATAGGCGAATTTAATTGCCCAGGCGACATTCTCGGCTCGTTGCTCATTACCTAAACGGGGATCCGCGATTTTACTCGTAACTACAATTATTATTGTAACAATCCACCGATGTTATTGACCTTCTGTAATGCGGAATACATTAAGACAGGCGCATGAAAAACAAATCTAAGCAACGATTTACAGGTGATAAATGGTCGGCATTGGGCAATCGTTCACCTTGCCTGTCAAGACGTCGTTATTTCGAGAGGAAGTTAAAAAATAATTTCGATGCTATCGAATCTTCTCCTCCTGCCACTATTACCGCAATCTGCCTGCTTTTCGGCCTCACGCAAGCGACGTTCACCGACTTTCAATTACGCCGACATGTTTTTTGAAAACAATAAAAAATGAAAGTGCGCTTCCTAAACTGACCGTAGCATGATCTACATCGATTACGCTAAAACAGTCTGGGCACTTTTTGACCTGACCCCGTATACGGCCCCGAATTTTTCGCAAAAAATGTACAAGACTCGTTTAAGAACTGCTTTTATTGACAGTTATGCCGTAACATAACGTGAATATTGACATTTAAGCTTTAATTTTTAAACCTCTTTAATGTGAAATTTTATACTAGTTTTTGGTTAAATTATACAAAGCGTATCTAGCTTAAAATCTAACATTTTTAACTAGCGTGGTAATTAAAAAACTAACAATTGTTGACCTCCAACGACTCTAGGTTTTTGTTGCTGGACTTTCTGGGCTTAGACTTTGGCTTATTCATTGTTTCACTCTCCTAATTCTCTTATGGGTTTTTTGCAAGTTAAACTTTCACGAAGATAAAAAATAAACTAACGTTTACGTAAAATAAAGAAGAGAATGGGCTTCTGTAAAATACCTAACTTCTTTGGGCGAATGATCCTGGTAGTCGTGCCCAACAGTTTTCTGTGAAATGCACCATTGAATTGAATTGAAACTAACTTCTTCTTCCATGGATCCGAGCCACTTCGGACATTTCCGGGATATTACCGCACGGATTTGGGAGCAATCTGATGTTTTCGGAAATTTTACCGCACGACTTGAATGCCGTTTACCGCACTTGTTTCAAAATATACTGTTGTGATCACACATACATAAAAATAGGAAATATAATATAGATAGAAAATAGAAAAATCTTTAGAGGTTAATCTGACATGTTCTTCTTCCAAATGAATTCCGTCGTCGATGCAGAGATGTTAACCCAGAAATTACGAACGATAAAAAAATAAAATAAATGGAAAAGTTGCGTGTTTTTTCATCTAGATATTTTAATTTTTCATATGTACAGGGTGTTCCGTTCTTCTGGGGAAAATACCAGCCTTCTTTTTATATTTTTAGCCCTTTGCGTAATACCAGGGGTAAAATGGACATTGAAAGTGTTACTTTTTGGATATTTCTATGGATTTAACCTAAAGCCGGAGCTTGCGAAAGTTTTATAAGTACTAATAACAAAGTTTTTAGTCGATAGAAAAAAAGTTGTTAATCAGTAACGTTTTTTTTTTTAAGTACTTTTTAAGAAATAATTGTAATTGTATAATTACAATTATAAATAATTGTGTTAATTTAGTTAAAGCCACAAAAAATAATAAAAAGCTTAAGTGGACCGCCTTGTCCCACCCTCCCCTACATTTTTACAATTTTTCCTCAGAAGGCATCTAAATTATTTAATTTTGGATAGATTTCTTGTGGAAGGGGGCTATTGTCATATATTGAGTGGTTATTATGGATGAAAATTAATACAGTGTGGTCAAAAATGAAGTACAAGAATTAATTTATAAAAAACTTAAAAATTAAGGGGACTTTGAATGTTGTCGGAACTTTATAGTTTCCGAAATAAAGTGTTTGGAGATCGGGAACTGTATATTTACCAATACATCAACAAATTTTTAAGACTATCTAAGAAAGAAACGGCTTTTTTCACAAGCGCATTTTGAAAAATAATCCCATATTATTAAACCCAAAAAGGTATATGTCAGAATATTTGCATAAATCTTAAGATTCATTTTGAAGCACTGCTCCAATATGCGGTATGCGGAACATTATGAATTCCTTTTTCAGAATTTAATGCAAACGCGTTCACTTCTATTATCATAAAATATGGCGGACGGATTAAACAAACACCTAAATAAGCAAATTTCATTGCGAAATTGAAATCGCTTGAGAATAACGATAAAAAAAAGGTATCGCCGTCGCAGCCATCGAAACAAAGAGAGCCGAAACCTGAGGGGATGCGATATCGCTGCGTTATAGGGAAATTAGAAAGGGGGGTTCCAAGGCTTCTTCGTAATATATAAACCGAATCGAGATTCAACACAGCAATCACCTCTGCGAATATCATCATGAAGGTAAATTCACCAACATATTCGAATTGTCCATCTAAAGGCTTGTTTACGCGTTTCAGGTATTCGTGGTTTTGCTCGTTGTAGCTACGGTTGCCGGTTTCGCAAAGGGTAAGGCGATTTACAATTTTTTACATTTCCGATTAGCCGCGGACCTTATGATAAATATTTTTTCTAGCCGGTTTCCTTAGCGGAGGCGGCGGAGGCTACGGAGGCGGCGGCGGCTATGGGGGTGGCGGCGGCGGCTGGAAATCCGGCGGCGGTGGCTTCGGCGGAGGCGGCGGAGGCTATGGCGGCGGCGGCGGCTGGAGATCCGGCGGGGGCGGAGGCGGGTGGAAATCCGGAGGAGGCGGTTTCGGCGGAGGCGGTGGCTACGGCGGCAGCAGCGGCGGAACAGTGAAAATTATCAAAATCATCTCTTCCGGAGGCGGCGGCGGCGGCTACGGTGGTACATAAACCCTAATCCTGATGACGTGGACAAAATGACTAAATTTACTTCAGGTGGCGGCGGATACGGGGGCGGCGGCGGCTGGAAGAGCGGCGGCGGCGGATGGAGCAGCGGCGGAGGCGGTTGGAGCAGTGGCGGAGGCGGCGGAGGATGGTGGTAAATCGTTCAGGCAACTGCAATTTGTATATATTCCAAAACTGTTCGACCATTTTCTTTTCGGGTACAGAGTTTATTTTTATACCAAAAAAACTGTTTTTCCGGTTTGTTGTAAATATAAATTTTTGTAGAAAAAATACGTATTTTCCTTTTACTCCCACGAAAAGCGCTTTTTTGTATTGCTGTTAGTACGGCGATATTGGAAATTCTGGATTTGAACTATACAGGGTGTTACAGAAAACATTCGCCGAGCATTGGCTCGACATTCGTTTATCTAAAAAAAGAAAATATATAACAAATGGTGTTTTCAAAGAGATGCGTGATTTCGGGTGTTTGTTGTTTGTTATTTTGGACAAGTCACTAAAGTACAACTTTTTTTTTGACCGTTCTGCATCGTTTTCGAATGAAAAACTAAAAATCACGAAAATTATCAAACCGCAATTTAAAAAATATATATTTTAAAGACTCATGCTTGTATGTTGTATAATTCTTCTATAACACATATTACCGGGCTTTTTTTTTCTAATTCAACAACAACAATTGGAATGAAAATCGGTTTATGTTACGTTTATGTTTACGTATGTTATTAGAGATCGCATTTAACAAATATTTTCGTCCGAAGTTAAATTGCACGGTGACCAGAACGTTGTGAAATCTTGTAAAAGCAATTTGCGCAATTTCAGACAGATGTTTTATGTATTTCTAACATTTACACGCTTCCCCGCAGATGCTATCCAGCATTATGATATTAAATTGCTTTACCTTGGCTGCAAGTTGAACTATAACAACCAGCGAATATTTTCCATGACGCTATTTCCAGCTGGTTTGTTTACAATAAAGACATGCACATTTAGATTCACCAATTCAAAATAAACTGAGTATCATTATATTTTTCTTAGAATCAAACTCATACTCCGTTATTAAGACTTTGTCACTTAAAGCGTTCTTGGAATAAATTTCATTTAAAGGACGGTTTAAGCAATAAGGAAACTTCAGGGAATGACTATTAATTTGAGCCTCAAGTCTTTTGTTAAAAACAATTAATAATTATAATAAAAATACGGCTACAAAACATTGCTAAAAATAAACATTATCTCAAATTTTAGGATACTTAATATTCTCAATGCTCAGTTATGCGTGGTACTCTAAGTAGGTTTCTCCCCCTTACTAATAATTAAAAAAATATCTTTAGAAAGTCATCTTTGCGCATGGAACGTTTTTTAGTCTAAATATTATGTCCAAATTGATTTATTTTCTCGTAATCTCTATATCAAAGTAAGTTATTAAAGGTTAAGTAAACTAAACTTCGGCGTTAACTTTACTTTAGAAAAATCTTATAAGGAAAAATTAAACAAACTATGTTTTCGAAAGATTTATATTATTATACTTATATAGTAAGTGATATTTAAGTTTAATATAAAACCTCTCGGTTTCCGCCATTCCATTCCCGATTCCCGTTAGAATTTCTTGTCATCTGTCAGTCAATTTAAATTTAAATTAAGATTAAATTAATTAATTAAATTAAAATTAAATTAGACGACATATTTTTTAAGGGTGACGAGCAGCCTCCCTTTCTTCCATTAAATATTGCGTTTTGTGTGTGTTTTAAATTTTTATCAACATCGCTGTTCATTGGAAACCAGACTGCAATTTATTCTATGGATATTAATAACCGTTATCAAATACCGCAAGTCATAACCTTAAAAAATGAGATTTTTACGAAAACTCGACGGGATTCTGTCGAAACCGCTTGCAGCAACAATAATTTTGTTACTCGTTAAAAATTAACTTTGCTTTAATTATTTCGTAGTCAGGCGGGTTCCCTTGGCTTGCCCAACATTAAATAATTCCCACCAGATAATACGATCCATCTGAGAAGACGTACGCTTCCTTTCACGTATACAGCGAGGTTGCGCAAAAGCGAATTATTTTTCGTTAATTGCTGCCCATTTGCCGGCCTTTTCTCGGTGTGATTTCTTGTTAAAGGCGGCCATTGTGCGACCCCCCCCCCCCCCCGTGCATACGCCACCTGTTTGAATTTAAATTTTTGTGGCATTGAATTTTTCATATCGCACGGTATTTTTTAACTGCCGATTATTTCTTAATCGAATAAATGTCAACAATACTCCCTCCTAGCTAATATATCCATTTGTTTTCGTATTACAGTTGCACTGTCGAGAACCTACGTATTCAAAGTTTAAAACTTTTATTTTTCCGAAAAAAACTCAAGTTCAATTTATTTAATGTACAAAGTTGTTCTGGAAATGTTTCCATAGAAACAAGTTTCAGTTTTTTTTCAATTCATGAATTTTCTACTCACAAACTTGAGCTTGAAGTTCTCGTCCGTCTCTTTTGAAAAATATCTCGATTAGTCCCATCTGTACAGGGCATGCGCCGTAATTAACGAGAATAGATGCATGGCGGATCGTTTTATTTTAATTAAGCACTTTTCGTTAGTTGTGATTCACCCGGTACATACAACCGGACCGCATTTTATTACCGTCATTTTAAAATAACACGGTAATTAATAAAGCTTATTATTTGTTCTGTGTAGATATTCAAAACGGCACTGAAATAACATTGCTTAATATTTAGAAGGCGAAGCGAACCTTGAAATTGAATACGTGCCTGTTTATTTTATTCATTATAGCTTCGTTACAGCGATAGATATAGAAGAGGCTTTCAAGTTTCCGCCTTTCTATTGACAAACAAGTAAACGGTAGGGTATTCATTAGAAAAGAGTATAACAGTGATGTCATTGAATCCTAGCCAAAAATGTTGTCTATCTCTCTTAAACCCTGTTAATGCGTTCTGTCACGTAGATCAAATAGCTTCCCCACGTAAGAAATAGTAGTAATAATAATAAACCTGAATCCAAAGTAATGCTTTTGTTTGTTTGGGATAAAGGCAATTTCAATTTAGAAAACAATGGACCTGTCTGGTCCCTTGGGGATCTGATTGTTGCTGAATTACATCTCACAAATTGGAATTTAAGAAACTTAAACCAACTTCAAAAATTCACGAAAAGATAACAATAGAACCCAAGGAAAATCCAAAATCATTTGCAAAATACTCCTTATAGATATTAGTAATTTTCACCTTATATAGAATAGAATAGAATATATAGAAATATCAACGAAGTTGATAAAAACTATGTTAATTTACGTCAGGGAAAACAAGATTGCTTTCGAAAAATCGTCACTAGGCGGGGCAAGGGACGCATTGTTTTTCTCTCGTGCTCCTGCGGACGACTATGCAACTTTCGCAAAATCGAAGTAATTTAATTGTGCACGCACTCTGTATAAAATGTCCTTCACATCTCGTCGAACTTCGAAGTTACAGCTAACATCGGTAAATATCAAAATTTTCACAAATAATAGCCTTGTCGATTGATATTTTTCAAATATCTCGCGCCCTGTAGAATTGACGAAACCTGAAACTCTCACGACACGGTTTAGGATATGGATCAAATAAAATTATCCCTCCTTTAACGGTTTTTCATTTATCGCCAATAATTTAGCCACCAAACGGAATTTTTTAGGATATTATAGATTTTTTACCCATAAACGACACACCCTGTATATGATACAATCATTGTTCAAAGTAGAGATTATATCCCTGGATTTTCCACACGTCCTGGTTCAATAATTTTTTGAAAATAGTAAATGGTTTTCGAGAAAATAAGTTTTTTTCTGAAACCATGCCGTGCGCCGTAATAATCATGGCGTCTTGACTGCCCCCGAAATAGCGATTTCAATATGGATTTTTCCAAATATCCCGAGCAGCGTACGTGATAGACGAAAACCGCAAATACAAAAATTGTAGCTCTTGATGCGGCCTATGACACCGTTTGAACCAATTAGCCACATTTTTTACGATTTTTGATTGGCGGCTAATAATTTACTCTGTAAAAAACAATTTTCCAAGTCTTTTAGATTTTTGCCTATAATTTGAAAACCCTGTATATAATCGAAAAAATGTCTGAAATAAATGTTATTGCACTGGATCTTGTGCGTCTTCCGATTAAAGAATTTTGCCAATCGGACGAACGATTATGGAGGAAACCATATTTTTCTGGAAGCTAAAATGAGCAAAAAAAAAATTCTAATATATTTAAAAAATACTCGGTAATATTTGATCGCTCCCAATTTCCACAGTTTAGATCTAGACACGGACTTTTACTCCTCTGCTAAATTTGAAGTTGATATCTGCAAATTTAGGCCACCTAACACGTTCCTCACTTAGCACGGAATTTCGGAAACACCCTGTACAATAGGTGAAAACCTTAAATACAAAAGTTTTTTTCTGTCTATACGGGCTATATCGCAATATAAAAGAAAGTGAGATCTGACTCACAGTCCTTCAGTTATAACCAATCTTTTTTTCAGTTTTTTTTAATTTGCGGCACACCCTGTATATTTGTGAAAAAGCCGTATCTTCTGCTTCTTCTGGTTCAGGAATTTTTTTGATCTCGTAAACAGTTTTTGAAAAATGGTGTTTTTTGTAGACCCTTGCACGCACGATTTTTTATTTTTTTTAGGTACCTGTCCTATTTTTGGAAAATCAAAGTTTTGATGATTTGATTTTGATCGTATATTTTAAACTACCCTGTATACTATTAAATTAATTTATCTAGATTAATCTGATATGCTACTAAATAATAAATAAAAGCAATTATAAATAATAAAGTTTAATGAAATAGACTAAAGCTAAACATTTTTTTTTTGAAAATTTGTCTGCTTCAGACAAAATTCTTTTATCGTCTGTTGCATTGGGGTTTATTGTCATTAAGTCCAGTAACGTCCGCCTTATCGAATTATACTACCCTTTAGGTCATATACGAGGTTAGCGGGAAATTTTGGCGTATATTCTGTATATCTACATTTTTGTCAAAATCGAGTTGGAACAACTTTAGGAAACGCTCTGCTTAGCCGTCCATAGCATACCACGTAATACCACGCTTTAATTTAACTTAGCTATAATTAGCTACTCAAAATAACCCCCCACATGGGAATCATCAAGGCGTTTATCATTAGAAGGGATCGTTGGGCAATCGCGATCGCGCGAAAACATAAATTTTGAACGCCAAAATGGACACAGATCATCCCAAATCGATAAACGCAGGCGGTCAGGAAAGCGTAACAAATTGCTCGACTGCGGTGTTCACATTTTAATTGGGCGAGACGTTACGACACCCCCCCCCCCCTTCCGCTGACTATCGAAACGCTTACACAGATTAAGTCCACAATGCGATTGTCATAAAAACAACGAATTAGATGGCGACGAATCGCTAAAATGAACGTTCGTTACGCAACGCATGGTCCCATCTAAATATGTCCGAGTTCGGTTTCTATTGGGTATACGGGCGTGTCGTAAATCGGCGGAGAAATAAAATCCCAGATATGGACTTATCTTTTGAATAACAAAAAGTAATCTGAATGTAAAAATAAATTACTAAAAAAAAATATTATTTTAGATTTAAACATAAATAAATAAATATTGTTTAGTCTCTTTCCTAACAAAACCCCAAATAATTAAATTCTAAGCAAAGTACGGACCTGTTCGGCCGTATTTCATTCTTACAGCTTGCCCGGGTCTTTCCTTAAAAATATTATTTTAGATTTAAACATAAATAAATAAATATTGTTTAGTCTCTTTCCTAACAAAACCCCAAATAATTAAATTCTAAGCAAAGTACGGACCTGTTCGGCCGTATTTCATTCTTACAGCTTGCCCGGGTCTTTCCTTAATTCGTATCAGCTAGACACTTTCTTATATCTATGAACAGACTTTAACCATTCATGTTTATTATAAAGACTTCTTTGTAATAAACGGTTTTTCATGGAGAACGGCGATTTAAAGCAGATAATTTCGTTTTGTACACATGTTCCTGCCACGACCGATAGCAATTAAATATCCAGCAGATATCAGATAAGTGCCTCACTACTGATTCGAATCTAACTTAAACAACATGCAACAACAATTGATTAGTAAAATATTTCGAGCCTAATTACATCTATAACCGTTATATAATAATTTTCCTGGTTCTTTGCTGCTTTGTAATTGTATTTTTTTCCCTATGTTAATTACATATTTGTCGGTACAAACGGTAAATAAACTAAATTAATTAAGGTAGCTACTGCAATGCACTGAACTTCTACTAATATGCGCCCTTTGCTTTTAGTTTTGGTCCGTAATGGGCAAGTGACATAGAATAATTATCCATTATCCAAAAATTAATAAACGTTTCATAAAAAAAGTGCCAGCTCGTAGGTTTCATTTGCACTTTCTCTGTCATATTAGGCTCTCACCATAGATATGTGATGTTAAAGTGGTTTCGACGCCGTTGCCGAAGCCCTCATCTTTATCTACTCACTTTTGATAACAAGCAACTCGATATAAAAGCCAGTGGGTCACAACAGCCGCCATTTGCGCGCTCGCTAGTCAAAATGATCAGGTAAGAAAGCAACTAAAAATTTATAGAAACATCATAGCACTTAACAGATAAATATGAGCATTTTCAAGTTTCTTTTTTCTAATTTAGAAAAGAGTTTTAAAATACCTCGAATTATCTCGAGTGTTTGCGAGTAAAATACCAATTTGAAGCCAGATTCGATAATTGATTTATAATAATGTTTATCCAGGGCGTCGGCTATCCTAGCGGTGACCCTCCTCACCACCTCGGCTGTAGCCGATACTAATTTAGACATTCCCTACCCTTACAACTGTTCCACAAGATCCTTCTGTACGTAAGTATACCATACACGTCTAACTCCTTTTAAAAAAATGAAACTGAATTTCTTCCATTTCCCGCCTCATAGCGAATTGAGGACCAAGATGCTCGGATCGGAGGAAATCTTCTCAGCTAGCTACGTCGGCGTGGAAGACGAATCAGTAGTGTTCAATTTGACCAATAAAAAGGGAGACTCCTTGGTCCTTTCCATCACCGGAGTGCAGAATCAGCGTTACAGGGTGGAGATCGAAGAACCGGACAGGCACAGATACCATCTGGAATATGCACTGGAAAAGGAACCAGTCAAACGCCCGTGAGTGGCTGATCCGCCAAGTATCGGAGAACGATTTTTTTTGTGATCGGTCGTTTCAGGTTCACCTCTCTCGATATAAACGACACCTATGTGATTGCGATGGATGACGACGAGAACAATTCCGTTAAAGTTATTTTCTCGCCGTTCAGCATAGAGTTCTACAAAGGCAGTACTCTGGAGAATACTTTCGATGGTAGCCGGTTGGTGATGCAAAACGTATGTATCCAGAAGGTTTGAACATATTGTACGGGGTGTCCCATTCTTGGTACTTTTGCGGAGTATCTCCGTTATTTTTATAGATAGAAAGTAGATGAAAATTGAAAATACTGGCGAAATGTATATTTATAGACAATAAAATGTCTCTTTTTTCACTGTTTTAAAAATATATATGATACTATGCACCTTTTTTCAGAAACATAATTTAACATAATAAAATAGTAGGCTATGACAACAAACTGGAAGCAGTTCACGATTCTTATCAATTTCTTTTAATAATAGCCTATTATGAAAAATATGCTATGCTGGTATGTTTTATACAGAGTAATGAAAATTCTGAAGCAGCTTTGGAATTACATTAGCAAAGGTGAGTAAGCTGTTATAGCTATTACCGTTATTAGTAGGTGCTTTTTAAATACCCAGAACAAAGGCTGTTGATATAAAAAGCGAATTTAACAAAGACAACAAAGAAAAAAAGAGTTAGATGTTGTATGTTGAAATATAAATATCATCCATAAAAATTAAACGTGGTGCAACGCAGAGATGCCGTTTTGCCAGTGGTATTTACAAACGAATTGAGGCTAATGATTTCTATTCTAATTGGTTGTTCGGAAAGTCATTTCGTTTTTTTTGGGGAACATGAAAGACAGTTTTCGTATAATGAATAAATATATTATTAAATTATATATTGGCCATTCTAGTCCAACACCTTTTGCCATCTTTCTGGCAGTAACATAATTCCCCTCTCATAAAAGTTTTGGTCCTTGCTGGCAAAAAACTGGTTCAGGTGGTTTTTGACATCTTCAATTGAGGTAAAGGTTTTGCCATCCAAAAAATTTTGCAGGGACCGGAACAAATAGTAGTCGGAAGGCACCAGATCAGCAGAATATGGTGGATGTTGCAGTACGTCCCATTCAAGCTGTAAAAGTTTTTGGCGAGTGACCAAACTTGTGTGAGGTCACGCATTATCCTGGTGGAACACTACACCCTTCCTGTTGATTAATTCGGGCCTCTTCTCTTTAAGTGAATCATTCAATTTGTCCAGTTGATGACAATAGACTCCTGAATTAATCGTTGTATTGTCCGGCAAAAGCTCAAAAAAAAAACGATTCCTTTGACATCCCACCAAACGGAGAGCATCACCTTTTTTTGGTGAATGTTGACTTTTGACACGCTTTGAGCCGGTTCATCTTTTCTGATCGATGACCTCTTGCGTTTAACATTGTTGTATACAACCCATTTTTCGTCCCCAGTAATAATCCGCTTTAAAAATGGATCATTTTCTTGACGTTTGAGGAGCGAATCACACACGTCAACGCGACGACACAAATTTCGCTCCGTAAGGACATGGGGCACCCACACATCGAGCTTCGAGGTTAAGCCCATGCCTTTCAAATGGCCATAAACAGTCGAATTCGACAAATTTAATCTCTCACCGATCTCTCGTGTGGTTATTCGCCGATTTGCATCAACTAATGCCTTTATCGCATCTTTGTCAGCTTCGACCGGCCTTCCAGACCGTGGTGCATCTTCGACATCAAAATTGCCGGATCGAAATTTTGCAAACCAGTTCTGGCACTGGCGTACTGTTAACACGCCTTCTCCATACACATCCGTCAATTTTTTTGTCGCTTGGACAGCATTTTTACCATTTCTGAAGTAAAAAAGTAAAATATGAAGAAAATGCTGCTTATTGCTCTTCATATTTAAAAGGGCACCAACCAAAAACTACTGCGTAGAATTAATAGAACTTTTTCACACACAAGCCTTGCAATATCAGCTCTCAAGACGTATAATGGTTATGCGGCTTAAGTGTGAATTTGATTTCGAAAAAACGTAATTAAGTCCTCTGACGGGAAAAAACGAAATGACTTTCCAAACAACCTTGGAACCGTGGAAGTTCTGATTAAACTGAGAGATAAAGCTTTTAAAAAGTACAAAACTACAAAAAATGATAGTCATTGGGATAGCTATAAACAACAAAACTAACATAGCAATTAAAATTAAAAAGATAAGATATCTAGAATCTGTCTCTAATGGAAGTAATAGTAAAGTTCTTTGGAAAAGGTTAAGAAATTTAAATGTAACATCTAAAACTACAAATATATTCCTTCGTGATGGATTAAACAGACTTTCAGATTTTAAGTATTTCCTACAGTTTTCCAAAAATAAACAACAAGCGGATCCTATGTTGCTACAGTATTACCGAAATAATTTAAAAACAAATTTTGGTTTTCTACTGTTAGTATCGATGAGCTGAGAGCGCAACTTTGTAGTATTCAATCTTTGGCATCTGGTTCAGATTTAATAAATGGAGAAATATCGTTAATGTGTTGCCCCAGAATTCCACCATTTCTTACTAATATACTATACTAATTTTACCAATATAATATAATAATAATAATAAAAATTTATCTTGATGATCAAATGCAGTATGGTGAAAGGAGTTCAGGTCAATCGGCTATAGAAACTGTTAGTTGCGGTGTGCCGCAAGGTTCCATACTGGGGCCACTTTTATTTACAATTTACACCGGCAATTTTGTATCATGTATGTTAAGGCATATTTTTATGCTGATGACACCCAGGCATTATACTCATTTGACCCCGGTACTCGGTATACGGCTCGAAAATTGATCAATGCAGATTTAAAAGAACTAACAGATTTTTCAGCACGCCATGGATTGATAATTAATCCAAGTAAATCATCTGTTACGCTCTTTGGAAAGAATAGAGATCGTTTGGTGTCCGAACTTAACATAAAAGTGAGTGGTAGAGTTTTACAGTTTTAGTTAGGCATTTTTCATTTCTCTAAGAGCCTTTCTTACTTCTTCTTCTGTTATTAAATCTTCTTCTGTAAGTGAGCTATCTAAACTTATACTCTCGTCTTGACTCTCTCTTATAAATTCTGGGCGATTTTCGGTGAACAGTTGTTTATAATGGCATACCCACTCACTTGGCTGTATGAAGGTGATAGGGACGCTTTCTTTTCTGTCTGTTTTCAGTGAGTTCTCCATGCTTCACTGGTTCTAATGTATCCTATTTGCTGATCGATTTGCATGCATCTGTTGTCCCATAAATCATTTTTCGCTTTTCGTACAGCTTTTTAACCTCATAGGAGCAGCGAGGATAGTATCTTCTATCTTCTGTTCTATTTGTAGTCAGCCAGGCGTTATATGCTTGTTTCTTTTCTGATATCAATTGTTCAACGTCTTCGTTCCACCATTCGGTCATCTTATGTGAGTTATTTGTTTGTTTTTCTCCCAAGGCCCCCATTGCGGCTTCTCGTATACATCTCAATATGCTATTATAGGTATTTAAACCAGATGAATATGTTAAATTACTGAGTTTTAAATTTAACCTGAGTGTATATAGGAATGCTGTCGGTTCCCGTTTTAGACCATCCAATTTATATGTTATTTCATGTGTTTCTTCTCGACAATTTGTTGTTGGCTGTTTTTCTGAATAAATTATCAATGGAAAGAAAGCTTTTGTCTTTACGAGGTAATGATACGAGGTTTGTCTAGCTACAATAAAATCAATAATTGATTTTCTCTGGAGAGTGGCCTGAACCCAAGTATACTTATGGATGTCCTTGTCACCCATAAGAATAATCTCTTTTCTGTTGCTTATGGAATCGTAGTCGTCTTTATGTGCGACCATGTCGTCATTTGAGGGTAAGTACGCTGCTATTATAACAGTTTCAAAGCCTTTCAGTTTGAGTTCGACTTTCAATATACGTTCATTAGATGCGTCCCAATCTTTAATATTTTTGGCTAGTCTCTTTTTTATAAATAACAACACACCTGCTTTGGCTCGGCTGGCCTTATCTACACCACTGTATAAATGCATGCATCTTAAATCGTCTAATTTCTTCTAAAACTTCTTTTTGTTTTGTTCGTAAGACTTTTATATTCCAGGATCCAATATTCATAATCCGTTTTCGTTTGCAAAGTCGTCGTCTGTTAAATCAGGTTTCAAGTTCGTAGTAGGATCTTAACCGATTAATAAATTTTTTCCAAGGGCAGGGGTGCTGGCTCTACGCCTCAACCCCCAACCTGGAGGACCAGCATTTTCTGTCGGGGTTTATTCCCTTAGCCAAGCCTCCTCACTTGACAAATAAAATAACATATCGGACAGATGTTCACAGATTGAACCTTAGATTTAGGGGTCTTTCTCTCAACCACGACACAGAACGTCTCTTTTTCAAAGAAGCTTCTCCTATAATGTTTACAAACTTTACAATACCGTTCATCCCTCTTTAAAAGCATTATCACCATTAAACTTTTTTAAAAAAATAAGACAAGACATGTTCAGTCAACAAGCAAACTGCAAGTGATTTTCGAGTAAGTTCAGTCCTAAAATTTTCTATCCAATTTTTAATTTTTATGTACACATACGCGTTTTCTTTTTTTGCTATAGTTATCTCATGCGAACTAAAAATTTTAAAATAGTTGCTATATATTATTTTATGGAGGTTCAACTTGAAACAATTTTAATTGCTTTCATCTCCTTTTTTGCAATTTATGTTGTTCATTGGTATTTTATTGTATTGTAAATTGAACATTGCTGAATAAATGTACTATTATTATTATTTATTTGGCAGACTTATCTGTATTTTTAATAGTCACAACACCAGGAACAGGCGCAGTGAGAATCAATATTAATGTTTGAAAGGGTACAACAAGGACGCTAGAAAACACTGAGGACGTTATTTCAAAACTGCTGGAAAATATTCCATTTACCCAGTATACCTGTTTACCTACATCTAGTCATAATGCTCTTAAGGGAAGTTCAATTTTCAATTTAAGTTTTTTTTTATAGGACAATATACAAAATGAAATACATAAAACACGATATTACAACATAGGATTTCGAATTCTATTTAACGCTATTCAAAGGATTATGATAATGTGCCAATCGGGCATTACCCCTAAAAATTTGTTTCTCTATTTTTTTTAATATTGTATTTTTTTGTGTTTTGTTATGTTGTTCCTTTTTGTTATAAAACCATTGATGCAAACTTACTAATTTTTCGCTAGCAATATCTGACTTTCAATTGTTTCTGTGTACAGGGTGTTCAATTTAAAAAGAAAGTAACATCCGATAACTTTTTGACTTGACTCTGTATACTAATTCCGAACACGGAATTGAGGTATTTGGGAAAAGTTACATAAGAAACAATTTTCACATTTTTGATAAGTTGATATCTAGTTCTGTATCTTAAAAACTAAAAGAGCTATGAAAATTTTGTTAGTTTCACGAAAAGTAACCAACTAATCCTGATAACATTTTAATTGGCTGTAACTTTTTGTAGGGTTGGTAGCCTAGTTTTTCCCCAAGTGACGTATAAAACAAGACACTATCAATTTTCTGACATATAAGCCTACATCATATTTTTTTTAAATTAAACACCCTGTATATTATATATGTGTTTAATAGAATATCTTTTCCGATTACAATGATGTAACACACTTTATATTTTAGTCTACTCGTTTTTGAGAAATCGTCAAAAATAGGAAATTTTTAAATAATTTCAAAGAGTGCCGTGACCGACTGCAACAACAATAATGTAAAAAAATCTTTAACTATTCTAAATACTGCTGTAAGTTCAACGACATTATTATAAAGAGTTCTGTGCACGTGTGTCCCCAAAAGAAAAAATCCATTGAAGTTAAATGGGGGCTGTTGGCTGGCCAATCCATAGTTCCGCCGTTCCCTGTCCAACCCGTGGGATATTCCATATTAAGAACAATGTTCACTTGTACAACATTGTGAGGAAGTGTACCGTCTTGCTGCCATATAATCTGCGCTGATATATTTAGGTTTAAATCTTTTATATCTTGTTCTTTTTGGTGCTCTACAGGTAGCAAATAATGATCGTATACCTTCATAGAGTGATGGGAATCAAGAAAATTCCAGCGAGTTCTCACATATTTACCTCATACCCTATTCCTTAATCTCGATTTACCATCTAAACTTAAAACATAATATCACCTCGTCAAATTGTAGACTGCCGATAGTCAAGCGTTCACGTTCGCCGTCAACTTCAAAGGCACCAAGATCCTGGCTGGTCTGCTGGAGCACGTCGACTGGGTCAATCTGAGACATACGGCCGACTTGAGCATCGATCCTTATAGATTCAGGAGTACTGACTACGGTGCTATGAAATTCGACCTGGATACCACCGAGGCCATGTACGGATCGGTTCCCACCCTTTACAGTGTCGGGTAAGGGCTCGTTTTCTTCTTTACGGACACATCCTTTTATTGGCTTTGGAAACTTTTCCACCCAGAAAACAATACTCTTCGGGCATATTCATAAATAACGCCGCCGAAATGTACATCGACATAGACACGACAGCCAGTTCCGCCTACGTCATGGTGGACGGCGGCACGCTGGACTTGTTCGTGCTGCTCGGGTCCTCCTTCAAAGACACGGTCCAACAGTACGTAGACCTGACCGGCAGACCACATCTCCCCCAGGTCTGGTTACGCTCTGCTGACCGCGTCGACACTAATTGCGGGTTCTTTTAGCTGTGGGTACTGGGTTACCACCAGTGCCGATGGGCGTACAACACCACCGAAGACGTCGAAACTACCATCCAAGACTTCGACGATAACAAATTCCCGTTGGACGTGCTCTGGCTTGACATCGAGTACACCTCGGATCGTAAATGGTTCACGTGGAACCTCGACAGGTTCCCCGATCCCATAGAGATGTTGAACTTTGTCGACTCCCACGGGCACCGTAAAATCGTACCCATTTCCGACCCTCACATCAAAATCGATCCATACTATCCGGTCTACACGGAAGCCTTGGCTAACGATTTCTTCATCAAGGATCAAAACGGATCCGACCCGTTCATCGGCGAATGCTGGCCGGGTAATTCGAGCTGGATCGACTTTTTGAACCCAGCCGCGAGAGATTTCTACGCGGCGCAGCATCTCTACGAGAATTTCCCGTCCACCTCTACCTTGGGAGGGTTCTGGAACGATATGAACGAGCCGACGCTGTTCGACAATCTGTACGAAAGGACAGCGCCATTTTCGACAGTCCATTACGGCAACGTGAAACATAGAGATATTCATAACATCTACGGAATGTTGCATGTGAGCGAAAGTCAGGCGGGTGCAAATCTGAGCATGAGATTTACTCTTACTTTTAGACAATGTCGACCCACAAGGGCTTGATGGACCGCGACAACGGAAGATTGCGACCGTTCATCTTATCCAGGTCGTACTTCGCCGGGAGCCAAAGGTACGCTTCCAAGTGGAGCGGGGACAACTACGGCGACTACGAGAACCTACGATACACGGTGCCGATGGCGCTCACCGCAAACTTGGTGGGGGTCGCGGTCTACGGAGCCGATATTCCCGGTTTCAATGGAAAGACGGACGAAAATTTGGCCATCAGATGGTACCAGGTATCGAAGGAGTTAAATTGTTTAGGGGTTAATTGCGAGGTTGCTATTAACTGTCATAACGACAATATGGTGAACAAACACGGATTAGCTAATTTAATAAAATCTCAACTTACAACTAGCAGTAAATCGTAAATCGTTCACATATATCTATGGTAAAACCGATTGAAAATAAGGCTTCCCAAAATAATTTAGTATTTACAAGAGCAGATAAAGGAAAGCTAACTATCAATTCTGCAAAATATGTTACAAAAACCAAATTGTTTATACTATTTACTAAACTTCTGGATTCCTCTTGTATCGGTTTTTGTTGAGTCGAACTTAACTGAAACTGACTGGCTTTTTATGATTCCCACATGGTGACAGGTAAATATCTGAGTCGGGGTTAAGACTGTTAGGTTGCTAATAAATTTCTATAGACTCTCGGTAAATAGTATTACAGTAGCCTGTGGAAATTTCTTTGAAAAATTAACAAGGCTATATGGAGAGGATATCAAGCGCAAATGGAGAAAGTTAAAACTGGTAAAATTACTCTGTACATTGACCTTTTTGTTACGTTGTAAAGTAATCCCTAATTTTCTTAAAAGATCCCATCATGTCAAAACCTCATCCGCGTATACAATTCTTCTAAAATCTAGTTTCGCTTTACTTCGAGAAAGAAATCAAATCAATAAGACTCTTCTGTCTCTAGATATTGAAATTGCTTCCATCTTGCCCCCATCCCAGTTCGATACCCTCTGAAACACAATTCATGACGAAGCTGAAAATCTTCTTTTATCTTCTACTCAAAATCACATTCAGAAATTTGAAAAACTAACGTCAACGTTAGTGAAACCATCAAACTCTTCTCAACTACCAAACACCGTGGTAAATGTACCACCGGACACGGAAAAAGCAGTTCTTGCAAAAGGTTCCAACTTCGTCCTTGCCCCAAGTATTATTCTAAAACAGGAAATCATCTCAAACGTCGAGTCTATCCTAAACAAACTGCCATCTCAAGCAGCTAATGAAATTGGATTTTAAACCTCAAAAATCCTTAAAAAATCAAAACCTCCATTACCCTAAATCCTAAAAGCAGATAAAGCTAGTCATGAACACAAATAAATATCAGTAAAAGGCTCAAGATATTCTTAAAGACATCAAGCATTTGCCGGTCACTTACAAGGCAAACAAGTCTGAATAGATGGCATCGCAAATTTTTGAAGAGGAGATGCGGAAATGGGATGCAGAATTAAAGAGGAGGAAAATATTGCTTCTCTTAGATAACTGCCTTGCACATATTCAAAATCTACGGAACATTGAATTGGCATTTCTTCCAGTCAAAACAAGTGTATTATAGCCGATGGACCAGAGCGTAATAAAAAGTCTTAAGAGTCGATACAGGAAAAACATTTTAATGATCGAGTCCGAAGACAAATTTTCCATTAATATGGTAGATGCAGTCAACTTTATTAGTAAAGCTTGAAAAGAGATGACAGCAGAAACAATTTAACAACAGGACTTGGAAGATGATCAGCTACTAAGCGAGTGGAGTTTTCAAACAACAATTACGTTTACAAGTGAGAAGTTGCAACATTTTATGGTGATAGATCAGGCAGAGGAAGCTATATTACAACAAGCAAGAAAGGGTGGGGAAGAGTACCACGAGGAAGAAGATGAAGAATTTGATTTGGGAACACCACCAACCATTCAACAAGCCTTAAATTCAGTTAAGCTGCTAGAGAAATGCTTCTCTCGAAGAAATGGTGAAAATACAAGCCAAAGTACAAGATACGTATTAGCATACTAAAAAAATTCAAAAGAAAATGACCGATTATTTGCAACATTAAATGTATAAAAATTAATATAAATTAAATAAATATAAAAAATTAAATATTTATATAAAATGTTCCTAAGTAGATGTTAAAATATGTATATAAAATAATGTTCAAGTGCCTATAACCCTTTTATGACAGTCCCTTCAATGTCGCTATATAGAGTTTTGACAGTACCCGTTTCTACAGATTTTTTTTTAATATTAAAATATATATTTTAATTATAATTTAAAAATATTATAAAACAAAAAATACATCTATCAAGAAAAGTTCGAAACGTCTATCTAAATTTGGTTTTAAAACTGAAAACACCGTAGGACATTTTTTAAAAAAACAATAAAACTAAATTATGAAAAACTCAAAAATCCGGAGTCTACCAGTTGAAATGTGGATCATGTCCCAAAATTTATAAGGGACGGACAGGTAAAAAGGCGTGTAAAAATAAAAGTTCGGATTGTAACCATTTAAATTCAGAAAAGCACAAGTTTGACGATAATTTTGATATTTTACATAATCAATCAAAAAGCAAAAAAAAAATAAATTTGGTTGGAAGCTATGGACATTAACAAAATGATTACTTAATGACCAATTGGATTTAAATGCCTCTCCGTTGTTAACTTCATTAATTTATATCCCTACACCGACAACTCAAAATCAATTACTACCTGTTTATATACAGGGTTATTCACGGCAAACGTCCAATTAGACGTATCTGGAGAATCACTTACGGTAAAAACCTGAAATGTTCGTTACTTATGTAAACCAACATGAGCTACCTATGTAAAATATTTGTGGTCATGCAGTGTTGCCAAATACTCGTAACATTTTTAGATTCTGCACGTAAATGAACAATTAACTTGCCATCTAAAAGTGCCAAACTATATCTATATATCTATATCTATCTACATCCATCTGTCTATATCTATATCTATATCTATATATCTATTTTCACTGGTTTTCGAGTTATAAGCAAAAAACCTAAATTTAGCAATTGATGCGAATTAATGAAATCACATTTCATCTCGGTAGCAAGCTCTGGATGGTGAAGTCTTTTGTAAACAAATTTTTCTTTGACATAAATAATCTTAATATTCCGTTATTAGCGTGTTCCGGTGAGTAATTGTACCAGTGAAACTGGAATGCTATTGTTATACACAAAACTAATGTTAAAGTCTAATAAACGGATTTAAATTGTTTTTAATCACGTACAGGTAGATATTATGCTTGACATCCATGGATTGACTTCCTTTGAATTTCGTTCCGAGCATGTTGTTGAATTCTTCTATTGTTCCAACTGGAGTTTTAAACACTCTTTCTTTAATAGCGCCCTAAAGGTAGACATCAACGGGTGTAATATACAGGGTGGCCAATTCCATGCACCTAGACCCCTTATCCATAGGCTTTCAAACATGATTGCAAGTTCTTGACTTACTGTATTCGTGCAACATCTGCAATGTAACATTATTGACAAATTGTCTATTGGTATTGGTATTGGTATTAAAGGGGGGCGCCCTCGCGGGCGTCCAAGCACTTAGGCCACCAGATGGGCCCGTTGTGCCCCCAGGCCGCTCTCCTTTAGCCCAATACCGTGCACTGAGTCCGGATCGATCAGGGCCGTTCCGAAGACTCCCAATCTTGCCCATGTCAAGGCAGGGCACTCGGTGAGCAGATGATACGGGGTCTCCTCCCCTTCTATGCACCACCTACACTCCGGGTCGTCTCCAATGCCTAGCAAGCAGAGATGCCTCTTAAGCCTGGAATGTCCTGTGTAGGCCCCTGTTAGTGCTCTACACTCCCTCCTGGTCAGTCTAAGCAGCTCCCTGGTCCGAGGAAGGGCGGGCCCATCCATCATAAGCCTCGCCTGCCTCATTCCCGGAGCAACTCTCCAGCCCCTCGCGGCCCGGTCTCTCGCCCAGGCTGCGAGAGCTCCCCGCCTCACACACGGGGCGATCCCCAAGCGGGGCTCTGGCCCTATATGCCTATGCGAGGAGCCCTCCCTGGCTAAGGCGTCCGCTGCCTCATTGCCCCGGACACCGGTGTGACCCGGGACCCAGACCAACGTGACCTTTCTCTCCTCAGCCACCCTCCTCAGTACCCCTTTGCACTCCTTTCTCAACAAGGAGCGCGTACGCACTGACTTCAGCGCCATGAGTGCAGCCCTACTATCCGAGCAGAAGAAGACTCTCCTGCTTCCGTAGTTGAGCTGAAGCACTTCTCTGGCCGCCATCAATAAAGCGAAAATTTCCGCCTGAAACACAGTGCAGTACTGACCCAGAGGGACCGACAAGCTTCATCCCGTTGTCTCGCAGTACGCTCCAGCTCCGGCCAGATCTCCCATTCTGGACCCGTCCGTGTACCAGACAAGTCCGTCCCAGAAGCCGACTCTGCCCTCTCTCCAATCTTCCCTTGATGGAAAGAGAAAGGTCAATTTATCAAAGAAGGTCATCTCGGGGATCATGACAGCCCTCTAAAATGTCGTACGGACCCCGATTGAAGGTTCCCTCCCTCCAGAGCCCGCAGCTCGCCAGCCTCACAGCTGTCCTGGCCGCCTCCAAATTGTCTAAAAAATCTATAACTACTGTTCGTAAAATATACAGATAATTTTCCTCGTCAAAAATGCTCGTTGTAGATACAAAAATCTATTTTCAGCAAACAAAACACGTTGAAACCAAATGTATGTTAAAATCGCTTTTCTCTGACAAATTTCGGATTTGAAAGTGTTGAAAATACCCTCCCGTGAAAATTTTCACTCGTAGGTCCAAATAATTTTTTTCAAAAAATCTTGTAGTCTCACCAATATCACCTTACCAAACTCTACGCTTAATGGTGCATCACGAGGGAGAACAGATTGCAAGGTAATCATTTTCTGATTATGCGTATTGCGCTTCTTCAGTATCCGTTGAATGGACGCATAAGATAGACCTACCAAAAATTAATTATAAATTTTCGGCAAAACTTCACAAAGAAATGTGTATTGCCACAGCAGAGACGATAGCAATGAAGGAGGGACAAAGAGTTGCTCTACAAGGAGCCTTAACAAAAGTTATCATTTTCTCAGATTCTCTAAGCGGGATTGCTAAAATTTCAAATGGAAATACCGACACTAAAATGGACTACATAACGCTACAGGTCCAAGAGATGACGATAAAGGCTAAACGTATGGGAGAAGATGTTACGATGGCTTGGATACAGGGACACTCGGGTATTGTAGGTAATGAAAAAGTGGATGCTCTGGCTAAAATAGGAAAAGACCTAAACATCCCCTTGAATATCAAACTGGACATACATGAAGTGAAGAATACAATTCTTAGAGATATTACTAATGGTTTTCGAGAACGGTGGAAAAACCCAATATAAGACAAAGGTAAAAGATATAGAGAGTTAATACAACTAAATTTTCCTAATAGAAGATGGTTTTCTGAGCTTACCTACATACTACTATAATTAGAATGAGAACTGGACACTGCGCGGTAGGGGAACACTTACTTGAATCTGTTGTTTTGTCTCACATCTGACGAGCCTGGTCCCATGGTCCATCCTAGGCCAGGAACGCCCGTCCCAAGATCCAAAATGCTGGAAATTGTTTGTCCTTTTTTTGTTTTTTTTTTAGATGTGACAGTCTTGCCTGTTTGTCTGAAGTTTTTGTGTGCTCTGAGTCTGCTTACTAACTGACCCTATCTCCTTAGCAGCTTTATAAGCCTCTTAAATAGAAACAGAAGTCTGAAAAGTAACCTTCCCCAGGAGAACAGTCTCGATTATGTGTGGCAGTTCTAAATAGTGCTGGCAAATTGCCTAGTAGCAGCGCCAACCCCAAAAGAAGAAGAAGAAGACGATAGACCTAAATGTAAATCATCTTTAACCCCCGGCATGGATGTATGTGGAAATGCGTGAAAATATGCTAAAACGGTGGTTCCATTTTCTTCTAAGTTTGTCACCGGTTTTGGAATTTCCCTTCTTCGTAGGTTTCGAAAATTTGCTTCAATGGCTTTACCTTATGAACGCTCTGTACGCCATAAGCTAATTCTCATACTAAATTATGATAAAGCAATTTAATATGGAACCGCAAAAAAATTAAAAACTAACTGGTACATGTTACTTAAAAAAGTTCCAGAATATTTCGCAGAATCTAAAAATGTAATAATATACAGGGTGTATTAAAAATGAAAGTTGATATACGTTACTGGCAACACCACATAGGTAGCTCATATGCGCTTAGGTCATCTCCAACAACGTCCCTGCTACAGACACGGCCGAAACAGCTGTCAAAAAATCATTAAATCATTTTTTGTTCTAATTTAATTGTACTGATTCGGCGTTTCGTCGCGTCGCATTTTACAGATCGGCATATGGCTGCCGTTCTTCAGGGCTCACGCGAACCAGGACGTTCCCAGAAGGGAGCCGTATCGATTTTCCGAAGAAACGCAAGAGAAGATCCGTGACGCGATGGCACTACGTTACCAGCACATTCCGTACTGGTACACCTTATTCTACCAGCATGTGCAAACGGGAGATCCAGTGATACGACCTCTGTTTTACGAGTATCCGGACGACGACAAGGCGTACGAAATCAACGACCAGCTTTTGCTCGGTAAGCTTGGAATTTCACAAAAAACCCCTTGCCCCTTTTTTTGCACGTATTGCACCTGTCGGTCCTTGCTAGGTACTGATATCTTGGCCGCTTCCGTTTACGAGGCCGACGTGAAAGAGGTCGACGTCTACTTACCGGGGAGCGACGCCCTTTGGTACCAAGTGACTGGCGCCAAAAACGTCTTCAAAGCGGGAACCCAAACCATCGCGTTGGATATGACTTTCGTAAGTGATTTTGAGGACGTGTTGCCTTTATTATCTGGGTGAGCTTTGCATTAAAAATATATTGTTTAAAAAGTAATGTGGATAGAAAATTATAAAAAATGTACCTCTACTTAAATAACATAACCTAAAAATGCAACTATAAATCAAGCGTGTGAGGTGCAATCTTGCCACGACTAAGTATTTTTACTGAAGTATTTAGACTGACTGTAAGAAGACTCTGCACCAAAATGGGAATTATTTTGTCTGTCTTAAATTTGTATTAAATAAAATATGATTTTGTGCACAGGGTGTTTTTAGAAGTTCATATTATAAGTTAGAATTATATACTTAATTTTAATTTAAGGCTATACTGGCATTGCGGAAAATGTTTTAAGCAATGGCCCTTTTTTCACATAGAGTCCCGTGTTCTACCGCGCGGGCAGCATAATACCGACCAAAGCGACCGTGAAAAGATCGACAACGGAAATGCGGTCCGATCCCTTCACCCTTATCGTGGTTCCCGACAATGTAAGTATTGCGATTGTGTAAAAGTGGCATCAACAATAAATATTACTTACCTGGCTAAAAATTGACAGTACTTTCAAGTACTTTTTGGGGCCTATGGTTTTTGAAATTATTAGCACATCCAATCCGTCCTACTTACTAGTTAAATTACAGTTACGTGATTTTCAATCAGTGGCTTTAAGGCACCCCTACAGACATCCACTGTCTTATTTTTGATCAGCAGATCATTTTCTTATAACGCTGTTATAATTTTTATTAGTATACCCGATTCAGTAAAATCACATTCAATTAAATAAATTCCTTAAAAAATATTTCATGTTATAATTTGATTTTCAATTTTATTCTTTTTATTTTTACTTGTAATAACTTAATAATATACTACATTTAATTTATCAATGTAATTATAACTTAATATTTAGTTTTCAATTTAAACATTTAAGAGGTTAAGTGCAAACTTTTGATAGACTTCGCCTATTTTCTACGGTATAACAATATACAACCATAAAGGCACTAAAAACCTTTGATAGTTTAAACGGGGGATACCCCGTATATTATTGTATTATATTTCGACAAAACAGTAAATTGAATCTTTATTACGTATATATGCGAGTTATTATTTTTATTTTATTTATTATACCGAAGTTTTTATTGTTTAGAATGAATGCACTCAACACAGTTACAAAAATCTCAGTGCAGTATATTAATAATAAAATTGGTGAAAAATATAATACGGTAGAATGAATGCGGATTAACGGAACAGCGCAGTTGCCTCGTCGAGAGTTGTTAACCGAGTGCTTACAAACGGTCCTAGAAAGTGCATCATACGAGGGCAGCGCCAAAATTTCCCGACCTGAATATGAAAGAAACAAAGTAGAGTATTTTTTTTTTATTTTTCAATATAATCCCCCTAACTTCAATACACTTATTACATCTCTTTGTTAACAACTAAATCCCTTTAAAAAAATATTCTTTTTGTTTGTCTGCGTTAAACCGCTGTCCGCGTAAATCCTTTTTCAAATATCCAAATAATAGTCGCTAGAGGCCATATCTGGACTATAGGGAGAATGATCTATCTGTTTGAACCCACACTCTAAAATGGCAGCTTGTGCAACACCAGTAGTATGGACAGGTGCATTATCGTGCAAAAGACGCACGCCTCTGGTCAGTTTTCCTCGACGTTTTACACGTATGCAGTCTCGCAATTTACAGTATTATGAGTTTCTTTAAAATCTATCAAAAGAATTCCTTCACAATCCCAAAAGATCATTGCCATCACCTTTTTTGTTGACTGGCAAACTCTGAATTTTCTTGGAGGTGCTTCACTCTTACGACGCCACTCCATTGATTCTTTTTTCGATAGAGGGTCACAATAGAGAACCATAGTGTCATCGCTCGTCACAATAGTTTCTATCACAGGCTTCAGAACAGGAGCTAAAATTGAACCTTGAGGAACTCCACTTCTTATGTCTAGGCAAGCAGACTCGACCCCGTTCAGGACCACCTTTTGCTTTCTTCCTGTTAAGTAGTTTTTAATTAAATTTTAGGTGCTAACCCTTCTTTTGTCAATGACTTATGACTGCACTATAATCAATTTGCGTTATTTGAGACATTTTTTCGGACACGTCCTGTTTAAAATGTTGTCAATAAAAAACGCAAGACTTCAATATTTTTTCGCAGCCTACTAAGATATATATTTAAAAAAGGCAAAGTTTTATCGTGATACTGGAGCTGCATCTATGTCAGGCCGGGAAATTTTGGCGCTAACCTCGTAGACCCACCATAAAAATAACAGCAACTCTTAAAAAAGCAATTTGTAATACATTTTTTTTATTGCTTAGAATAAAATGATTCAACGCAGTTAAAAAAAAAATTCAGTGCAGTTTATTAAAATAAAATTGGCCTATATTAATGAAGTACCAATAATTTTTAAAAAATCATAAAAGTAACAGCAACCCTTAAATAGCAAAACGTCTAAAACATGATAAATGGCCACTACCAAATAATACAATTATGAGTCGTCATAAATCTCAACAAACCAAAATAATGGAAATTTCATTTTGTCAACTGGTTCACAAGGCCACAAAGTTATCAATCGATTTGTAACTTTACCAAAGGAATTTTCCGCATGATCAATTTCAGGACGGTAAAGCTACCGGGATAGTTTACATCGACGACTACGAGAGTTTCGAGTATCAAGAGTCGAACAATTTCCTCTACTTGCAACTGGACTACGACGCCAGCAAGGGCGACGCCATATTCATTAAGTAAGAACTGTACACATCTTAAGTGTTTTTCTATGCTGCCGTTGTCGTCATTTAAGGCGAAAGTATACCCACTCCTCACTAAACTCCAAATCTCAACAGCCGTGCGTCCAACAGCGTCGCCGTTGGTACAGATCGAATCAGCGTCGAAAAAAAAACGACACTGGCGGCCATTATTTTTTTCGATTTTCTAATTTTTTTTGGACATAGCTATGAAACACGATAAGTTTCCGAAATTTGAAGCTATCGACTTCAAATTTGGCACACATATGAAGCTTATTTGAAATTGGGGGGCTGGGGGGGTCGCGAAGTATTTAAAAAATATATAAAAAACTGCGTCCAAGAGTCTAAGAAATTTCTCGAAAACCGAGATTTGACTTCATAAACTTTTATTCATGACAATTTTTCAAAAATGTAGAAGGGTGCGCCAAATATTAAAAAAAAATGCCCCCCCCCACACCCTAATCCTGATAATTGGCGATAACTAAAAGATTGTTCCAGTTATCAGTTTGTTATACAGCAAAAATTTTTGTATTTAAGGTTTCCATCTATTGTACAGGGTGTTCGCCATATGCCGTATAATATTAAAAAAATAAATAAGAACTAAAGATTTTCACGAAATTATATATTTTCACACGACAATTGTTCCGACAACACCACTTAATACAGAGCCTAATACAGAACACGAACAATTTAAAACAATTACATACATAGGAGAACCCTGTTAAAAAGTTTCAAATGTGGTTTAAAAATAGCTTTCAGAACTAACAACACAATAAGAAAATTTTTAAAAAACAATAAAACGAAATGTCCAAAATCTCAAAAATCAAGTGTCGACAGCTTGAAATGCGGATCTTGTCCTAAAATTGATATTGGACAAACAGGTAGATCCTTCAAGAAACGCATTAACGAACATAAAAGAGCGTTTAAAAACAATAGTCTAGATTCTAATTAAATTTATTGGAAGCCATGGAGATTATCAAAATGAGACATTCAAATGTATTGCTTTACGATCAGTTAGATTTAAATACCTCTCTGTTTTAAACTTCAATTCTCACAACATTAATTAAGGTTTTATGGCTATTTTTCGGTATATATAGTTGTTTGTAAATATAAAAAATCTTCTTAGTTCTTATTTATTTTGTTAAATGGATTTTCATCAAGTAAAAGCCACCTCAGTTCAATTTTTGCACTAAATTTGCAGCCACAGACTTCGCGGAGAAGTAGAAGTACACAATTACATTTAAACCGACGTAACTGGGCGCCATCGAACATCGAAAAGTATATTTTTAAAATTCTTTATTTTTTATTTTGGGTTATTTTGGTTTAGAGATAAACATTATTTTCTCCAAAACTATTAACCCGATCGGCGAAATTCTTTAACCAAGAGACGCGGAAGATCCGGTGCTATGACTTTTATTGCAGCAATTTTTTGGATTATATACAGGGTCTTTCAATTTTAGACAAAAATCGAAAAAACTCCGAAAATTGTTCGTTGCCAGAGCAAATCGTTTGCCGTAAATCAAAATTTGTAGACAATATGGCTAAACGGTATTATGAGCTGCATCAAGAGCTACAATTTTTGTATTTATGCTCGCGCTCAGTCCAATCGCGATGACGTCATTAACTATTTCGGCGTACTGCATAGTTTCAAAAAAAAAAAAAACATTTTATCGAAAACCATTTACCATTATGAAAAACGTCAAAAGATTTGGTTTAAAGAGTACCGTAAACTGGGTCGTGAACTACAATTTCCTGATTTACCGTTCTTGTCTATTATACAGGGTGCGCGAGATATTTAAATAAAATTATTATTGTAAATCGCTATTACTGGTACAAATTTTTATATTTACCAAAGTTTGCCGTGACTTTGAAGTTCGAAGAGACTTGTAAGTCACTTTATTCAGGACGCATGCACAATGTAATAACATCGATTTTGCGAAAGTTTCATAGTAGTCCGCAGGAGCACGATAGAAAAACAATGCGTCCCTCTAGGACAAGAAGCGGTTTATTTTTCAAATACAAGGTTGTTTCGTGACGATCTCGCCCCGCCCAGCGACGATTTTTCGAAAGCAACCTTGTTGTCCTTTTTCTAAATAAGGTGCTTGTCCTTTTTTAAATACAAAAAAACGACAGAGCAAATAAAGTCTTTTTTATTGCAGAGAACTGGATGAAAAGGCTGATCCAAAAGGTTTGGAGTTCATAATTGAAGAGGTGAAATTGTTTAACAAGACCGACAAAGGTAGGTTCTTAAATTCTCAATCCCCCTTCTGATGATTGGTTCGTTTTCAATCGTTTCTTTTTTCGTTTAGGTGATACGTACAACATCGTGAGTCTGCCCTTTGCTGGCGTAAAAAAATAAGCGGATATAGCGCTGCGAATGTGTGCAAATAAATTTATTTTTGATTAAGATTTTGTTTTTTTTTTTTTCAATTTTACGGAGTTCTACCACATCAAAGATCCTACCAATCTCCAACTGGTCAAAGTTTTACACGACTGTAAAACTAAATATCAGCCATCTTTAAGCAAAATAACGAATCACCTCGGGAGCTCCGCAAAGTAGCACTAGGTTAAAACAATTTATTCGGTCGCTGGGTGGTATTTACGTGTTCGATGATTTATTTAAGCGTAAGCGCGTCTGCGAAAAATCAGTGTGGCCGTTCGCAAAAGGTTGCCACTCTCCAGAACCGCTGTTGCGGAATGCGATGAACTTTAAAGAGATAAATTAAAGCTACCATATGATTGCCCTGGGCAAGTCTGTATGATTAGATTTTTGCACGTTAAAAGGTTTGGAAAAGAAGCGCGCCAAGGCAAATCATTATTCGCAGCCGTTAAAGTCCAAATGCTTTATGAAAGCTTGATCCATTTTATATTTAATGTTTTGTTTATATTCGCAACTCGATTTTTTATTTTATGTTTCTCAAAATTTGCTTCAAAATGATTGGAAACCACTTCGGCATCAAGCGCACCGGTGCTTAAAAATACGGTACGCCACTGAACAATAGTCTGACGAATCTGCTACGGAAATCGATAAGCAAAGTGTTGAGGTAAAAGTTGGGGGGCCACGTCAGACTTACAGTCACGTTCTTCTCTAGTAGCAAGGGCCAGGAGAGGACAATAATTAATTCATATTCCGCCACGACGACTGCCTAACATGGAAGGTAAATATTTTTTAAGTCTGCTTTTTGGTTATGTTCACGTTTCGAAGCAGAACATAGAAACATCCGTGAGTTTTCGACCGTAACGTACCGCGGCGTCGCTCGCACGTGACGTCATAAGTTGCCCGATTTAAATATTCTATATAACGTTACAATTGGACTAAATTATTTATTTAAGCATTTTATTGGAACGAAATGATGCACATGGGCAACTATACACCACGTAATGCGTTTCAAGCCGGCATTGATCTGGACGGTGAACCGATATATGTGGGGCAGGGGCATCACTCTGGCCATCTGCTTCCCGGCAAATACATTCCCCCAAAAAATGGGCTTTTGGTGCCTCACGACGGCCAAGAAGTGTCCGTTTTCAATTTTAAGGTGAGTCATTGATATTTTAAACCATGTCACAGCAAAGTGAAATTTCCGGACGAGGTCCTCTGTGAAAAACTACTGGACTGGGTGCCGGTGAACGACGGACAGATTCCCCCGGGTGCCGTACCTGGAGGAGACACTACAACGGGTGACCTTTTGCACATTGGACGCGTTCGGTTCCAAAATTCACTCGTTGTCGGAAGAGTAAGAAAAATTGCGTTACGCAAAATGGCCGTAAAGCGCGTGTTGTAACGTTGTAGGTGCAGCATGGGTTGTGCTACGTTACTCTCCAGGGAAAAGAGACGACGTACAACGATTTCGAGGTTCTCGTTCTTAGTAGTATATAGTAATTTTTAATTAATACTTTGTTATATTTTAAATAAACGCTACTATAATTTTCTTATTGTTGTGCGTTTTCTTTAGCAGTTGGCTCATTTACAAAGGCCGATAATTGTCGAAAAACAACCTCATGGAACGCCTATGGCGATGAGTCATGTTTCCGAGAATCCCACTTACGTCGTTTGTAAACAATCGAAAATCGGGAAAATATGGCATCGTTTTAAATGCAAACTCGTAAGTACGTGAACCCAACTCAATTTGACATCCAAAAAGGCGAAGTTATTCAAACTAAGCCAGGAATCGATGCCAAATGGAACGTAAGTCGCAGACGTATGGAAAATTTACGAACAATCATGTACAAAGGAATAGATTAAAAGAGGTTCGATTTATAACACAAATTAAATTTATTTCGACTTTCAAAGACGTTGAAGTTTACATAAAGATTCTTAGGTGGAGCCACCAGTAAAACTGGCGAGTTTTGAAACGTCAAAGTATAGCAAAGCCTGCTGAATGATCTTCGGCAGCAGTAGCGGTATCTTTCGTTACATCTAAGTCGACAATGTCTTTTTTCCAAAGCGTTCTACTGGGGCAGAGTGTTAACTGTTGGCAAAGACGTGCCGTCGGCGAGTGTCCAAGTTGGTATGGACGTTCGGGGTGACCCAGTATACGTCGCCCAAGTGCAAGAACATCAATTTAGCTCCCCGACAATCGCCAAATACATTCCCGCCAGGCGCTATCTGGCAAGCCCTTCCAACGGAGAAGAAAAGACCCATATCGGATTTCAGGCAAGTCTCTTGCAGTTTTCTATCGCGGTCAGGCGCAAACGTAACACGTAAAATCCTAAAGTGCCAACATAACCTCTTTTCGAGGGAACATTATTTCATATTGTCATGGTATTTATTAACATTAATTTGAACAAAATGTACTACAATTGGTTACTATAGTTGGTAGTGTTGCCTGCATGATTGTTTGCCACAGGCGCTTTGTGAAAGGGAACTTGACTGGGTTCTGGTGACGGATGGACAGGTTCCAAAGGGCGCCGTGTACGGGGGAAACGCCCCAGGCGGTGACACGTTGCATATAGGGCGCGTTCGTTTCGAAAACTCGCTGATTGTGGGAAAAGTAAGAAAACTCGTCGTAATTAATTAGTGTTTGGACAAAGATGGCGTTACAGGTTCACCGGGGGTTGTGCTATATCGTAAACAACGGCAAAGAGGAGGGGCACAACGAGTACGAAGTTCTCGTTCTTGAGGAAACGTCATATAATTATTATGAATAGTTGTTAACGTTTCACTATTTGTTCGGAGTTTTGCAGGTTGGAAGAATAAAACGTGGAATTCGCAGTTTTAATTTATATTCTTTTCTTTACAACAAGAAATCTAATCAACAAATCTATCGACGACAAGCTCCCGCTTGCATCTAATCCTAATTACATCGCTCGACAGGCCGGCAACAGGGCCGTATTATATTGATTTGCGCTATTAACTAACGACAAAAAATAGGGTCATTAGAATAAATTTATCCCCTTAACGTCCGCTTCCGTCAGTTTAAAAGTACCGATAGGTTAGGTACGACATCCCCATCTTTCGTATCACGGGCGTTTTCTTCCGTGGAAAAGACAATCAGGTCTGATCGTAATCCGTTGAAGTCTGACAGTGGCGCAGCCACAATTCCGAGCGTGTTTGCCGATTCTCCGCTTTGTGTGGCGCGGTTGCCGATTTTACCTGGTCGGTGGTCCGTGATTTGAGCCGAGGGTCCCGTGGCAGGCCTCTGAGGAGGTTCGCGCCTGAGCAAGTCGACCGCCACGAAGTCCGCCGCCCGGAACAGTTCCGCCTTGACCAGCAGGTGGAACAGGTGTCCCAGGTTGGGTCTCACGCGCCCACAAGTGCCCCACTCGTCGAATAGGATTTCCGGCGATGATCTTTTGTCTTTGCGCGACGCCTGTTCGATAATCCTGCAAAAGCGTTCGGTATACAGGGTGTTGTCTACGCATCCGCGAAAATGTAATTTTATTTTCAGAATATAAAATATAAACCAATCAACCTTCTTAGGGTGTCTACCGTTATCTGTTGTTTGACGAAATTTCATACCTTGTTATTGTTATTGGTTTATATAGTCGCCACGTAGCTATAATTTCGCCAAAAGAAAGAAAATGTCTTTGGTTCGAGTATTTTGCTTTTGACCGAAAATCGACTTTGTCTCTACAGACTTATTATGTTCTTGTCGAAAATTTCAGGTCTTTGATATAAGGTTGTTGCATTGGATGGTCGTTACAAAATCAATTTAATTTTTGGCCTGCCACTGCTCTGGCGGTGTTGTGCAATTTTGGTATATATGTACCTTATGGCTGATTTGGGGCAATTAACCACTTAAACGTGGCGTTTAAGTCATATGATATTTAAAGGTAGGTAAATACCTTGATTAAGGAAAGGAAGATTACATTATTGAGGAACTGAACAAAACAATATTAGTTTCTGTATCAATTACGTTGTTTACAAACAAAAGGGAACCTATAAGGTATTTTTATGGTTTTAGTTCATGTTCAGATATTTCCGTTTTTATTTTACCGGACTTGTCCTTCATTATGTAGCACTTAAATTCAAAAACTACCAAGGTTTACAAAGAAAGTCTTATATCTCCACAAAAAAGTCTCTCATTGTGTCAATTTTTGGATAAAAAAAAAACTCATAATAAAATTAATGTTTTTTGTGCCAATGTCTCATTAAAAATTAAAAATTTGAGCAGCAAGGTGATTTTCAATATTTTCATTTGAAGCATTACGGCGATTTGAGTTTTGGCCTACCCAGTTATTAGTTCTGATGCTGGTATATTATAAAACAAATAAAACTCAAATAACCAAACTGAGGGGAACATTTTTCAGGTATTCTAGTACATCTGTCAGAAGATCAAATAAATGCTCTGTGCCAAAATATTGGAGACAAAACCAAGTTACAAAGACCCATCGACTCCTTGAATACTTGACCTACTTGAATAAGGAAATGTCGAAACGTCTGGATTTTTAGTATTCTTGTTTCTATATTTTTATTAAAACAAAATTTGTATTTTATAACATTTATCACCACAAACTTTTGAAATGTAACTTGTAGGTTGGTGTATATTGCCCAAAACGCCCAAAATATCTTATCAATATCGTAGTATTATATTTATTTTGTGTCGTGTAATTTGTTTTATTTGATGTCTCAATTTTTTTCCATGAAAGGACATTTAAATTTTAATCGTTAAATTTCAAAGAACGCAAAAAGATTTTAGGAAAAATTCTTAGGGGATTTGCCCCAAGGGCCATAGATTTTGACGCAACTATTTGCTAGCGTTATTGGAAAAATCTTATATTTTAAATAATTACTTTTAAAATCTCTTAACCTTAAACCAATTTTTAATGATCTTGAACCAAAGTAATTATGAAGTTACGATAAAAGTGAAGGCCTCCCTCTAAAAATCGTTGGATATTGTGACGAACCTATAAGTTGATAAATCATTATTTTGCCATTTAGACCGATGCGCCTCTAACGGTCAATGATGCATTATGGAATTAATGTTCTAAAGGATATTAACACTTACTGTATGTGATCCGAGTTGTATCTGGTGCGGTGGGCGGCGGCAAAATCGGCGTCAGCTTCTAAGGTCGCTGGGATGACGGCCATGAGCGTTTTCCAGGAGTCGGCGTATTCGAGAATCCTGGCCAGTTCTTTCGTCGCGCTCGGCGGCAGCTTCCGGATTTCTAAGCACGGGTCCATGTAAAACCTTCCCGTGACTTCACCTCGAGCATAGGAACAGCCGTGCCGCACTGGAATGTGACTCAAATTTCGATGCAATGGATGTTGCAGCCACAGCACTAATTGCTTCTTAAGTGTTGGGATTTTCTGAGGACTCGCGGAATTTCGGGTATTTACCGCTCGTTTAAAGGCACAATTTCGTAATATATTCGTCACCCGCCCTTCGATGGAAAGTTTTCACTGTACAATAACTGGAATTATTTTGTATGGTCAGTTCATATATGTAAGAAAGTGACCAATTGCGTTTAAATAGGATTATCCAAGGGTGGTCATATCTGGAATATCTAAAAAAAATTAGGATTTACAGAGAACAACAAAGGCCAATTATTTACTTGGATGAAATCTGGTTCGACACTTCATGATACCCCGGAAAAGGGTTGGGTTGACTCAACTGACTCTGTCTGCGAAAAATATTAATATTAAAGATCATTCTCTGGATTACCATGAGGACACAACCGCTGATTTATTTGAAAGTTGGTTTAAAAACCAACTAGTTCCAAACATTCCTCCTAAAAGCGTCATTGTAATGGACAACGCAAGTTATCACAGTAGACAGTTGACTAAAACCCCTTCCTCATGTGACACAAAAGCAACAATCCAAAACTACATTTATTTTCACGAAGATTATAGCAAAAAGCAATTAATTGAGGTTCTACAAAGCTTGAACCTACAAAAGGAATACGTCTGTGATAATTATGCAAAAAATCTAGGGCATACAGTTTTAATCTGCCATTCGTGGTAACAATGTTTTTCCCCGTGTTAACTCAATGTCCTCAAACTTATAGAAACCGAAGTTTTTAACATCCCTCCCCAAAGTTGGGCTGATTCTGTTAAACATATAGAAAAGCAGAACAATCGTATATCCATATTGCGAATAATATAGAACAGGCGATGATAGCGATAGTGATACTGATTATTATGTGAACAATTTTAAGTAATTTAAGTAAGTAATAAAAATTATTTGTAATATTATTTTAGATTTAAACATAAATAAATAAATATTGTTTAGTATCTTTCCTAACAAAACCCCAAATAATTAAATTCTAAGCAAAGTACGGACCCGTTCGGCCATATTTCATTCTTACAGCTTGCCCGGGTATTTCCTTAATTCGTATCAGTTAGTCACTTCCTTATATCTATGAACAGACTTTACCTCTATCAACCCTAATGTTGTGGTCAGAAAACAAGTTTTCAAAAAGCTTGTACGTTCATCACGTGACAAAGATAATTTTTTCAATGAAAACTCCCGTATGGTATAGCATTTTCCTATTCGACGGCCAAATTAATATGTGGTGTCTAGACCGTGTAGCCTATTTTTAATTGATTGAATACTTGGGAATTATGTATACTATGTAAGCGAAATTATCAATCAAATCAAATTATCAAGCGCTGACTATTACAAAGGGCATTCAAAATTTTATTCTAAATACGATAATGGCTACGGCTATAACTCTTTGGATTTCCCCAGAATCCGTGAAATCAAAGTTTTATTGCATCTAGCCGCCTGTGAAATTTATATACGTCAGCTGCTAATTTTGGTCGGGTTTTCCTGTAACGTCTAGATTTGTTTGGTGGTCCGTGAATTTAAACATTCATATTCAATTACAATTAGCACAATAGATTTTTACAAATATTCAGATTCAGATTTCAGATTTAACTGTTCAAAATTAACTAAAAATAAAATAAAACTGTGCTTTAATGACATTGTTCGAGAATAAAAATCATATAAATAGGCCCTACTTTCCCACACTGGAATGCAAGGTACCTCAGTTCTGGAGATATCGCTGTCCGTAACATGTCGGCCCATTCTGACTTGTTAGCAAATGTTTTTTCAGCGAAAGTGCTTCTTTAGGCAACAGTAAAGCGGAAAATTTTACTACCGACCCCCATAAAGCTATTAAATAATTGATCCCTGCATACCTAACTCGTTTTCCCAGAACATTTAATGAAATCTAAGCATATTTTGACAAAATAATGTCTTAAAAATGCCGCAGCTAAACTTATTGCTTTCAATTTATCTTGATAACATTTTAATTGGCTGTAACATTTTGTTTTTGAATATATCAACTATCAATTTTCGGACATATAAGCCTACATCATATTTTTGTTAAATGGTTTAGGTTTCTATGACGCACATGGAGTTTCCTCTATTACTAGAGTATATGAAGAGAGAAAATAACGCATTTAAATTTCATAAAACTCAAAAACTAAGTGCAGAACAATATTAACGGAGAATGCAGTTTTGTTTGGATTTTTTAAATATATAGAATATTAATTTTTTGAAAAACATTTTATGGACTGATAAAAGTTCGTTTACTATAAGAAAGGGTTGTAATAGACAAAACACGTAATATTGGCCTTTAAATAATCCTAGATAAATACACGAAGTAAAAACCCAGAGATATCAATCAATTACTGTATGGTGTGATGTCATCGACGGGCATATTTTGGGTCCGATATTTGTAAATCAAAGTTAATTTGAGATAACTATTTTTTACTTTAGTGTGTCTTTTCATTCTTACTGTTTTTGGTCTTCTTTAATTTGTAAATAATTATGGTTGTTACAGTCAGTCACGGCACTCTTTGAAAATATATAAAAATTTCCTATTTTTGCCGATAAAAAAAAATAAAAAAAGATAAATTGAACGCACGGTACATTCAGCATAGGCAGGGCCTCTATGTGTCTAGTACTTATATACCGACCACACATAAACATAATTGTGAAGACATTTCTTTAAGCACCTGATATTTCAAAATTTCTAGTGAGGAAATTTAAAGAGAACTTTGAAATCAAACCATTTTTTTTGTTAGAAAACGCCCTCTGGCTTTTTTGATAGCCTAGGAAAGTCCCAATTTAATTAAAATTCGTTCAGAACAAAAAAGTAGGTATATAGAACAAAAACTTGAATTCGTCTCTAACGTTAGTATAAAGTTTAGCAGATACAAATTTTAAAAATAATTACGGCAATTGCTCTCCCTGGTGGCCGTTTCTGAAACGACTAACAAATATCTAGGACCGTTTGTTTTCGTTCAAGGGGATTCGGGGCATATGTCATAAATCCGCCAAGGGGGATAATTACGACACGCGCGTTAAAAAAAAAACAATCTGACGCGAGTGTCAACGGTTGACGTATCCAAATTCGCGATGTGCGAACATTTGAATCTCCCCTTTATACCGGACTACGAGATCGTGGACGTGGGCCCTGTCAAGGTAGTACGTCTGGAGCCCAAGTTCTCGCAGTCGTATTACAACGCCCTCAACATCTTCAGCCCGAGCAAAGCTTGCACCCTGATCGCTCTGCTGACGGCTTCCAAATGCCACGAAAACGGCCCGATCATCACCGGCCGGGTCAACAGGAACCTCATCGCTCGACTAGTAAGACTTCTGGCTGCGAGTATGCTCGACGGCAACCGAATGTACGACCGGCTCAATAGAGACGATTCTTTGAAAGACGACGGCCTGAATGTACCCGAGGCGATGGCCTGTCTCAAGTCCGACTCGCTCGACGTCATTGAATGGAAACGAGTGGTCGTCAGCGAAGTTTTGTCGGTGTCCTTAAGTGCCAGCTTGAAATCGAACCTGGAAAAATGGCCACAACGCGGGGACTCTGTTTACGTCGCGCTAATCGCATGTTCTAGGACCGTCCTTTTTGTAATACAGACCGGACCGCAGACCATAACGCTGTTCGACTCTCATCGGCAATCTTCGGAAAATGGCGCCCTCATCGCGGTCGCGGAACTGGGCTGCCTCGACGCGTTCTGTCTGTGGTTCGCGGAGGTTTTCAGACGCTGCACGGGTACCGACCCGTTTTTCTACGAGCTGTCATTTTTGTATTTCGTGAACGGGGAAAGTAAAAATTGATAATGGTTGATGGTTGGTGCTTTTTTTTTATGTAGCGTCAGTCGACCTGAGTCTGTAAACAAGGCACAGTAACCGACTAAGCGACTAAAAGAAAAGCGTTGGAACCGCAATTTATGAAACGTCACCGATTTTTGGTTGTCATTCTGTACTTGAGAGGTCCTGACTTGCAGATTTCTTATCTTTTCGAAACGTTTGCAGGGTTTTTTTTTATACCATGACTGATCTGTTCGAGTACATGCCGACTCACAGCGAGAATAACAAAAACTTGTACCTATGTTTTATCTTGATTATTAAATTCTTGTACATTTTGATATTTCTTGAAGTCGAAAACGATTTATAGATGACCACAGCTCAGATCCAGTAGCCATTTTCCGAAAGTTTACAGTTTCAAAATTGGAGGTACCAGTTAAGCATCGTGGCCAAATACGTTAGCAACACACTAACCAAATAACCAGACTAGTAAAAATCAGATTTTTCATTTTATTTAAAAATAACAATAAAAATCGTAAATCATTACTATTGTTTGTAACTATAAACCGACAAGCAAATTAATATAAGATTCATGGATAAATGTAAAGAATTCTATGTCCATTTGTGGGCAATCGAATAGAAAAAGAAGCGGATATGGGTTATGTTCTCAACATACTTTCGTTTGTTCTATGGTGAAAATTTGCCGCGAAATATTTATAGATCGGATCATCTATATTTTCATAATGAAAAAACGAACACAAAATAACACTTTGTTTAATTATTTCCCTTCACCCACCGGAAGAAAATCTGTGAATGCGGAGACGCCGAATGGCGATAAGTTCGGGAACGGAATAACTAGGAAATCCATTCACAAGGATGGTAAGAGGCAGTTGTGTTATATTAAACTTGTCGGTATCGATTTTTTTTTCGGTAGATTCTAACGACGAAGAAATTTCGGTGGCCAAAAAACGCAGTAGAATACTAGCCTTAAGTAGCGATTCTGACGATGGCTCTTCTGATAATGATGCTTATAATTCCAACAGCGACAGCCCCCATCCGAAAAAAATTAAAATTCAGAAAAGCCCGGAAGCCTCTCATAATGTATCTAAACAGTCGATTGCAGATCTATACGAATTTAAAAAAATTGAGGAACCAAAAGAAACTGATTTTCAGTATAAGGAAACCAAAAATGGTAACCCAAAGGTGAACTTTGAGGAGAAGAGTCAACAGAAAGTGACATCAGAGACTAGTTGGTTGCATGAAAGATTGGAATTTTTACGCCCTAATAAAATAATGGATGCCAATCGAAGGTAGACTGTTTTTGTTTGTAACCCCTGTAAAATTCCTACAATTGGTTTTTGTTTTTTCAGGAAGATTAGCGACGCAGATTATGATCATCACACTCTTTATGTGCCCACCGATTTTCTGAATTCTCTCACGCCTGCCATGAGACAGTGGTGGTTGCTGAAAAGTGAACACTTTGATGCAGTTTTATTTTTTAAGGTTGGGAAATTCTACGAACTGTACCATATGGATGCTGTTGTGGGGGTTCAAGAGCTTGGATTCAGCTATATGAAGGTAAGACGCGTCGCCATCGGAACGTTATCAAGATGTGATCTTGTTCCAGGGAGACTTTGCCCATTCTGGTTTCCCTGAAAGCGCTTACAACAAAATGGCCACCATGCTGGTAAATAAGGGTTACAAGGTGGCCAGAGTGGAACAAACCGAAACACCAGAACTGATGGCGGAACGGTGCAAAAACCAGAAGAAGGTAACCAAATTTGACAAAGTCGTGGCTAGGGAGATATGCCAAGTAACCACCAGAGGGACCTGCGTGTACGGTCCCCAGATGCCCGAGGCTCAGTTGGATAAAGGCTTGTACATGTATGCAATTTGTATGAAGGTACTTTTTTTTGGGTTGAACCATTTTTTTGTTGTTTGTATAGAACTAATTTTTAGATAAACCAAGACGGAACGTACAGGTTCGGCATCTGTTTTGTTGACACTTCTATTGGTACCTTTCATCTGGCTCAATTCGACGACGACAAGCACTGCTCAAAAGTTTTGGCCTTGTTCGCCGAATACTTGCCCGGATTGGTATGCCCCGCTACCGCTTGTTGCGATTGCGACATTGACTGTCCCCTCGGTTTGTTCAGGTGCTTACCGAAAGGGGCGCCAATTATGGTACCTTCAAGCAGCGTCTCCAGTTGTATTACGAAAACGTCATGCAAGACGCACTTGCGCCGAAATCGCAGTTTTATACCGCGTCCGACACCCTCGAGAAGCTATCTACGGGGTGCTACTTTAAAGACAGGGACGGGAACTTCCAGTGGCCGCAGCTTTTCCGCGACATTGCCGACGACTGTGAGTACTTTAAAAAACCAGTACTTCGAAAGTCCTATATTAATCATTCAAATACATAATTTGCGAAATCCTACGTATCGTAGAGTCAGTAGTTCAAATGTACCAGCGGTTGCGCCTGTATGTTAATTTTTCCAAAATTGAATTTGATATGTAAGTTTCATTTCGATAATTAATAATTTTGATTTTGAACTAAAACATTCATAGACGATTGGTTGAAGGTGGTGGAACTGGTCTTTATTTTTTGTTTACACAATGTTTGATGGTTCGACAATCTTTTGGTATATCTATTCATAGACAAATTTCGTGCTTACATTAAAGTATTTAAACTAAAATTAGGTGGTTCAAATTATACGTTTTATACGTTAACTTAGTAGTTCAGTAGCGTATATCTGATGATTCATAGGCCTGCCCAAGCCGGAATACGAGATGGCGATAAAATCGCTGGGCGCTTGCTTGTGGTACCTGCAGAATTCCCAGCTAGACATTCACGTATTCTCCATCGGCAAATTCGAGTTGTATGAGTCAATTTTAACAGATTGCCCGAAAGTGTTTGTGGAAAGGGACTATATGGTGCTCGATTCGATCACGATCGAAAACCTGAGTCTGTTGGGCGCCAGGGGCAGTTTACAGGGTACCATTGACTTTTGCTGCACCTCGTTCGGAAAAAGGTACCAATTATACGAGCCCCGGAATTACAATAGAGTAAAAAAAAAAGAGAACATGTCGTAAATTAAGGACGTTACCCAACAGTTCAACCAACTTATAATATTTTTTATAATAAGTTTTGAAACAGTGTTTATTCATAATAGCCCTTATTACTATTGAAAGACACCCTGAACAGTTTAAACAGTTTTTTAGGATATCGAGATGAGATAGAGAAAATGAAGATAAGTTTATGGTAACTCTAGTCGCAGGTGCAACTTAAAGCAGCCTATTGTAGTGTAACTTTCAAATATCAAGCTAATATGACACTTTCTAGGAGTAAATTAACGAAAGTTTTGTTTATTTGAAAAATTTTTGATCGATTTCGGTATACCGAAATTGATGCAAAAATTTGACAAAAGGAACTTCTTGAGTTTGTCTGATGACAAACTCAAGAAGACGTAGTAGTGACGTGACTAAAATCTAGTCAACTGGTGACTAAAGTACCGAAAATGGGTGCCAAAGGTGACGTCTTTAAGTGACACTTTTCACACGCTGATTCAGTGCATAATGGGGTAGTAGAAGAAAATTCCAATTAAAGGTGTCTTAGGGGAAGGCGTTAAGGTCTTTAGCGAATAATACAAACTTGCAATACTCATTGAGTAATTTACTTAATAAATTGTAGGCTGCAAGCTGCCCTGCAGACTTAAATTCGTCAGTTTTACGATTTCGAATGTTTTAGTACTCTCTTGTAATTCTGGGGCGACTATACCTCCTCGCTTCGTCGGTTATGTGACGCGGTTGCACGCAGATTGCTTCAGAAATGGATCTGCAAGCCGCTGTGCAATGTGGAGAAGATCCGGGCGAGACAGGAGGCCGTGAAGGAGTTGCGCGACGGGGTGCAATCGTTGGACGCGGCGCGGCAAATTTTGAAAAAATTGCCGGACCTGGAACGGCAACTTGCCAAGTAAGTTCGGGCATTTTTGGAAATTTACCGGTTCTTTTATTAAATTTTGCTATTTTAAACGAAAAGTTAGCAACATATTCGAATTCTTTCGACTTTATTTTGACAAATTAATCGCAATAAATTTAATTTTGAAGTTAATAACAGCTTTTGCGCCATAGGATTCATCATTACGGCAACAAATTTTGCGCCACCGATCACCCAGACGGTCGCGCCGTCTTTTACGAAGCGAAGACCTACTCGAAGAGGAAAATCATGGACCTGCTGAAGACGCTCAGGGGCTTTGAGGCGGCTCAACAGGTGGCCGATGTTTTCAAAGGCTGCCGGTCGCGTTTATTGAGGAAAATCACCCAGTCCCACCCCGACGGCGTCAACTTGGACCTGACCGAAATTCTGGACTATTTCAAGGTAAGGGAAGAAAAAAAAACACTCAGCTCTCCACCTCTCCCGTCGGGTTCGTTTCAGGGCGCGTTCGACCACGAGGAGGCCGAGACCAACGGCAAAATTATCCCCAAAAGGGGCGTGGACGGCGACTACGATCGGGTCAACGTCGCTATAGACGACATCAACGCGGAACTGGACGCCTACCTCGAGGAGCAGTCGTCGTTTTTCGGTTGCCGCGTCCAATACTTCGGCACCGACAAGAAGAGGTACCAGCTGGAGGTGCCCGAACATAGGGCCAATCGCGCGAACGCCGACTACCAGTTGGAGGGCTCCAAAAAGGGCTCGAAACCGTGTCGACGATTTTCGACGGAAACGACCAAGGTTAGTATCGGTAATTCAAATAAATTTTCGATCGCTCGAGTTTTACTTTAACTGGTCTGGAGTTTTCGTTAGTCAGATTGAGTAGGTCAAATGTACCGTCCTGTTAACGGGGAACTGGGCCTAAATCGGACAAAATAAGAAAAGGTTACTACTAATGGGGACTGTTGCTCATTTATATAAGTTTGAGAACTACTAAGATATCCTTCCTGAAATAATTTTATATATAATCATTAGGTCATCAAACAATAATTTCTTTAAATATTTGTAGTTGTTTATTTTTAGCATAGCGAGCTACGATTTGCTATTTGATAAATAAAAAAATCAATTTAATAATGAATATAATAAAAAAAAATTAAATAAAATATAGTTTATAATGATCTAACTTTTTAAAAATCCTTCGAAAAAAGCGTTTAGAAATTAATATACTTTGAAATACAAAATACTTAAGTCTTTCTACCGTTTCAAAAAAAATTATTATTTAGAAAATAGCGTTATGTATTTTTTCGGGAGTGTTATTTCAAAAAACGCTTAAAAGTTTGCATATGAGAAAACAATTTTCCTTCTAAATTTTTTTAACAATCAAATTAAGTGATACCATGCCTTTGTTTATTTTTATTTTATTTTTTATTTCTAAATAATTCGCAGAAATAAACATAAATAATAAACAAAATCAAAATATTACAAAGCAACGTCTCACAAATGTAGCATAAGCTACTCTCAAAAAATATATAATTACATGTCATTAAATTATTTATAACTACAAAAGATATACATTTAATATAAATTTTAAAATAGCCATAAGAACTTAAAATTATCGAAACATTGGGTGGGCAACCATTGATAAACTTCTTCTTTATAAGTGTTAACATTTTTCAGTATTTTAAAATGCCTAGGCAAGATTCTATATGCCTTAATTGTCGTCATGTATATTCCCTTTTCAAAGAGGGTAGAATTATTTCGGTGAATGCTCACGTCAGCTCTGTTTTGTTAAGATATGCATATCAGCAGTGTATAAATCTTCGTTCACAGAGAATAAATGTTTTTTTTTCTCGCTAACATAACCAAAGAGTCAAAATATAATGACGGAACTGTTAATATTTTAAGTTGGTTAAAAATTTTTCGATAAGAAGCAATATCTGACAAAAGTGTGATTATGCCTAGAAATACTTTATTTATATAACCATATTTATATATTTCGCTTATCTAACAATTCCATGAATTATTGTTTATAAAATAAAATCGAATCATGGAATTTGCAATAAAATTAAACATTTTTCTTACCTACTTCCAAGAAGCATCAACTATTCAAGCGATTTCACTAAATACTCAAAATCTCAAAACCAGATAGAAAAATAGAAAAGTATATATAAACAATTTCGTGATACAGTCATCCACCTTTATTATTAACGTTTATGACAAAGGAAAAAAACATATTGGCTGCATTAATCGAACTATTTTTTTACTGTACTATGTAAAATATTCCACAGGTGTTTAAATTATGATAAAACTAAATTGAGACCCCCTTAATTCGATTGGGCCCCTTCATTACAGACACAAGGGCCAATTAGTAATAATGATTATTCATGATGGGGCGCCCCTTGCATTTGAGTAGTTCAAACGTTCAGAACTCTTTTTTAATGTACCATGTACAATATTCCAAAATTAAATTAACAATCAAGTTGAGACCCTCCTGCCGGTAGTTCGATTGGGCCCCTTCATTACAGCCACAAGGGCCAAACTTTAAAGGTATTTGAGTAGTTCAAACGTTCCGAATTGTCGGAGGACCGCGCACCACGTAAGTAATCCCGCGATTTACATCTCGCGCAGGAGCTCCTGCATAGAATGCTGCGCGCCGAACAGGAGCGCAACAAAATAATCCTCGACCTGAACCGGAGGATATTCGAAAAGTTCAGCGAGAAGTACGACAAATGGCAGCAGGTCATCCACTGTCTCACCACGTTGGACGTGTTGTGCTCGTTGGCGCAGTACGCGCGCGGTTACGCGCAGGAGATTTGCATCCCCGACGTCGAACCCTTCGCGGAACACGTAAGTGGACGACGCGTCGCGTCCAGATTGGCCGCATCGTTTTGCCGTTCTAGCCGTACGTCACGATCGAGGACGGACGTCATCCGTGCGTCGCCGAGGTCGACGGCTTCGTGCCCAACAGCGTCACTTTGGGGCGCCGCGACGCTCGCGGCGCCCTCATGATACTCACCGGCCCGAATATGGGCGGCAAATCGACTCTGATGCGTCAGACCGCCACCATATGCATCATGGCGCAAATCGTAAGCATTTTTTTTGTTTCGCGCATCGTTTTAGTCGATAGGCACAACGTATAGTGGAGTGTAAAAACGAGGGAGCCGCAATGGTCGTCACCTCCAAATTTTGTGGCTATAGGGCCACGTAGCAAAGATCAAAAGAAGAAGAAGAAGAACTGATCTCTCTCGTAACAAATGTATTTCCAACACCGGAATAATATAAACGGATGAAATCATTTAATGGGTATTCTGTTTTAACTGTTATTTTTTATGTCTTGTACTGCTTGTTCTCACTGGTGATGATTAAATATTCTAATAATAAAATTTTCGTATTAATTAGTTTATCATCAACATATTTCATCACTTATAATATTCAGAGAGAAGGTACTATATGTTAGCTAAATTTATCTGTTAATTCTTTCTTGTCCCAATAAATTATTTAAACTAATTACATCATAAATTCTTATTTCTATGACCAAAAAAGAACACTTTTTTGGTTAATGTTTTCGGTTAACACTGAATTCTAGTTTTCTCTTTAAAAATAAAACTAATTTTTACATTTTTCCGTGGATAAATGATTCTGCTGTGGAACGGAAATTTTGAAATTTGTTTTTCGTTCTTGACGCTTTGAACGTAGTAAAATCCTTTCGGATTCTTATTTTTACAGTAAAAAGAAAAGGTCTCTTAGAAATTTTAAGTAAAAAAATAACCGTTAAAACGGAATCAAACGTAAAGGCTGTTTCACGGTTGGTGGTAGAGTTCTCCAAACGATATACCGTTTTTACGACGGAATTCGGTAGTTAACTTTAATAAATAGATTCGCAATTCCACATTCACGTTCCAGACCCGCACTGACTGAGCTGACGGATTTGTGTAGAGTTTCATCGGTGAGATTCCTCGATTATTATTAGTCCATGCAGTAAAAAATCCATTCTTACTTTAAAATGTTTATTATAAATATAAATGAAGGAGGAAATTTTAACTGTTAAACAATTTAAGGTTATTCTACGTCAAAATAATCACTATCGTCAATTAGAAGCTTCTCTTCTAATTAATTTTATTGCCATAGAACTAAACTGGGATTCAGCTATCACGGATTAAAATTGCAGACGGACACTCCGTGACCAATTTGTCATCATTATATTTCTTATCAAAGATTCTCACGCGCATTTAAAATTATAATTACGTCATCGACCACAATCTCAACTTCTTCGTCGCTGGACATCGCAAGTGACTAATAAAATTGAATAATGTTAGTATTTGGTAAGAAATAAATTTTAATAAAATGTTTACGGTACCTCAATAAAAACGGCACACCGAGTCTTGAAAAACAATTGAATAACAGTAAATGCTAACCAACCCCCACAAATCGACCAATAGCGAACTGGAAAAACACTAATTATATTATCACGTATATTATCACATATACCTAAATCGTTTGGTTTCTGAAATAAAAGCAAGTTTCTCTGAAAACTTGGCAGAATTCATCTTTTAAGTCGGTCGGTCATAAACATTATTGATTGTGGAAATTTAATTGAAGGAAACCAGTATTTCAGTGCTGTTTCAATGAATTTGTTTATTACGCATGCAGGAAATTGAATGAAAACGAAAACATTTTGAAGACTATATATACTAACAATATATTAGGTAAATAAATAAAAATTGCACACTGAAGCGGCTTCAGTGTCGTAGTAATAAAAATTTAATTGAAGCTATGTTTTGGTGGTTAAAATAAATAAAAGTAAAAAAATGAATATTATTTAAAAACAATCGTAAAGAATACATATAATATACATGGCGTCCTATTTAATCGTCCTTTACGGCACGTCGTTAACGTCTAAGGTGAATCTTGCAACGCCCCGTATATTTTTTTTCATTATATGTCTAGTATAGTCTAGTAATTTCGCTTTTCTTCTTACGTTTCTTGGTTTCTGTCTTGATCAATTTGCCATAATTTCGTTTTTAATTAAAAAAGTTTAAATAGATTTTCAATTTTCACATCACTGTACAGGGTGGGTTCGTGCCGGCGTCTCGCTGCTCGATGAGCTTGATAGACCGAGTGTTTACTCGATTAGGCGCGTCGGACGACATCGTCCACGGCCTGTCGACTTTCTTCGTGGAGCTGACGGAGGCGTCGACGATTTTGAAGCACGCGTCGCGCCAATCGCTGCTCATCGTCGACGAACTGGGACGGGGCACGTCCACTTACGACGGTCGGTGACATTCCGGGAGTTTGAGGGGCGGGTTTTCACGATTTTCTTCCCCGCAGGAAACGCGATCGCTACCGCTTACGTCCAGAAGCTCGCCGAGATCGAATGCCGTACGCTGTTCTCCACACACTACCATAACCTCGTCGAGTACTTCGCCGATAAGGAGGGTATCAAGCTGAGTCACATGGTGAGTAGGTCGAGGTTGTCAATCTTTGAAATAACGCCAAAAACGTGAAATCCCATATACCTTGTACGTGGAATTGTTCATGGCAAACCTCAGAACATTTTGTGGTTCAGTCAAATTTAAATATCCTCCTATTGTTGCTTGTAATACACGTTTTACTCAACCAAGCTAAATTCCGCTCCTTATCAACCCAATAAAGTTATCAGTCACGACAAAAATGTGATTTTTTATTTCGTAAATTCGTTTTGATTTTGATAATTTCCTCTGTCTTTTGCGTTTTTAATAATTTCCTCTGTCTTATGCGTTTTTAATAATTTCCTCTGTCTTTTGCGTTGTTAATAATTTCCTCTGTCCTTTGCGTTTTTAATGTTATTTTTTTCTCTATTGAATGGCATATATCATTTTTTCTTCTTATATTTTCGTAGGCCTGTATGGTGGAGAACGACGAGGACGCTAGCAAAGAGTCCGTAACGCTGCTGTATAAACTAGCAGGAGGGCGGTGCCCCAAGTCCTTCGGCTTTAACGCCGCGAAATTGGGCGGCCTGCCCGATCGCGTGGTGGCGCGGGCCCGAATTTTGGCGACAGAAATCGAACACGAGGACCGGAACAAGCAGGCGTTTAAAAAGATTTTCGTCGACGGTGTCCCCATTCGAGACGTTAGGAATATACTCAAGCAGCTCACGCTTTAAGTGTTTTTTTTTTTTAATTTTGTAAAGACCAATATCTGTTTTTATTATTTTCTCATTTACTTCTAAGCATAAAACAAGTTACTTTTAATTAGTTATTAAAACCTTTCAACCCTTTATTGGATCTGAATTTATAAATGTTGAGCGTATTAACATATCGAATGGGTTGAGCAGTGACGCTCAAGTTATGGCCCAATGGCCTTTTCGAATTTGGCCAGGTACAAAACGAAGAACGACCTTTAATCCATCAGCCGACAATGACAAACTTTAACCCGAACCTAAAAAAACTCCGCAAAATGAGTGGCAAAGTACACAGACGAGATAAAAACTCGTTTCAGGATCAAAGCGTATTATAGGGTAATATTCGGAATCGAGATTGCGTAACGCTCGAGTGTGTCGCGTCAGCCGTCTAGAAAATCATGGGCGACATCGTAAAATTCCATTTGAACCTCTTTAAATCGTCCCTTAACAATGCGTTTTCTGGGAAAGAACCGTGGCAAATCGTCACCCTCACGACGAGCAGTGTTTTGTTTGCCGTGTGGCTGTACGACTTTTTGAACCAAGACGAGAGTAAGGCCGTCTAGGCGCTCGCGACGCTTAAATAAGTTAACACGGCCGGGTTCTAGCTATTACCGAAAGGTTCAAAAAAGCGGCCTTTAAGTTAGCGAAAAGGATCCCGACGATTCAACAAAAGATCGACGAGGAGTTGAAAACGATCGCCGCGGATTTCGAAGCGGAAATGAGTAAACAGGCCGCTCACTTGAGCTACATCACAAACCTACCTCCCAGCGGACTTTCAACGGACAACATTTTAAAGAAAATCAACGAAAACTTGGCTTTGGGTGCGTTATGGTTGTTTGCAAAGGGCATTAGTAAGTGAAACTATTCAAGGGGCTTACCGGTGGAAAGAAGGTTGCGCCTCGGGCGCCGTTTACTGCTACGACCCCGACCTAATGAGTCTCGTGGCGCAGATTTACAAACTGACCTCATATACAAACCCGTTGCATCCCGATTTATTCCCGGGGCTGTGCAAAATGGAAGCGGAAGTTGTTAGGATAGCCTGTAACTTGTTCCACGGGGACGACAATTCGTGCGGGACGGTGCCGAATTTTATTTTGAGCAGGTGAGGTTAGGTTTTCATTGGCGATGTCGTAGATGACTACGGGTGGTACCGAATCGATCATAATGGCTTGCAAAGCTCACAGGGACTACGCCAAGAACAACAGGGGTGTGAAAAGACCCCAAATTGTAGTACCCGTTACCGTTCACTCTGGTTTTGATAAAGCCGCTCAATATTTGGGTCTGAGAGTGAAGTACATCCGGGTAGATCCCCAGACCTACCAAGTCGATATTAAGGCAATGAAAAGGGCGATTAATCGGAACACTATTATGGTGGGTGAGTGTTTGAGGTGGGGGGCTAAAGTCGTGTGGTTAGCTTGTAGGCTCGGCTCCGAATTTCCCGTACGGCACGATGGACGACATAGCTGCCATTTCCGAACTCGGGATTAAATACGGCATACCGGTGCACGTAGATTCATGTTTGGGTGGGTTCTTGACGTGTTTTATGGAAGAAGCCGGCTATCCGACGCCCCCTTGCGATTTCCGTTTGCCCGGCGTGACCAGTATTTCAGCCGATCCCCACAAGTACGGTTTCACCCCCAAAGGTACTTCGGTCGTCTTGTATCGTGACAAAAAGTACTTACATCATCAGTACACTGTCACCACCGATTGGGTGGGTGGAGTCTACGGTTCACCGACCGTTAACGGGTCGAGGGCGGGGGGTAACATAGCAGTGTGTTGGGCCACATTGTTAAACTTCGGAACTGAGGGCTACATTAAAGCCACCAGGGATATTGTTCACACAGCACGGTACATCGAGAAGGGGTAAAAAAAAACGTTTTAAATCGACGGGCGCGTGTTACGGGGGCTGTTTTAGGTTAAGGCGGTTGAAACCTATCTTTGTCTTTGGCCAGCCGGCCACCAGCGTGGTCGCTATCGGGTCTAACGAATTCGATATATACCGGTTGTCTGACGCCTTGCAAAAATTGGGCTGGTGTTTGAATATATTGCAGTTTCCTTCTGGGTAATATTTTCCTGTCGTTTCATTTCACTTTTGAAATTTCCTCGCTTTAGGATTCACATTTGCGTCACTTTAATGCATACGAAGCCTGGCGTGGCAGATAAATTTTTAAATGATGTAAAATCCAGCTTGACGGAGATCATGAAAGATCCCGGAGTACCCGTCGAGGGAAAGGTACCCTCATACTTAAGTATATATGGTTTCTAACGGTTCCTCGTTTTAGATGGCTCTATACGGCACCGCACAGAAACTCCCGGATCGAAGTATCGTCAGCGAAATCACCAAGTGTTATTTGGACTCCATGTATTTTATCCCCAAGAACAAGCAGTAACTGCCCAGTACTTAACACGATACTTTTGTGTATTTGTTACGATTTTTACACAATCCCATCTCAAAAATTATTTTGTTGGTTATGTAACGAAATTTTGAATAAAAGCTTACGCCATTATTTCTTGGGCTTGTAGTTATTTTTACGTTTTCCCCCGGTTCAGTGCGATCAATTAACTTACCGTTTGCCGGTATTAGAGAAATAATTTGACTTCCTCACATTAAAACCATAAAAAATTAGAGAAAATACTAAAATGCTCTCGGCTCAGCAAGACTGCTGTGGTCATTCGCCCATTTTCCGGCATTCACCGACGATTTTTTATTTGATGACTGACCAACATGTAAAAAGATAAAATATTTCTAATATTTGTTGTCAGCCAGCAAAAAAGGATTTTGACCGATACCAATAAAATCGGCTTCCTCCCGCTACCTCTCCAGACCAACCGGACACCAACCGGCGTGAACAGAAAAAACAGCGTGGCAGGCACACTTAAACACGATTACTAAACACTTTCGCAACGAAAATCACACGAAAAAAGAACCGATATCAGAATTTTTGGGACGAATATAAAGAATTCTACAAGGAGCGGGGGGAGGTTAAGACGCCCTATCCAACACTTCACCACAGAATCAACCATAGAAAAAAAATGCTTTATACTCTACGGTTTTCGTGGGAAGAATGGAAATGGAGTAATTCGATCTGTTTGTTTACAGCTGTCTCAATATTGGGATAACCTTATTGTTAAACCCTAATAACTAATATGGTGAAACCTCAAAGTCGTTGGTATTGTATTGCATTGTCTAGTGCTGCAACATTCAAGAACTTCGGCGCTCACGGTCCAGCTAAAGTATAAATACTTTTTACGCAGTAGGACGAAGAGTTTGTTGTTATTAGACTTTGAAACGATTTGATTATATTTGTCTAGCACGAAATCAAGTACAGTGTCTTAAAATTTCATGTTAGATATTAAAGAAGTTTTATTTTAAAACAAATATAACACTAGCGCAGTCGTGCGACTTTGAAAAAGTGAGAAAGAACGAAAGTGAACGAAAATTTTCTACTCGCGTGAACCAATTCATCAACAGAAAGATTCAACGCTCCAGAAAATTCAAAAAATGGAATTAGAAAGTCTAGAAGTTCTGAAAAAAAAACTGCTTCCCGACCCCGCAACCCCCATTTCAATAACTTCCGTCACGGGCCAAAGCTGCATATATGTGCCAAATATGAAGTCGATTGCTTCGGACACTTATCATCGTCTTTCTTAGCAATGTCCAAAAAACAGTCGAAAGATGTGAAAAAAGATGGATACCAGTTTCGGATCAGGGCCACTTCTTATAAGCTTGTGTGCCTCATGGAGGCTTAAACAGGAGGCAAATTTTAATTTTGTAGCTTCTAAAGTTATTCAGGAAAAACCAAAAGACGAGAACGGAGAACGGACAGACAAAAAAAAAATTTTTTTTCGACGATGTATTGGCGATGCCATGACCTACTTTGAACGCCGTAGGACAAAGAGTTTGTTGTTATTAGAATTTGAAACGATTTGTTTGTTTTGTTCACTACGAACTGTACACACAACTTCTTGTCATATCGAGTTTTTTGAAAAACAAAAAACCTCGGCCACACGCATATTCGAAATTACGATACCATCCATCGGGAACGCATAAAGAGGAGGAGGTGTCGAAAAAACCATCCGGCGCAACCAAAGCTCCGCCCCGCGCGGCCATCGATTTCGTAAGCCGGCTCCTGATTGGTCGAACAGAGAAACTTCAATTAACCGGCGCCAAACTTTTCGACACCTCCTCGATGATTATATTTGCCTGATAAAAATGGTCGAAAATGAATTCGAACGGTGTTTGAAGCGCGAAATCCAGTGAACGGACGTGAAAACGTCTTGTGGGTCGCACGTCATAATTTTGAAACAACCACGCAGTAGACATATTTAAATTAAATGCAATAAATGAATCTCGAGAATTTTATCGGTTTTAACGAAGCTTAATTTGGTGTGCTGCTAGGTAGGCATTCGTGATGATTCGTAAATACGACTTAAATCTGCAAATAAGTGGATTTTCGTTCTAAAATATGTTTTATTCCACATTCAAAACAATAAAATTTTAGCAACAGCGACTTCTTTGGGAAGTTACTTCAACTAGAAGTTTTAATCCCGTGCAGCGCCCTCTATAAGCCAGTAGAAAAACCATATTCTTTCAGTTTTTTTTCTCTGAGTGGTGCAAAAAAGAAATCTATCTAAAATCTCCCTACATTCCGTGAAACTAACCTAAATTATTAACCTAATCTTAAATATATTTTGCTGGAAAACCGAATTAAAAATGAGTACATTTAAGAGGTTAAATACGAATATTTACGAAAAGAGCGGGCCTGAGGTCACTCCGGATTTCATTTATTGGAAAAAACTAGCGGTAAGTGTCCTGCGTACCGTTTCGTTTCATTAATACAATATCAATTGCAGCCGCCGATATTAATTAAGGAGTTTGGTCCGATAGACTACGTAGACTTCTCGCCTGTGGAGCCCCACTGTTTCGCGGTCACCTGCTCGGTGAGGGTGCAAGTGTATAATCCTATTACAAAACTGGTGGTAAAAAATTTATCCAGATTTCGCGAGAACGCGTATGGGGCAATATTTCGAAGCGACGGAACATTGATATGCGCCGGAGGCGAAGAGTCGAACGTCAAGCTGTTTGACGTCTCTACTAAGAGTATGTTAAGGTAACTATTGGCTTTATGACATACCAAAAGGCCTAATGGAATGTTTAAAATCAGGTTTTTCAAGGGGCACTTGGCGCCTGTTCACAGAACAGCGTTCATGCCACAAAAACCACAGATCGCGTCATTTTCAGATGACAAAACAGTGCGAGTGTGGGATGTCGCAACGGAGGCAACTTTACATACATACTCCGGGCATGACGACTATGTGCGCGCAGGTGTAGTAAGCAATGACGTTCCAGATATCGTTTTATCAGGCAGTTATGACAATTGCGTGAAAATGTATGACACCAGAACAGATAAAGAGGTTATGTCAGTGAACCATGGCAGTCCGGTAGAATCGTTATTGGTTTTGCCTTCCGGTGGTTTATTTCTTTCTGCTGGGGGGACAGATATTAAAATATGGGACACTATAGCTGGGGGCAAGTTGGTCGGCAGCATTTCTCAACACCACAAGACTATTACTTGTCTCAAGCTGGCTTCAGACAATAGAAGGCTCTTATCTGGAAGCTTAGACAGGCATGTGAAAATATACGACATAAGCTCTTTCAAAGTTGTACACACACTGGATTTTCCCAATGGTGTACTTAGCGTGGGGGTGTCCAAAAATGACGACACGTTAGTGGCAGGGCTAGTCGATGGTATTATTTCAGTTCAGAGAAGGGAAGAGGATGTTGAACAGAAAAAACCGTCCAAGGCAGCCTCTTATCAATACATTTCGAGCGAAATTCCTTATACTGTTGATACCATAATTCCGGATGTGAAGCATGATAAGGAGGCCAAATATGACCATCACTTGAGAAAATTTGAATATTCGAAAGCTTTAAATGCGGTCCTTATGCCCTATGTGATCAACAAACACCCGGAGAGGACAGTTGCTCTCTTGCAAGAGCTTATGAAACGCAAGGCCTTAGGTAAGGCCATATTGGCGGGAAATATGAATACCATTAAGCAATTGGTGAGGTTTTTCATCAGAAACATAACAGATCTCAGGTTTAGTAAAATTATAATACAAGTGGCAGATGAAGCGTTAGACACTATCACTGAAAACTTGATCAGTTTACCTCCTGATATAGGAGCTTTGTTGGTGCATTTGCATCAAGTTTTGAAGCAAGAAGAAGAACTAAGTAGAGAACTCGCCATGGTGCAAGGAATGATGCAAACTTTGTTAGCGAGTCAATTGGCTGGAAACTCGGAGCCTGCATATGATAAAATAATACCACTAACGGATACATAACCTCTAAATCCTTAAATTAAAGCAATGTCAGAATAACAATTCTATTGTTTTTTATTTATGGTGTCTAATTTGGCCTGAATCGCCTCTAAGTTACTATACAAATGAAGCAGATTACTTTCACCCATTTCCAACACAAGTTGTTCCCCTGTATCTGCATTTGTAGCATCACTCAACTCAAACTGAAGTCTGCCATTAGGCAAGGCTTGCTTGTTACCCAGATTTGAAGCTGTCTGTAAATTCAGCTCCCAAGATAGACCTTCAACTTTCTTCCTAGCGTCAAGCTCTCCAAGATCTTTGCTAGCTTTATGCGACCATTGTTTCACAAACTCTTCCGCTTTCTGTGGCTCCAGCTTCAACACTTCTGTGCAATGCCTTTGCAGTTCACTGGGCTTTAAGATAACTTTGCTGCTTTGCTTAAAAATGTAGGATATGCTCTGCAAAAGTAATTGTAGTTTAGCCTCCTGCAACTTCAAAGAATCTCCCAATTTTTTCAATTCATCGTCGGAAAATAAAACGTCCGATTCATGTGTGGCTATATGTGAAATTAGAAGCTGAAATTTTACAGCAGGCAAATTATTTATCAAAGATATTCCTTGATGTAACCTACAAAAATATTCAACAAACTTTGTAGAGTAAATGTAGTTTCCCCTCACCTATTATTAACTGAAATCCAAGGTAAACTCATTTTACCATATAATAATAATAACAATAAACAAAAATTTTAAAGCTTTCGACTCATATTTAAAAATCTTATCTTATTATTAATATATCAATGATAATTTTTCGACATTCTGCGCCCAATAAACCAATCTTTTTTCTTAGTGTCTAACAACAAGCTAACCCCAAATTTGAACAACTTTTCTATACCATAATGAGTATTCCACTTTTTCCGAAATGTTTACCAAGATTTACTGATCCCAATTGGTTTGATGTTGATCAGCCATGTGCCGACGAAGATGAAATTTCGCAGCTAGAGAAAGAACATCAAGATTGGGTACGTTTTACCGCAAAATTTTCGTTTGGTTCAAGCTGTATTGTAGATTGAGGCCATCACCCTAACAAATTCCGATTCGATCCCCATTGGAAAAACAAATTCAGAGGTAATACTTGCATTTATAATTCTCGCGTTTAACAATTTCCCAATTTTTGCTCCTAGGCCATCGAAGATGACGAAGATGAGGACGATGAAGACGACAATGATGATGACGACGATTCTGACAGCCACGATGACGACGAGGAGGAAGAAATTGAAATTGATCCAGAACGAATTCATAGTTAAACCATAGATATTATGTTTACTTAATCCTATTTATTTATATTTCATTTTTTTCACAAATAAAGTAACAAAAATTAAATGCATCATTAATTATTCATACAACTCAAAATCTATCCTGCTTAGAGAATAAAAGTTGGAGTCCTCTCCATATTTTCGAACCATTGTTCCAGGTTTAAAGTAGTTTTCTTTTTGCCATTTTATCATTTGAGCGGTGTTGTATGGACCTGAAATGTCATTGTCTTGGGCTGTTGATTTAAATTCCCAAAGCAACTCTGTATGTTCCGAGGATGCCCCATTTTTAGCCTCTGCTTCATTTAAAGAAACAACAAAACTTGTAGATGGTTCATCTGAAATCGCCATTAAAATTTATGCAAAACAATGACTAAAACTATACTTTACCTTTGAGTTTTTCCTTTTCCTTCTCTTCAAAATCATCAGCGTACATGTCCAATTCAGCTTCCCTTGCCAAATTTTTGTTTTTATTCATGCTCCTATCAATTTTAGATGAAATTTGCTCGAATGTTTCCTGATAGATATCCATATTCCCAAGTTTTGTAAGAATCAAATCAGCCAATTCTGTTAAGTTGGCAACATCTTCATTCGTTTTCAAAGTGCCGGCTTTTTTACGTCTTAGCCGCTCTATACTAGAAAGCTTCATATCAGCGTCGCCTAATCGCTTAATAGCCTTATTGACACTCTCTTTGGGTTTCATGAAAGCAATCATTTTCCTGTAAGTGTTAATTTCATCAAAGGGCACTTCACTTTCATCATCTGAGTCGCTTTCGCCTCCCAAGCCCTGGTCATCAATGTCGTATTTGTTAGCGCTTTCGGAATTATGCTTAATCTTCTGCCAATCGATATTATCCAGCCAATTATCGCGAATCTCTTTCTCGTTGTTCCATATAAAATGACCCTGCTTATCGAAGTGGCCTTCTTCCATCTCCTCCTTCATGTTAAACGCGGTCATTCTCTGTTCACCTTCATGCCTGGCGATCCCGTCTTCTTCGCCTTCGATATCGTCTTCGTGTAAAACATTGTCGTCGTCAGCGAAATCCTCTTCGTCTGAATCTAATGTGTGCTTTTTGCCTTCGTCGAGATTGGCTGCTACGCGTTTCTCTCCCGAGGTCGAAAACTGAGTTTCGTGTTTACGTTTCGACATTAGTAAAAAGCGCTTTACGAATATTATTTAAAGAAAATTCATTCACCGAAAACTCAGGTTATGTTTATTTTTCTCGGTAACACGGATGTTAAAAAAACGGTTTAGAAAAAGCATACGGACCACAAACGTGAACGGCTTAGTTCTTTTTCCGAAACGGTGACGTTTTAAAAATAGTTTTCTCAATTTTTGTCGCCATTAACGTCATTTGTTGACGTAATTTTGTCTGCTTTGTAATTTTTGTGCACGACCATGTGATTAATTCGCTTTTCAACATAGTAGTACATTTATATTTTACACATCGAAAATCGCGCAGTCGTCATAGCGATTTCAACATAAAGAAAGCAACGCTAAATACAATTTATTATTGTAACACATATAAATCAACCTCAACATTTCTCAGTATAAACATCTACAAAACCATTAATACAAAAGCCACATTGTTCAATTTCATTAGAACAGAAGCAGGAGGGATCCTGGAATACTAATGCTAGTGCGTTCTTACAACAATATTAAATGTGAAATAAGCTTGTTGGAATTGTTCGGCAACTACCTGCGGTTCGACAATCTCGTTTCGATATTAATAAAAAGCTTTTTTCGAATATTATTTAAAAAAATTTCATTCACTGAAAACTCAGCTTCTTCTTCTACTTTTCTTCTGTAGGCAAAGACTGCTGAAAACTAAGGTTCTTTCTTCTTTACTTCTAATGGCCATAACTACATAAGGTCATTCCAGCTTAAACAATTATGAACATTATTCAAATATCCTAAAGAATGCCTTCTTAAGAAAAGGTTCTGAACCAATCAATAATCCTCCGCATTTAGTATGTATACAAAATGGAATTTCAACAAGAAAATGGTTCTTTGACCGATTACAAAACACGGCCTCCTCCGCTTCTCCCGCGGACAATCCGAGTCCATCAGGCCGCCATACCGGCGTGAACAGGAAAAAACGACGGGACCGATTATAACTTTAAAACATTCACTGAAGACTAAAAACACTAAATCCACACTGGGGAAACCGATTTCAGAGTTTTTGGGGACCATTACAAGGGATTCTGACGGGAACGAACGGAGGTTAAACCACGCGTGCGATGCTCCACCACGGAATCAAAACTTAGGTTATGATTGTTTTTACTTTTCACGAAGCGGCGAAATACTAAAAATAGGTTTCTCAATTTTCTCAAGTGACGTCTTTTGATGACGTAAATTTTGTTTTGCATTTCTTCAATTCGCTTTTTCCTTAAATGCAACTTACAAAACTTTAGAATTAATTCGTTTTTCAAAATAATGGAACATTTATATTTTCAGTCATTGTCATAGCGATTTCGAAATTAAAAAGCAACGCTAAATACACTTTATTATTGAAACACATATAAATTCAACCTCAACATTTCTCGGTATAAACATCTACAAAACCATTAATACAAAAGCCACATTGTTCAGTCTCATTAGAAGAGAAGTAAGAGGGACCCTGGAATACTAATGCTGGTGCTTTCTTACAACAATATTAAATGCGAAAGATTAATAGTAAATATGAAATAAGCTTGTCGGAATTATTTGGCAACTGCCTGCGTCTCGATAATCTCGAACGTGACCTTGTTCTCGTTAAGCTGTTTGACTAAGGAGGTCTTGAAGAATGTCGCGCCTGGTGAATAGACACCTCCCCTTAAATGCATAAAACAAAAATTATAATAAGCAGAAAATATTCACTTACAGAGAAAAAGATTAAAAGCGGTGAGGCGAGGGTGTAGCAAGGTAAGCATAAACCCATAGATTATTAATTGGTCTACCCCTTTTTTGAGGTTAAAATGAAACCTTATTCTACCTCGCTGAAATAATGAATAAAGCGTAATAAAACGTGTCTACTCACTTTCCGTTGCCGGCGAGCTTGTCCTTCTCGGTCAGGATCGTAATGGCGGACAATATCAGAGCGATGCAGGTGGCGCCGTAACCCGGATTTCGCCCTTTCACTTTCCCGGCGATGCGTTGGTTGACCGGGGTGGTGTACTGATCGTTCTTATCCGCCAACTTCTCTTTCCAACCCTCCCCGTACAAATTAAGTTGGAACCAGGTGTTCTCAATCATCTCCTCCGATGGCGACTTCTTGGAGCACATACCGAAGCTGAATATTTCGGGGTAGTCCTTCAACAGACGCCGTCCGAAATTAAAACGACACATCAACAAGAAAATGACGCCAAAGACGCCCATCGCGAGCACGGACAGGAAGTTGGGTAGCAGGAAGTAAACTGTGGCCTGGACGGGACGCCGATCTTCTTCCTCGTAGAGGTAGCGCTGGGTGCGACGGATTACGGAAGGGTCCGCGCCAGGGAAAGGCACCGCCCATCCTTCGAGGCTCTGGTCCTTGGGTTTGTGGGGCAGTTTCCTGCAACAGCCATCGTTGAAATAATTCCGCTCCGGGGGGCCCAGCAAGTTTCCTTCGCTTATTTTGATCTTATACAATCCTCTATTTCTAATTAAGGGTCATCAGAAATCAATTTTTTGAACATTTCCTAAGAAGAGCAAATATACTGCTAAATTATAGTCAATTATCGTCAACTTCCAGTCAGGAACTGAGAAACACGGAGAGAGAAGAGTTTAATTTGTACTTCAAAAACTAATAGAAATATGACAACACTGCAGTAAATATAAACTTCGAAGAATAAAAAAATATATAAATCAGTCTAAATAAATTATTCGACATTAACTCAGTAATTAAAATTAACTAAAACCTCATGGATCAGCAAAAACCAAAAAAAAAAAAATTCTAATATAAATATTTTTTTAGATAGATAATAAATAAATTTGTTTGCTTAGTTTTTATTAAGATTAAGAACTTTATCGGAAAATGCCAATCAAAAACCATTACTTCAAAGCCAATCGGGGTTCAAATTTGGGGATCTTGTCTTTCCACAACTTGGCCCGGATTTCTTTTAAAGTTTCAATATTGGATAGACTTTCGACCAATGTGTGCCACGTTCCATAATTAAGAATTGGACCCTTGACTGAACCCTCGGTCCAGGTCTTCATATAAACCTCCACGGAATTTAGAGTTCCCTCAAACTGCTGCTCCATATAGACCACACCCAAGTCTGAGGGTATGCTGTCGAGACCACATGCACTGACGGCATAAACACCTTAAAAACAATCTAAGTGTTTTATTTAGACCTTAATGAAAATCGAAATTCTAACCTTTCTTAACTGCCTCTTCATGATACTCTAACTGCATCTTCTCCATAAATTCAGGTTCGCCGGTGACGTCGACGTAGTGAGCGCCACTTGCGATGCAGGCCTTCACAACACCCTCACCGAGAAGACTATAAGGGCCGCAGCAACTGAGAACCACCTTGGCTTGTTGTGCCATCTTCAACAAAGAATCGTAATCGTTTATGTCTGCGACGATTACGGGGGTGGAGCTTAAATCAGCTTCTGTTTAAAGAAAAAATTATAACGCCGTTGATCTTTCCCACCAGCCACCACACTCACCGATCTTGTTGCCGATATCTTTCAAAATTTGCTCCAATCTGCTTTTGGATCTACCCGCTACCGCCCACGTCAAGTTCCGACCATTTTCTTTCGTAAGTTTGTGTAAATACGGTATACAATGGAGACCGGTGAAACCGGTGGCCCCAAACAATACGAGATCTACCTTATTTGCCATTTTCTAAATCTGCAAAAAACACGCAATAAAAAAATTGCGTTACAAAAAAAATACAAAGTCCAATGGTTTAAGATCCCATCGATCGAATGCAAGAAACGCAATTTCTAATTTAATGCAAAAAAAAAACACACTCAAGGCCTTCTCAATTTAAAAATAGACGAATATTCCAGATGTCTGCGTTCGATTCCGCAGATGCGAAGGAGAGCGTTCAAAATTAGATTCGAAAAGTTGTTTCGAATGTCAGCAAAAAATAAAATGCTACTTTTATTTCCTTTTTCGTAAACATTATTCCGGGGATGAGTCATAATATCGACAACATATATAAAAAAAAATTACTGACTACATCAAGGCATATTAAAAAGAAAAAAAATCAAAAAGTTTTATCTCTTTCCTCGGCTAAGCACGAAGACTATTACAAAACACCGTTATCATAAAATTGCCCGCATTATGCAGTATCATAGTCTATTGTCACGTACTTATGTTGTTCACAACTAAACGACAAATGAAATCATCAAACATCAACAACACTGCCACACAGACTACTGGTGTTAAAACTGTCAGTCACGGATTGTTATATGAAACAAAATTCGACGAGTCATCCAAGTCATCAACTGATAGAAACATTTTTAAACTTCGGTTAGGCTCGGAGAACTTACGGGCCTCAATATATCACTATTCTGTGCTAAGGCTATTTGTTATGGTTTTTGTTTTGTGGTACCCAAGTTTTTCTGGGCATTATTTAAGTTTGGAGCTAATTAAGTTTATATATATATATATATATATATATATATATATATATATATATATATATATATATATATATATATATATATATATATATATAAAACTTAATTAGCTCGCAAGTATATTCCCCATTTGATAGATTTTGTTTATCAAACAAATCTTAAGTGGAATAGACACAAATATAATTTGATATCCCAAAACAAAAACATTTTTAATAGCATCACTTCTAGTCGAACATGGAAAGACTTCTTACTCTCACGGTCAACTAAACATCTTCTTTTTTCAGATTTCCAGATAAAAGAGTGAAACCTACTTACTCTATACTTTAAGACTTGTAGTTAAAAATTTTCAATGTGATAAATTGTTTTCGCTGCTCATCCATCCATCCTGGCAATATTTTCCGTGCAGGGAATCCCGTAGAAAATACATCGCCGGTGTTATTTTCGAGTAATACGACAGTTTAAACTTAATCGTTGATGCCGTTATAATCATTATCCCAATAAAAAAATATTTTATTGATGAAATACAACAAGTGGTACATTAATTAACGAATTATCGATGGAGGAAAACCAATTCTAGCGCCATCTTACGACGACCGATGGAACATTACATTGCAATCTCTTGACGCTTGGTAACCTCAAATGTTATGTTTCTCTCGTTGATCCGCTTGATCAGGGAGGTTTCAAGAAACGTCGCGGCCGGTGAATAAATACCACCCCTTAAATTGATGCGTACAAAAATTAACGCTTATCGCTAATCGGACGGTCCAACTCACTTCCCGTTGCCAGCGAGTTTGTCGGTATCCGTCAAGATGGTAATAGCCGACAATATCAGAGCGGTACAGCTGGCCCCGTATGCGGGATTTCGACTTTTAACGATTCCGACGATTAGTTTGTCGACGGGGGTGGTATATCGATGGTTTTTGTCGGCGAATTTTTCTTTCCAACCCTCTCCGTACATAATAATTTGGACCCTGGAGTTGTCGATCGTCTCCTCCGACGGTGGCGTCTTGGAATACATGCCAAAGCTGAAAAACTCGGGGTAGGCCTTGAGCAGTCGCCGCCCGTATTCAAAAAGACACAGCAAGGTGAAAATGATGCAGAACAGTGTCATCATAACTACTGCTGGAAAGTCGGGTAACAGGAAGTAAACTGTCGCCTGAACGGGACGCCGGTGTTTCTCCTCATAGAGATAAGTCTGGGTGTGACGGATCACCGCAGAGTCCGGGCCAGCGAAAGGTATAGCCCATCCGCCAAGGTTGCGGTGCTTTGGTTTGTGCGGCAGTTTCCTACAGTTACGTTGCGATTATTATTTTGGGACCATTTTCAAGGTCATATTCCAAACTCAAAGATAGAGGAAAGCGTCTTTCATCCAAAGTGACATTAAAGACAACCACCTGAGATTAGACCATGACATGAGGCGTGATAAGGATCCTACTGTTAGTCCTTTTTATTTTCAAGCGGTGATTAAGCATATCAGACGCCACCTAACTCGTTATTTAACGTTATCGCGATGACTTACCACAATTCGTTAGTTTTATCTTTTATTATCTATTCACTCATCATTTTTTACTAATTGGCTAATTGGTAACGTAAAAAAGTCATTTGTTCTTTTGACCAAATTAGATGTGGATCTTACTTCAAGGCCAGTCGGGGTTCGCATTCGTTTGTTTTAGCGAACAATATCGAGCGGATTTCTTTCCATTTACAGATGTTGGACCAACTTTCGACCATGGTATGCCAAGTCCCATAATTGAGTATGGAACCTTTGGTCGGACACTCGGTCCATGCCTCGATGTACATTTCCACGGAATTTAGAGTGCCCTCGAACTGTTGCGCCAAATAAACGACCCCCAAGTCTGAGGGTATGCAACTGAGACCGCACGCGTTAACCACGTATATACCTTTCAAAAAAATTATCATTATTGCTAAAATCTCAACTCTGCGGCGCCCACAAAGAAAACTAATAAACAAGGAGGGACGAATTAAATGAGAATAATCAGGGTAATATTCTAGTCAAAAACAAAACGTTGGATTTTTTTTTTTTTAAGACAGATTACCCTTTTTATTTATTTTTGCTTTGTTTTATACTCTATGTGCCAGTTTAGTTTGGGGAAAAATGAAGCATAACTCTAAAACCGAGTTAAATTGGAAGTGAGGATATTGCATAGTTAAATAAAATTCCTAAAGGGCTGTTATTCTTTTAGTATTTTTTTGCCCATGATACATATACATATCTCAGGACCCGTTAGTCCTACAACTTTGCATTATTTTTGGCCCGCGTCCTTCAGATTTGATTTGGAATGTTTCGGTTTATTTTTGGATTTTTTGTCTCTAAACCTATTTAGTCGATCGCAAAAATACTTAAGGCACGGGAGATCCGGGACTACGACTTTTATTTCAAGCATTTTGTCGATTATATACATGGTTATTCGATTATTAGCCATAAATTAAAATGAGTGAAAAATATGGCTACGTTGTTTAGACAGTCCTGTAGGCAACTCCGAGAGCTACAACTTTTATATTTTCGGTTTTCGCCTATCACACACGCTTTTCGAGATATTTGAAAAAGTCCATGTGAATGTCGCGTTCAATCTACACGCGATGACGTCATCTACTATTGCGACCTACTGCATGGTTTCAGAAAACGTGTTTTCTCGAAATTCATTTACTCCATTGAAAAAGTCATACACCGGGACACGTGGGAAATCCACGGCACTTTTGGCATTTTTTAAATTATATACAGGGTGTGTAGTAGTAGTGGCTAAATTATTGGCGATAAATAAAAACCTGTCGAAGACGGGATAATTTGATTTGAGCGGCATCGCAGCAAACTATGTCGGGAGAGTTTCAGTTTTCATCTATTATACAGGCTGCGCGAGATATTTGAAAAAATATGATTGGAATTCGCTGTTACTATTGCAGCAGCGATATACTTGCAAGTTGCCGACAAACCAGCTTTACACGATTTATGGACCTCGACCTTTTGCAATATTTAATTGTATTAATAATTTTAAAGGAAGTGCATTTAATTTTGCCAGCGCATTGAGGTGGAATACTTCCTTACACCTAACTTGGAGACCCTAAGTACGGCAAAATCGTCACACAAAATCGAATTTCTAACCTTTCTTCTTCGCTTCGTCGTGATACTTCGACCGTATCTTCGCCATAAATTCAATTTCGCCGGTTACATCGACATAGTGAGCCCCGCCTTCTATACAGGCCTTCACAACTCCCTCACCGAAAAGGCTGAAAGGGCCGCAACAATTGATAATCACCTTGGCTTTTTGCGCCATCTTCAGTAAAGAATCGTAATCGTTTATTTCCGCGACGAACACGGGGACGGAGCTTAGGTCGATCTCTGTTGTAGAGCAAGAATTATATGTAGAATATCTATTAGCAGTCACCATACTCACCGATTTTGTTGCCCACATCTTTCAAGATTTGTTTCAATTTGCATTTGGATCTACCCGCTACCGCCCACGTCCAGTTCCAACCATTTTCTTTCGTAAGTTTGTGCAAATACGGTATACAATGGAGACCGGTGAAACCGGTGGCCCCAAAGAGCACGAGGTCTATCTTAATATTTGCCATTGTTGAAATCTGCATGCAAATTACGGGCGTCGTCGGATAGATTATATTTAAGAATGTTAAAATCAAATGGTTCAAAAAAATCTAATTATTGAGGCTCAACAAGTATCACTTTCCCTCATACAAATGCTAGAGTATCAAGGTTTTCAAACGCCTCTGGTGAGTATATGACAAGAGTATCTGTTTAAAATTTTACTGTAGTTACTTTTCTGCCTGAGTATATAAAACACAAAAAAAATTAAAAATTTTTATTTACCTGTCTTTTTCTTTCAAAGTAGACTGTTATCGCGTAGTGTAGCGTAGGTTAACTACAAGGCGCACTAGTGTGAGAGCCTTAATTATATAATATACAACCCCACTACTTATATAATTCAGCCATGCGCAATCTACGCCGGAGTAAATGTTTGGTTTACAAAAAACAGAGTCACTTTTGTATACAAGGGCTATACCCATATATTGCTATAATTTAATGTTATATGGGCTGTAATTTGTGTGGAGTTGATGCACTTCAGTCAGCTGACGGCGAACGGTATTACAAGCATTTGCGCTATTTTCTTTCAAAACAGCGTTCTTCATAAGCTTAAACGGGATCCGGGCATATTTTGACAAATACTGCTATTATGTTACCCTTAACACTGGCACTTTTGAAGTTAGGACATACGAAATATTCCCGCATCCCGTTAAAATGTGTGAAGATCGATGTTTAGTCAGCTGCCTGAAGCCCATCACCTGCACACAATTTACATCCCCTATAACATTAAATAATAGCACCTTATGCCTATAAGGAAGGCTATATATAGCACCTAAATGGCTATGAAATATTTTAAAAGCATTTTTACGTCTTGGATTATTATGAAAACATTTTTTTCAAATGTATAATTCTAGAACTACATAGTACAACAAGGATTTTATAATACTGCAGTCATTAATTTCAATATTTAAAATAATTATCTTCATCGAATTTGCTCGAAACTGAATTTTTTCATTTAAAAAACGTTTAATGGCGAACAAATCAGGTGACGGCTATTTTGTAAAGTCATTTTAAGTAATTCTAATTATCTACCGAGTTTTTTGGGCATGGTCACATATATAGCTCACTTTGTAGATGGTTTGTCTGAAAAAAACTCAATTTTGCGTTCTTTACTGAAAAAACAACATGTAACTTTTCGATGGTCGGATGAACATGAGAGAGCATTTCAAAACTTAAAGTCAACTTTGACAAAAACACCTTTTCTGCAATTTTTTGACACTAACCCACTTACGACTATTTCTGTGGATGCTTCTCAGAGTGGAATGGTGGCCGTTTTGATGCAAAATGGGAGACCATGTGCTCATGCATTGACAGAAACTCAGCCACGTTACTCACAAATTGAAAAAGAATTAGTAGCTTGTTGGTTTGGTGCTACAAGTTTTTATCAGTATGTTTTTTGGCAAAAAGTTCATAATTGAAACAGACCATAGCCTTTAATTTCAATTATTAAAAAACCTTTGTATCTTACGCCACCAAGATTACAAAGAATGCTCATGCAGTTAAAAAAATATGATTTTGACCTTATTTATAAACTAGGCAAAAAACTCATTGTGGCAGACACTTTGAGTCGACCTTTCAATTCAAAAACTAACTTTAATGAAAGTGTTGATTTTGATATTGAGTCACAAATTTGTACTGTTCAGCTTTCCCTTAATATTACTGATGAGAAAAAACAGCAAATTCGAAAGTTAAACTTTTAACATTTTATTGTAAAAAGGGGGATGTCACATGATCTTATTGTATCAATCCTATATACCGTGATGGCTTTATATTTTAGTTTTATACTATGCTGTACTTTTGGATCACATGATCTTAGGAAACTAAGTCAAATAAAAAGCACTTCGTTACCGGGTTGCGCCACGACCAGACGTGTTCTTTTTTAACCTGTCTCCTCTAAGTAAAATAGAAGTTAAACAATAAAAGAAACAAACTAATCAAAAGAATCATTTCTTCGGCGGTATTTTCGAAAAATATGCCCAGATCCAGTTAAAATGTTCAAGAAAAAAATGAACTAAATGTCTGAAGATCAGTGTTTACTGGCTTCATGTATATCTGCTAGACTTCGCCATTTTTCTCGTCTGCATTTAAAGATAACTTTCGGGATGCTAATACGCGTTTAATATTAAACGAGGTATCACAAATAGCGATTTAATTATCGAAACGTGTATACAAAAACCATCATTGGCCATTTATTAGGAACTCTGAATTCGTAATGCGGGGCATTATGCCTTTTAAAGTTCCAAACGTTCGTCGGAATCGCTAAAACAGAAAAAAAGCGACGTCATGATATTAATAACATAAAATTTTATTTCGCATGTTACAATACCAGATTCGACGCTTATAACTAAAAAGAGAGCATTTTTTTATATATGTGCGAGGACGGTAATTTACCAATATTTCTCTAACGATGGTATCAATTCAAGCGGATCGGTGTTGGGTCCGTGCCTTTCGACCACCTGGCCGTTTTTGTCCACTATAAACTTGGTAAAGTTCCATTTGATCGCGTCCACCAAAGTACCTCCCTGTTTGTGCTTCAAATATTTCCACAAAGGATGAGCGTCGTCCCCGTTGACGTTTATCTTCGAAAACATGTCAAATTTGACGTTTTTCTTGTTGGCGAACTCCAAGATTTCGGCATCGGTGCCTGGTTCTTGACCCGCGAACTGGTTACAAGGGAACGCCAATATCCTGAGCCCTTTGGTGTCCGCGTACTTTTCGTACAACTCGTTGAGTTGCGCGTAGTTTTTTTCCGTTAACCCGCAGTTGGAGGCCACGTTAACGATGATCAGTACATGACCTTTGTACTTCTCCAAGGACACATCGTTGCCCCTGATGTCCTTGGCGGTAAATTCGTAAACAGATTTCGCGTCCTGGTAATTTACGGGGTTCGTCGCGCAGATGACACCCGAAGCGAAGAATAAAGGCAAAAATGTGAGGTAGTTGGCGCGGAACATTATCATCGTGCTTGAACGAACCGCACTGCAAGAACCGCGAGCCGCTTTTGTCGGCAAACGCGAAAATTTATCTTAAAGGACTCCACAAGATCATCCGTTTTAAAAATATCTCGGAACCAGTATACCGGTCTCCAGAACAACCGACAACCATAGCGTAATGCCTATATTATGCAAATACAGTTGGCTGGAGTCAAGCGGCGTTGCCAAAGTCGATGAGCTGCGAGTAAAACGTAAAGTACATTCGGTCTAATAACAATATACTTGGCAACGTCGAAGCGTGACTGCACACGATATTATGGATAAACAAATAAATAATTGGCCAGACGCGATAATATTTTTGACAGTTGAGTTAAAGGCGTTATCCGCTGTGCCTTGAAACCACCATAATTGGCCAAGTCGTCCGTGACACGCATATTTCCCGGAAACAGGGTAATTACTCAGTCATTTCGACGTAATTTGTTTTCCTGAAGTTTTTATCTGACAAAATGGCCGGCCAGACTTTCGATTTCAAGGAGGCCAAGTCGATATACGATTTCACCGTCAAGGACATCAAGGGCAAAGACGTAAGCTTGGAAAAATACAAGGGGCACGTCTGCGTCATAGTTAACGTGGCGTCCCAATGCGGACTGACGAAATCCAACTACGAAGAGCTAAACGAACTGTACGACAAATACGGGGAGGACAAATGTCTGAGGATCCTCGCGTTTCCGTGCAACCAGTTCGGTGGCCAAGAACCGGGCGATAACGAACAGATATGCGAGTTTGTTGCCAAAAAGAACGTCAAATTCGATTTGTTCGACAAGGTTAATGTCAACGGCGGAGATACGCATCCGCTGTGGGCGTATTTAAAATATAAACAACCCGGCACGTTGGGCAACTTTATTAAGTGGAATTTTACAAAATTTATCGTCGACAAAAATGGCCAGCCCGTTGAAAGGCACAGCCCGACTACGCATCCTAAAGACTTGGTCAAATCGCTGGAGAAATATTGGTAGGCGCTGGGTAGGAGATATTCTTGTTATGTTTTAACATAGTTTAATGACACTGTTTACATGCCTAGACGGAGTAAAGGACATATTAAACCGGGTTTCTATTCGTAATATGCAGAGAATTGCGCATCAAATTACTTGCGGTATTACAACCGGATATTTCGAGTGGCATTCTTTTTTGACGTTACATCGAAACGTCAACTCTTATCGCTTTGATTTATTCTTATATCCAATATTCATTCGAGCGAAGCGTCATTGACGACGGTAGAAATAAAATCATCCTATTAGTTTTAAACAAATCATCCAGAGCGCAGAAAAATTGAATGCGCATGCACAACTCCTAGCGGCATTTTAAATTCAACATTGCCGACGAAAATTTCGTTAATTTGACAGGTTTCAATTAAACGAGAGTGAAAATGTGCGCAGTTTGATATTTGAGACGAAAATGGTGCAAAATGCAGACGAAAATTCGCCCGGCCGAAGCCCATTAATTTTTACCAGAGAATTAATATTCCAAGAAGCCTGGTATAGTCTGTCTTAATCTTCATCGTGTTGGCTTTCCACGGACCCTCTTCACCAATAAAACTTTAACGATGTTATTAACAAAAAAATTATTCTTGAGTGACAAGGTAGGGGTGGGTTAGATATATTTCTTGAGTGTTGTAGCGTCGAAATCATTTGTCGCTTGATGCAAAACAGGTTGTGAAAAATGTGTATGAAACTTTAATCAGTGGAGGACTTATTGCAATGCAACCTGTCTATTTACATAAACGCCAATATCGTCGTTCTTAATAGCGGAGAATTGAAGAAAACAAATAAGCGCAGTAATTTTCAAACTCACCGTATAGACAATAGTGATCAGGACCTAATTACAAGGAAAATATTTATGACCTTGGATAAACTAAATTAGAAGCTAGATGAAGATGAAACCAATATAAGATTTAAGTACTGCAAAATAGACAAAAGGTAAGTAGTAATGGAATCACACAGATCACGCACTTGTAGATTTTATTACCTTCAAGAAATTAAAAGTTAGATTAGAAAACAGATCCATAATTTACCTTGATGAAACATGGTGCAAATCAGACGAAAGCACCTTCGAATAAAGGAAAACGCATCACCATAATACAGGCTGGGTCAGAAGACGGATTTGTCCCAAGCTGCTTGCTGTTGTCTGCAAAGAATATTAAGGATTCCAGCTTCGGTTATCATGAGGCTACGAGTGCCGAGCTTTTTGAAAATTGGTTTCAAAACAATCTTTTGAAAAATATTCCCAATAACAGTTACCACACAAAGCACCTGTCTCATCAAGTTCAAAAACTGAAATCCTGGAATATTTTTTAGAAAATGATAATTATTTTGCATTAAGTTACAACAATATGAACAGGCTGGGCAGTTTTTGTCTTCTTCATGAAGAGAAACAGAATATTTATTATTTTATTACTTACCTTTTTTTATTTATCAAGAGTGCAAGTGTATAACTAAACTGTTCCAGGCTTATATCCACATAAATTTTCCTTTCTTCACGAGGGGGCTTCTCTTTTTATCAGCCCTCTAGGAGTAATAATTTTATGATTTTTAAGATACTAGGCTATTAGCGATCTGGTTTTAACGGGGATTACGAATAACCGAATTTGTTCAAAATGTGAAGGAGTGAATAGCCAGATAACTTTATGCAAGCAAAGTAGTTTTTTTAAAACAAAATGTGTGTATTCTTTTTACCCATGGCTTTTTTAGCCGTCTGATCCAAATTAATAACAAAATAAATAAAACAAGTTCCTGTGGTGGACATTACATTATCATTATTTATTATTAGATTCAAGAGGTGACACTACAATAAATATGAATATAATGAATATTTTCATTCCGCCCCATATCCTCCCTCGCTCGTTCTCAGCCGCCGATACATAACCTTACATTCGTTTCACTCAAGGTAAAAAAAAATGGAGAACCATCGTTACCGGAGCCGATCCGCTCCTCATTAAGACGGGGGCGGGGGTGGCGGTGCTGTCAATAAACTGGTGACGTCGATACCGGGCGGCGGCGGGGGCGGACAACTGTTCGGGGGCCACATAAAGGGCGGCGGCGCCCCCGCGTTCCACGGGGGCGGCACACTCGCGCCCGTCGTTGTGGTGGGAGTGGCGCCGGGCGGCGGCGGTTGGTTGGCCGCCGCACTCATCCACGGCGTCATCATTTGAGGCGGGGGTGCTTCGGCGCCGGGCGGAGGCGGCGGCGGCATTATGCCCGGGCTCGTGGGCCAAGCGGGCCACGGCGGCGGCATCCCTGAAACGTACGCGTGAGTTGCGTCCATGGCCGACGCGTGGAGGCGGTCACCGTTCATCGGTGGCATGCCGGGCGGCGGCATCACGCCTGGCATGCCCGGGGGCGGCATCAGAGGCCGCGGCGCCATTTGCGACTGGAAAACGTTGAAGCTCGACGTTTTTTTCGGCTGGTGCTCGGGCTGGCTGCTCAAGTCGGGGGGCGGGGCTTCACCCAGCTCCGCCATCAATGACATGTACTCTGAAAGGCGATTAATCAGTTTAAAAACCGACTGAAAATATTGAAAATGACGCCGATAATAAAAATGCTAATAACAAAAAAGCAGGAAAGGGAAAGAAAAAACTATGAAATAAATAAGATTAACAATAAAAAGAAAGAAAAAACACCTAAAACTTACTGAATAATACATATACATCATACACGAAGAGACATACTTTCAAAAAACGAAAAGAATCGAGCCATACCCACAAATCAGTCTATAACCTATAAAAGAAATTTCAAATAGAATTAAATTATGTCAATTTAGGCACTATCGGAATCGGTTTGATTTAAAACGAAATTAAAAAATAAACAAATAAAAAATGTATTTAAAATATAAAAATCCATAACAAGGCCAAACGGAAGTCCAACAAATTTAATGTTGGCTCAAAATTGATAAAGTAGCGCATTCAATGAAAGGATGTTTTTTGGCTCGGGTGATTTATTTGAAGTTTTTCCGGCGCCCACGCGGAGCACATTTTTACGCACGTTTTCTCATTAGAGCCCAAAGTGTGAAAGACTTTGTCTGGAGAAACTCCCTCCTTAGCTTTCATTTTTCTTATGGCTGCCCCATAGGATTTTTTTTATTTTTAGAACAGCGTAAAATTTTCAGTTCAGTCATGTCTCACAAATGCACAAAACATTTCATCACACTAAGTAAAGTTGGGTCTAAATTACTCTACGAAGGGGCACCCATAAAAAACCGGAATTGAATTGCTGCGCGCAGAGCTTGTATAGTACACTTTTCTGCCGCTAGGCTGTCGATGGTACAACTTATTGCGAGTTCAACGCCACCTTCGTTTTAAATTTAGTTTGTTTTGTTCACTTGCAGTGCCATTTTTTGTTATCGCTGTTTTTTTGTTATTTCGTTTTTTTCGATGGCAAGTTTAAAAGAACAATGTGCAGCGGTGAAATTTTGTTTTCTGCTCGGTAAAAGTGCTGCTGAAACTGTTTCAATGTTAAAAACAGCTGATAAAGACGATGCAATCGGAAAAACTCAAGAGTACCAGTGGTTTGTTCCCTTCAAAAATCGTGACGAGTCAATTGATGACCGACCTCGTTCTGGACGTCCATCGACTGCTCGAATCGACGAAAATATTGAAAAAATTCGAGAGTTTGTGCTCACAGACCGTCGACAGACAACTGAACAATTATCAAAGTTAGTGGGTTGTCTTGGAGCACGGTTCAGCGAATTTTAACCTAAAATTAGGGAATGAAAAGAGTTACTGCCAAGTTTGTTCCTCGTGTTCTGACTGACATGCAAAAAGAACATTGAATTGAAACATGTCGTGCTTTGAATGAACAGCTTGAAAAGACCCGATTTGTGGCGGACCGGTTCTTTCACCACGATAATGCACCTGCACACACAGCCATTCCTGTTAAGCAGTTTTTGGTTAAAAATGGCATGGTTCCTCTGCCCCGTGCACCTTACTCGCCTGATCTCGCTCCGTGTGACTTCTTATTTCCACGTATGAAAAGGGACATGAAAGGACAGCGATTTGACAACATCGAAGAGGTCAAGAAAAAAACGAGAGATGAACTGTCGGCTATAGCCAAAGATGAATATAAAAAATGTTTCGAACAGTGGAAGCACCGCTGGGACAAACGTATTAGTTGTAATGGAGAGTATTTTGAAGGGGATAAGGTCATTCTGTGATTTTCAAAACAATATATAGTTTATAAAAAATGATTCCGGTTTTTTTTGCGTCAGTCAGATGTTTTGGCCAAATTACCCCCCCCCCCCCTCATGCGTGTTTTTAAGTCAGAAAAGTTGTCGTTCATTTGAATTAACACTTGAACAACTCACAAGTTCGATACACATTTAAAAAGTAGTGTAACGTAAAATTTTATTATGATTGGCAATTGGCGACTCTATGTGTTAGGGTTTCTATAGATTTGGAATTAACATTTGGTGTGGTATCGTTGGTAATTCAACTTCCTTTTTTAATTGAGAAGGTTGTGGTGACGTGTATTTTGTGATTGAACGCTTAATATCTTTAATGTGGAAATTATTAGAGAGAAGAGTTCGCTCTTCTTAAGAAAAGTGAAAGTTCAGGCGCGTGGCATGATAACAAAAGACGATTGAGAAATGTCATAATTAAAAAAAGTGCCTGATTAATATCACATTTGCACAGGTGTCAAATTTAACCGTTCTGGAATTATTGGCGAAAAACGAAATCCGCTATTTCCCGTTTTTCCCCAACATTTCCCAAACCAATTAACCGATCGCAAATCTGAAGCGCATTGTCAAATACACTCATTCAATCTTTGCTGTAGGTATAACGGGAGCGGAAATGCGTTCCTACATTGCTAAAGTCATGTAAATTATTTCATTCTTTTAATTTTTTTTCCCCATAGGTCTGATGGTGCAAATGCGATGTTGTGAGCGAATCTTTTGAGACCTTGACTTGTGAGTCCTCCGAATAGTTTTGAAAAGCAAAGAACGCAAGACGGGCAGTAGTAACAACGAGACCATCCCGGAAGAGAAAGATAACATTAAAAAAAAAACAGTAGAGGCGACATTTTCGGCAGTACAAACGAGAATGAAATCTAGAATAATTAAAAAGGTTAAAACAGTAAGGGAATCAAGATGGGAGGTATAGTCTGTTCATAGATATTCGAAAGTAACCAATAGCTTTTGAACGGATTATCCGAGGGTGGTCATTAACATAAATACGACAAGATTATTATTAATTAAGGTAAGAATCTTGTCGCATTGTATGCTAATGACCACCCTTGGATAATCCATTCAAAAGCAATTGGTCACTTTCTTATATTTATGAACAGACCATACACAAAAAGTTTCGCTAAGAAAAGAACTTTTAATACCTTCATCGATCTTCGCCCTGTCGCCGGGGATGGGCGGGCCGCCCAAGCCCGGACGCTTGGACCGGCAATCCTTGGCGATGTGGCCGGCGGCGCCGCAGCTCGAGCATACTATATTGTTCGTCACGTTCGGCTTATCGGGACACTGTCCAAAATAATACATAGATAGTTAGAATACAAGAAAGAAAATACGTCCAGTGAGACAGAATGCGCAGCAACATTTCAGAATGGGTATGCTGTCCATCACTCGCGCAATCAGACCCGAAAGATGGTAAAAATATACATCATATATGTTTTTATTCCATTTTAATTATTACTTTTTCGTTTATTCAACTCACCAGCCACGACTTGTGATCGATCGCGCCGCAGTTGTTGCACCGCAGGCCGTCGTTCTCTCTCAACGTGCCGTTGAGCTGCGCGAGTTCGCGCAGCTGCATCCTGCGCAGATCGTTCTGGTTCTCGGGCACTTCCACGCCCTGCCTGATCACTTCCTTTATCTAACGAGAGATAGAGACACTCGTTAAAATTGAAAAAAAATATAAAGATTTCGAAACCAATGGCTCTTTGGACTTTGATTTTTCATTTGAAGCTCATATTGACACGACTGCCAAAAAAATATCCAAGACAAACATTCTTTTTTTTTCTTGTTTTACTGCTCCTTCAATTGGAAATTTATTGACATATTGACACGACTGCCAAAAAAATATCTAAGACAAACATTCTTTTTTTTTTCTTGTTTTACTGCTCCTTCATTTGGAAATTTATATACCTTGCCACTACTGTGTGAAGAAATAAAGATTATTGTCAAATGCGGTGGGAGAACATCATGTTTGTTACTATATAAAAAAAAGCCTTTCTTCGGTGAAGGATAATAATCTCACTTAATTTAAAAATAAAATGAATCAGCACATTACGGGAAAAAAGTTTACTATACCCCCCTCTAAAAGAATTAACAATACCACAACTTTTTTACTTACCCTCTCGACGGCCTTTTTGACGCATTCGGGATTGGTGGCCGTTATGTAAGCGTGAAGAGGCTCGTCCTCTCCGGGCAACGGTTGCCCGTCCTTCCTCCCCACCTTGCCCTCCTTAACGCTACCCTTTCCCCGGATGATGATCTTCGCCCCAGTCTCCTTCTCCATTGCTTAGAAAAAAAAAAAAAAAATCGCGATAGAGTCACCATAGATTATGGCAATGAGGAGAGACTTTTTAACCATTTCTATAGTATCAGCAAAGGTTAGGTATCAATCAAGCAACAATCAGTCCCGAAAGATGGTAATGAACATCATGAGATATTAACTGAGTGACTTTTTTTTATTTGTAAATTTGTATATTTTTTGCAATTTGTATAAAATGTAATTTCCATCTCTTTCATGTTTAGTTGTTTATTACTCTACGTCTTAAAGACAGGGGCGTATGCCAGAAAAGGATAAAAACGATGTAAATAAAAAAAAACACTTACTCTTCAACGTGTTACCCCTGGGGCCGATAAGAAGCCCCACGAAATTAATCTCCGGATGTTCCTCTTGCGGGATCATCACCTTGTCGCTGACCCGAATCACCGGAGGCCTGCAACACGCGAAAACACAAATTACAACACTGCCCCCACCACGCTTTCCCAAGTACTTGTAGTCCATCGGCGGCTTGAATTCCGGGTTGATCTGCTGCATTTTCAGGACCAACGAGTGGCGCTCCTCTTCGAGACGTTTCCTGGTTCGGAACTCCCTGGTGTTCAGCCGTTTGCCATCGCTGCTGTAAATGGGCTCCGGAGATGGGGACCTGCGGGAGCGGAAAGAGGCGGTTAGAAAAATCGCCGCCCTCGGGAAGCGCTATCTGTCACACTCGCGTCTTTAGTCGGGGAAGATTTTATTTCATGGTACGTTTGAACTACTCGTCAGCAAATTATTCACATTTTAGAGGCCAATGTCCGTTATATTCGAACCACTGGCTAGCAAATTGATGTAGTGTGTGAAATTTAGATAAGACATTTGAAGTGTGGCCCCAGATTTTACGTATGGAAATTTGACAAAGTGTGCGTTACGCTTGAACCACTCGCTAGCAAATTAAATCCTGTGAGAAAGTTAATCAATAAAAGATCGGGTATGACAGAGGAGCAGGAAACTTAAAAACAACGTTTTCTAGCTATTATAATGTTATGTTCGTTTCCTAAAGAAAAAAATTTTGTGATTAATCGCTGCAACGGTGATAAGTCTGATTATTTGGCTGAAAAATGAACGCTTTTAATTAGAAAATTCTAGCACCGTATCTAGAAGAAAAACGTGTAATATATATATCTATTGGGCGGAGGATTTATCGGCCGGAATCTCGAGAATTTTCTTTAAGAATTCTAGAACAGACGTTTGGATTAAAACTAACCTAAGCTAACCTAACTTTTGCATTAAATTTTTAACGGCGTCTGAATATCTTTGCAGGCACTTCATAGAGCGTTCGGATCTTCAAGCGCCGCTACATGAGCCTTTTTCGCAAAACCATTGAAACCTTGTCGAATCTTAATCGACCCAAATCTTCATAAGTAAGGTTAGGTGTAGTTTTATTTAAAAAGATTTACAGAAAAAGAAGGTAAAAAAAAAACAAAGATTAATTTGTAATGGTGACTAAAATTTGTACTTTCAAAGAAGTAAATATGTTTTTAAGAGTTAAATTTAATGATTTATTTTTAAAAGGCCGCAAATTTAAAAACGACTATTTCATGTTAATTTTACTTGTCAACACATTTACATCGACGAAATTTCAATGGACCCTGAATGCAACGTCAAAATGTCATTACATTAAACAAAAAATTGCCATATTTGAAACAAACACAGCAGTTTACTCGAAACATCAACAATACTATCAAAAATGGAGCAACTTTTTTATTCTTTAAAAAAATTAATGCCATAGAAAACGGAATTAGATCGCACCAAAAAAGTTGCACCATCTTTAAAAAAAAGGCTCATCCTTTATAAAAATGAACAACCTCACTCTAAAAATGGGTTTGTATAATTAGTATTCAGATATATATCGTTGCCAAACCAGACTTTGAAGACTTTTTTGGCCCTGGCTGCGGTCAAGGCGCTAAAATCGCAGGCCACGTCAGGGCCGCTTTGCTAAAAACCTAACAGGAAGCGTCTCACACCTTTCCTCCGGATTGGCTGGTATTCCGAGGTCGCCGGAGCGCAGCTTGCGGCTCACTTCTTCAATCTGTAGCTGAACTGAAATGGAACGGGTTAGGGGAGGGCAAATGCCCAGCAGTTAGAAATGATCGTTCAAAAGTAAAAAAAATAAACACAAGTGTTTTTACAAGTCTGTGCTTAAAATATCCCCAGCAATTGTTCTAAAGAATTTAAACGCTAAACTAAATACGTTTTCGCCAAGTCGCTGGCTGGCTAGAAGGTTTAACCGAATTTGTAACTGAAACTAATCAATATTAGCACCGCAAATCAGTTATTAGTCACCAATTTACCTTTTTTTGATTAGAAATTAAACTCTATTCTCCCATATACCTATAAAACACGTTAGGCTGCAATGTTTTCATTATATAAAAGTACTTACAGTGACTCTGTTCACCCACTTCTAATTAGCGGTATAATGGGGCAAAACACTTCCCTTCTCTATCAACCTGTCATATCTCAGTACTTACCAGAGTTGACAAAAAAAAAATCAATGCACAAAAACGACTTAAATCTATTTCTTTAAAAATTAATTTTTTAATACACTTACGCAAATAGGCTTGCTCCTGATCCTTGTTCAAGTTTGGAGGCAATATGGTCGGCATACCGGGTATGAAAATTTTTTCATGCTCGCTCCCGCCCCACCGTGAACGCCTTTTCCTTTTTCTATCCGAGGCATCGGAGTCTTGGCTTCCTATAAATAATGTAAGCGACCATCAGTACAATTGCCTAACATTCATGAGAAAAATTGACGAATTCAAAATGGCCACTCACCCGTGGAGTGGTTTGAGTTTTCTCCTTGGGCCTGTTGAATTAGATTAGCGAAATTTCTCGAGGCAGCAAGAGAAGCCAAAGTATCTTGGATAAGCTTTTCGCCATCTGGTTCCGGGGGAGTTTTTTCCCTTTTCCGATCGCGGCTCCTCTCTCTGCTTCGACTTCGACGCCTATCACGATCGCGCTCGCGATCCCTATCCCGGTGTCTGTCACGGTCTCTATCCCTGCTACGTCTTCTCTTGTCTCGATCGCGGTCACGATCACGATCTCTGTCTCGATCCCGATCTCGATCTCGGTCTCTGGAACGATCACTGTGTCTCGAAGAACCCATTTTTTATTGCACAATTGCTCTTCGAAAGTTAGTCCACGTCTTCAATGGCGACTCAATCTCAGCTCGACGTACAAAGAAACTGACGATCAAATTCGAAGGGACGGAAGCGACAGATGGCGCTGCTTGGCAGTTCCGTTTGAATTAGGCATGTTCGAATATTCTTTTTGCCAGAGATACCAAAATAGCTTCCTCTCTCACAAGCTGCAGATGTAGCTAACGATGGTAAAATCAATTTCTTATCCCATTTTAGTTTTCATGGTGTTTGTACGCACAATTTGACTTTAATAAATTTGAAATTTATTTTAATTTGCATTCACAGATGCCGCCACTCGAACCTCTTCTGGTTGTAGGCGGCTTCTTAAATTGACAGTTCCGCCATTTTGTGGAAATTGTTGAGAATTTTTTGCGCGAAGTGAAGTAATTTTTTTATTTAAAAAAACGACTTTTTCTTAAAATTATTGCTTCGACTGGTACAAATTTCTAAATTAATAGGTACGTCATATTATTTCACATGGAATATTTTTTTTGCAACATTTGGTACTTTCGCCCTAGAAAATGTCCGTGGACAACGAAGGGTACATCGCAAAAATGCGAGGTCTGCCGTGGTCCGCCACCGTTGACGACATTGTGAAGTTTTTTGGCGATTGCAAAGTACTAGGCGGTAAAGAAGGGGTGCACTTGACTAGTTCTCGCGAGGGCCGACCAAGCGGAGAAGCATTCGTCGAGTTTGAGGACGCCGAAGATTTGAATATGGCGTTACAAAAAGATAGGGCTCACATTGGGAACAGATATATCGAAGGTAAAGCAACTCGGGAACTATTATTGACACTGCGCATTTTGATTAGTGCTCGCAAAATGTTGCGAATGTAATTTTAAAATGAAATACTAGTAAGTTTTGTTAACTTGTATTTTTTTGGTTTAACTAATTGGAATGTGCCATTTATTGAAGATATTGAACGCTTAAAATTAAAAATGAAGCAATTGGATCTTGGACTTAATAAGAGGTCCGAAAAGTCCCTAATTGTGTAAATAAAAATTTAAATGGCGCAGATTAAGAAATCAAATAATAATGGATTTAGAGATAGATATGAATGAAAAATATTATTTGTAATTGTTTGAAATTTACATCAGTTTACATTTTCCCAATTTTTTTGACTTAAACGTGTTAATAGCAATGTTTAAAAGTAAGAAAGGTACTATAGAACACTGTATTCAAAAAACTGCAACAAATAGTGCTTTTTGTGTAAACTCATTAAGAAACATGCCACTTGATAGTTCTTCCTTATTTTTCATAAATTTCATTATTTCACTTCTTATTTTATAGCCATCCATTACATATTTACCATAATCAAATTATTATGGATAATAAGCACCCATTTTTTTAACGTAAAAATATTTAGTAGTGACCACATAAAGGTCAATTTTTTTTAATTTGCCACATTGCCAAACTGAGTCTAGTTTGCCCAGGTCCATCGATCTGGAGAACTATAAAGGCCAATAACAACATTGCGGTGACTCAAGTAACCATTCCCAGAAATACCGATACTCATTTTTGCGCACAATTTCAAGAATAGCTCCCCTTGGGATATATCTATATGTATATTTTTACAGTGTTTAAAGTCAATCGCGCTGAAATGGACTGGGTTGTCAAACGTTCAGGAGCGTCTTTTGGGTCCGACGACGATGGGTGCGTTCGTTTAAGAGGTTTACCTTTTGGGTGTTCCAAAGAAGAAATTGCGCAGTTCTTCACAGGTAGGTGCCTCTTTCGGTGTTTCTACAGGGTTGGTTTGAAAAGGTATACATAGAGTCAGATATTTTGTTTTTTGCCAAATTTGCTTATCCCATAAACATTGTCCAACAAATACAATTAAATGGGCAGCGAGATGATCTGCCCAATAAAATTGCTTGCGCACGAGAGGTCTCGATAGGAAAAGTTTGTTTTTGTTTTTATTTTTTTTAGAGCCGATTTTTTCGATGCTGTCCGTGTATTTTACTGATCTGTATGTATATATTTATCTAAATGTGTATAGTATATTGCATAGCCGAAGGGTACGATTTGAGCGGGTATGTTTACTATTTTTGTGTGTGGGCGTAGGGTTGGAGATTGTACCCAACGGGATAACGCTGCTCACCGACTACTCGGGGCGAAGTTCGGGGGAGGCATACGTTCAATTTGTGAACAGGGAGGTGGCAGAGCAAGCTCTGCAGAAACACAGGGAAAAAATCGGACACAGGTGGGGTAAAATTTAGGATGAATTGATAATTACACACAAGTGGTATGGGGGGTGGGAGGGCGGGCGGTGCATTACCTCCTTCTTTCACCTTGCATCCCATTATATATCTATATATGTATATTGAGTTTCCTTGTTAGCTTAACATCCATGAGACAGAGTTTGAAAGTGTCACTGTTGCCGAATTTTCGGTGGCGTTACGGGGCATGTGGAACTCTTGTGCGAGTCTATAAAACTCGAGAAACAATTTTTTCGGCTTTCGACGCTTTACCACGAATTTTGAGTTTTATTTTTTCTATGCCCGTTTTCGCGCATTTCCGACGACGACGACAACGACGTTCGCGCATATCCCGATTTATAATTTGCCTGAAACGTCGCCTCGCGTCGTCCGCAGGTATATAGAGATATTCAGAAGTAGCCTGTCCGAAGTGAACGGCGTCCTGGGCTTCGCGCCGCGCACCGGGCGCGCGATGGGGCCCGTCGCGCCCACGCCGACCTTCAACAACCGACCCAGCCCCTACGACAGGGACCGTTACGGGGGCGCCAGCCGCTTCCCGTTGCGCGCATCCAGGAGCTTCAAAGGCGCCAATTTGAGCAATACCAGTGAGTTTCGGGGTAGCGATCCGTGAACTTTCGGGCTCCACTATATATTGGGGAACCTGCTTCTTTTTTATATACGAGTCGTTTATTTTGAAATTGGCTTAAGTCCATTTTCATCTTGTGACATTTATAATTTATGCTGTATTGAAATATATTGAAAATTTTATATCACGTACATTTTCAAAATAATATCAGTTCTGAAAATCCTAATTTTGAAAGTGACCTAAGTCCGCTTTTTATTGACGATTTCAAAGCGTGCGGTCCAAAATATTGAAAGCAGTGATGAAGGAAATTTAAATTATGTTTTGATATTGAATTGAAACTTAAAACATAATATTTTATTTAAAGAAATTTTTAAACCCGTGGGAGAGGATAAAATAACAATATTTCCTGATTCTGAAAGTGAAGAGGAATTAGTTCATTCTTCAACAGAGGAAGGGCACAAAACAGCACCTTCAAAGGGTTCAGAGAAGTGGTACTTCTAAAATTCGTAAAATTCAGGGAAAAGATACGATACGCAATCGGGAAAAATTAAATTATTCGTGCCAAAGTTTTTCAAAATGAAGATTGCCAATGTCGAAAAGACTGCTTGAAAAATTTAAATGAAACAGAAAGAAAACGTATTTTCGAAATGTTTTGGTACTTAATAAGCAAAATATATTGCTATACGAAGCGACCGGACGCAGTGTTGTAAAAAGAAGACGTCAGAGAAACGGAAAAGGTTCATGTAGAAATGAGAGTTTTATATATTCGTTAAATATTGTAAAAAATTTTTTTAGATACTTTTCAAATAAGCGAAGCACGATTGAAACGTGTATTAAAATCTAAAAACGTTGGCAACGATTTACGTGGGCGTTTTGACTGGATCGTCTAGAAAAATATGTGTAGAAGCAAATATGATTGTTGAAACCATATTAACAGTTTCCCAAAAATTTGAATCCCATTATACTAGGGAGCATAATCCCGACAGAAAATATCTTCATCCTGAACTGACTATAAAAAAAATGTTTAATTTTTATGATGCACTGTGAATAAAATAATTTAACAGCAGTTAATGAATGGACTTATAGAAAAATATTCGAAAAGGATTTTAAACATTGAAGTCAAAGCATCAGAAAACCATGAAGAACAGAAAAAACTTATGGAAGTTAGCAGAATCGGCTAGAAATGCGTTAAAACAATATCAAGCAATCCATCTCATTATTTTGGCTTCCCATTCAATTTCAGAAAGTGTTACCATTCCCAAAGTTAACTACTTCAGTAGCTTATCATAAATGTAACATGTATATTTTAAATTTAGGCATACACAATGAAATGAAACAAGAGGATTTCATATCAACAAGATCCTTGGAAGAAGCAGTTTACAAAAGGTCCAAAAATACAAACGGAGAAAAAATAAGCTGGCTTCAAATACGCTGGATACGATTTTTAAGAAGTGAACCATATAAAAATTTATATAAAACAACCTTGGATGAGAACGCAGAATTTAATATTCTTGATTTATTCCTACGTCGGGGTAGACCTAAGACATTTGGGAATATTGCGTTGCCATCGTTATATAAAAGTAGAAGCATTACATCACTAAAATTTGTCGGTATGTACCTCCGAAACACCGTAACTACTTCAAATCACTCTCGCGTACCGAGAATGTTACTAATTTTATTTCTTATTATCTAAAAATATAATTTAAATGTTGTTTTTTTCTATTTTTTAAGCTATTTGTAACGGACCTAAGCTCTTTCACTTTTTGTAACAAAACAAATTTTTATTTTGGAAGTGACCTATGTCGTTTTAAGGTAAGCAAGATCATATTATGCAACTGCAACTGAAAACCTAAAGTATTTTAAATTAAAGATAAATGTACTTAAGTCACTTTCAAAATGAACGCTCATATATCCCACAATTCATCAATTAAAGTTGAAAACCGTGAAAACTCCCAACGAAATTTTTATTCTCGTATTTAAAAGTCAAAACGGGGAAGATGGGGATAGAGAAATACGTGTTTGATTTTCCGCCCTCCAAATTATCCCACTTCTGATTTCTTAATACCAAAGACAGGCGAATTGTGTTTATTTTTGAGGTAAGTATATTAAGCCAAAATTTGCATTAAATATATCCGAAAACCAAGTTTAACATTTTTTATTTTTATTATCCAGTTGATTGGAGATAGATATTACGGCACAATCGCGAATTTCAAAAGTAACTTTACTCCCTTATATATCGCAGGTTCGACTATTTTCTTTTACCTGGGGGTTTTTCAAAATATTTTCTTTTGACCCACGATAAACCGTTGGGCGGGCAAGAAGGGTCGATTCACTTTAGGCGCCCTTGCAGCTACTTGGACTCAGAACGGCGCCGGCGGACAGCCTAGAGCCTCGCGGAGCCCCTTCGACATGGACTCGTGGAGCGGCCCGCCGGCTCAGGGGGGCGGCATGCATTGCATCCACATGAGAGGGCTGCCATTCAAGGCGACCCAGGACGATATTGCCGACGTAAGCAGCCGTGTGCTCAAGGCTTGCGCCTAATTTCACTGTCCGTAATTTTGCAGTTTTTCAAGCCCGTTGTGCCAGTTGAGATTCATTTGTTGCCGGACGATAACGGGCGGGCATCGGGCGAAGCGGACGTCGAATTTTCCAGTCACGATGATGCCGTTAAAGCGATGAGCAAGGACAAAGGACACATGCAGCACCGCTACATCGAGCTGTTTCTGAACTCGTCCGGCGGCTCTGGAGGGGGCGCTTTCGGCGCTCCCGGGAACAGACGACGCTTTTAAACGCGTCAGAAGAGGGGCTTTTTCGGTTTTTGCCTAACCCGTTGGCTACGAGAGGGGCGCGGGCCGAAGTTGATGAGATTATGCTGTGGCGTCTGGGTTTACATTGCTAAATTATTGTTTTTTTTTTTTTAAATCAAAGGAACAGGCCGTCGTTTTACCTTAGGCGACCGAGTTAGGGTTAAGTTAATCACATGTTTAGCAGACAATGGGCAAGGAATCTCGGGAACGTTTGAGGCTAGGAAGACGTGTCCTCGGGTGACTTTTTGAAGGGTTTCCGTTGACGTGTTTAATTCGTTTTCTTTTTTGTAAACCTTTCCCCAAAAATACATTCTTCATTTTCACCAGGTTGTTGTTTTTTTTAACTCTTTATTTTAACATAAATAATAAATCAGCAGAGTAAATATTTATATATAATATATACATATATATCAAAAGCGGCAACGATAAAATAGAAATCAGTTAAATAACAAGTTAATTACCAATACTTTTCCAACGATTTCACTAAATCTTTAGGGCTGGTAGTGGGGCTGTGCCTTTCCACTGGCTGACCATTTTTATCGATAATAAACTTTGTAAAGTTCCACTTGATCGTGTCTATTAGGCTGCCTCCTTGCTTGTGCTTCAAATACTTCCACAATGGATGTGCGTCGTTCCCGTTAACGTTAACCTTCTCAAAGAGATCGAATTTAACATTTCGCTTGGAGGCGAACTCGCATATCTCTTCGTTTGTACCAGATTCCTCGTTGGCGAACTGATTGCAAGGAAACGCGAGGATCCTTAATCCTTTCGCATCGGCATATTGGTCATACAGTTGATTTAACTCTTCGTAATTCGTTTTGGTGAGGCCGCACTTGGATGCTACGTTTACGATGATGCATACGTGGTCTTTGTATTTGTCGAGCTTCACGTCGTTACCCTTAATGTCCGTGGCGCTGAAATCGTAAATAGACGACGCTTGTTTGTAGTCTTCCGGGTTTGTTGCCATTGTCACCCGTAACAAATTTGTATTGCTGAATAAACACCTTCCAAACAACAATCAAAACCCGTAACCACAGATGGGTTTTTCTTTGCTTTTCGCAAACAGTTGGGCAAGATTGCTATGACCATTCGCCCAGGAATTTTTTGTTTTCGTCCTGAAAAAAACTATAACTAACATTTGTTCTTAGCTTGCAATAAAGGTCTCCCCTGCTACCCCCGCGGACTATTCGAACCCATCCGGCCATCAACCGGCGTGGACGGGAAAAAACAACGCGGCCGACAACTTTAAACATACACTAAACGTAAGACACTGAATCCACACAATGGAAACCGATTTCAAGTTTTTGGGGACGATTGTGCAATGCTCGCGACAGAATCCACCACAGTTGGCAAATTTTATGCTGCTGAAAATTACAGACCCACAGATACAAAAACAAAAATTTCATTTCTTTAATCTTCGGCTATCCGTACTTATTGTCATTTTCAATAGCAGTTATTACCCCCAAATGAGCTGACAGAGCCTAGTAGCAACGCCAGAAAAGTAGAAGGATATCAGTTATTTGTGTCTTGCTCGCCGTTGCTTTCCACGATTTTGTAGAATCCGGTGGTGTTAAGCTTGGAAGTGACGTCACAGAACAGCGATTTTTATAAACTCAAAACCGGTTATATGTGATATTTTATTTCCTACTTGAAAAAATAACAAAATAAAAACAAACAACAATCGAAATAATAAAAAAACATGGAACACCATTAAAGTCAAAATTTTTCCAGGTAATTCAAAATTTCGACAGTGGTGGGTCGATCGTTGGGATCGGTGTTCCAACATTTCATCAAGATATCCGACACTACGTCGGCGCATTTCGCATTTTCGAAGGGCTTCATAAGGCTCTTGACGACCTGAAAAGGATTTTGGATTTCGTTGTCGCCGTTTACACGGTTTAAATAATGACCTACGTTATAAATTATCGTTTGGTTATTGTCTACTCCGTCGAACGGATTTTTGCGGTACTTTATCTGCCACAGAATCAACCCGAGTGAGTAGACATCGCTCTTCGTCGATGGTAATCTGCCAAGTAAAATTTCCGGCGCCGTATAAACAATAGTGCCCTACACAAAAAAACCTTATTTTGACTTTTTAACTGTTTAACTGTAACGCACCTTATGGTTGAATCTTTCCAAAGTTTCTCCGATTTTGACCGAGTTGCCGAAATCGCAAATTTTACATACGTTTCGCGCGTCGACCAGGATATTTTTCGGTTTTAAATCCAAATGCAAAACTCCGTTTTCGTGGCAGTATTTCACGCCCGACGTTATACCAACCACGAATTTTTTCGTTACCCCCGAGTCCACATCTTCCCCCTCTTCCAACACGTGCTGCAAATCTCTGCCCTTTGCGATAAAGTCCATGATGACTAGACAAAAATTTTGGCCTGGACTTTTGACGATATCCAGAATTCGAACTACGTTTTCGTGGTCCAGTTTCACTGCGTTTTCGTCCCCTATGTTGTTTGAAAACCTTATCAGTTTCACCGCCACCATTTTGCCTACAACCACAAGCGACCGTTACGTCATACCGAAAACAAAATTTTTGCGGCTACCCTTGTGCTCTCCTTTGAATACCGTACCGTACTGTCCGCGTCCTAGAATGGCGGCATTCCTAAAATGATCGAGTCCGGTGGTCAGCAAGTTTGATTTATTGGGTGTATTTAATTCGACACTTTTTGAGTTATAATCCGCACCATCTATGGTGATTTGTGGTATTAACGGGCTTTTTGTGTTGCCGTCGCGGCTCTTTTCCGAAAAATGTAGCTTCCTGACGACCCTGCAAGATTTCTGTTAAATTCCGTAACGCCAGTATACGGGGTTCTTACCCTGTTACCTCATTCGCGGTGGATTGCCTCAGGCTTCCCGATCCCCGCGGACTCAAAACTTTTGGGGAAAAAAATTTTGCTGCTATATTCCTTAACGGCGTCCCCATTGTGCACGAAACCGATGCTCTTTAATCTGCCAATTTTCAAAGACGCTTGTTAATATTAAATGAAGCAAAAAAATTGAAAAAAAAAGCATTATTTTTTTGTTTGGTTTGTTGTGTTGTGTGCCTTTGTTCACTTTTGTTATTTATCAAAAAATATAAATTCTCTTTATGATCGTCTAATATCGAAGACACTTTAATGATTGATATAAGACAGTATCGGCAATTAAATTCAAAATTACTTTGGATAAAAATTGATAATTACTGATGAAGCAGTAAATGTATCTAATTTGGCAGTAAAATTAACATGTCAGGATGGCCGAGCGGTCTAAGGCGCCAGACTCAAGGTTTCCTTGCCTACGATGTAGGTTTACGAGCGTTCTGGTCCACTCTGTGGGCGTGGGTTCGAATCCCACTTCTGACAAAAGTTTTTCTTTTTTTTTACCGTTTTAAGCGACATATTTGATCAACGCCGTGCGTGATGCTTTAAACAGCAGGTTGTTAGTCGACAATTGCCCACTCAAAGTTATATTTAAATTTTGCTCCGGGTATGGTGAACCCGACTTACCAACTGGAATTATTCCTAAATCTTTTCTCAGTCATGAACCGACCCTTGTATTTTCATCTAAAGCGGCCCAATTATCCGCGAGTGCTTCGGCACTACGGCCCATCTCATCTTTTGTGTATTTTTCGTTATACAGGGTTGGACTCTTGACTTGAGCCTCTGTTGGCACCAACTATATCTAAGAATGTATACTTACTTATATATAGTTGGTGCCAAATTCAAGTTAAAACCTTAATATTTGGATCTCCAGAAAGAAGTGATATAACTTTTGTTAATAAATATTTCCACAAAAAAGTCAAACAATTTGTGTTTCCATTATTTGTGCAAGTGTCTTAAGTGTCTTAAAATTTTAATATTACTATATAATAATCATTTTGTAAATTGTTTATTTTAGGTTATTATTATGGAATAAAACGGGTTTTAAACTTGTTTTTGAGACATCAATAAAAAGACTCCATTCATCAGAATTTTCTGAAAACTCAAGTTCTTAAAGAAGCCAGGCAACATAATTACAATATCATCTTCTTTCGATAATATGAAACTTTTGTACTTTTACCCAACAAATTCCACTGTTTTAATCTTGATCCGAGTAATTGTACTTTAGATTTTGATAGCCCCAAGTGTTTGTTGGAATTGAATATCCAGATAAAGTGTATCAAGGTGGATTAAATAAAATTTATTTTAGAAAAAATTTCAAATCAATATTTAATATTTACTGGTTCTGTTCATGTAAAAAACAGATGAACTACACATAAAATACTTAACAAAAATATTGAGAATATGAACTTATTTCAAAATTTAAAAAAATATTTGATACAGAACGTAAACAATTAAAAGATACTGTTGCGAATACTGCGCAAGCGCATATTATGTACCACCATTTATTTTGTATGTATATACACTGTTTAAGATATTAACGCATAAAATGAATTCAAAAAAACCTAAATACATATTTTGAAGGAGGATTTCATTGTGGATCAGCGTAATTATAATTTTATTAAAATTTAATTATAGTTAATATTACTTTTTTTTGATGCCCATAAAATATATTTTTTTGGCAAGGCCGTGTCATTTTGGAGAAGCGGCAGCAAATTTAATGAAAGGAAAATAAGTGAAGTTTGAGTTTTTATGGTTGATTTTGATCATCCGCCAGTATGTTTATTGATGTCCGCACTCAAAAGTGCCTTAGACCCGAAATCCTCTGATTAAAATTAATTTCATATACTAGTTTGAGAACTAGGAAGGAGATTAGAAAATCTTTCATGCCATTTCTGTTAGAAAATTCCGATTTTTGTCATTTGCTCGAATATTTCCGAAGACGGCACTGTCGCTTAAAGCTTTTATTTAAATATTTATTTATTCGGAGCGTTAGCCGGGGCACTTTAACACTCGAAGGAGACGAGCCGCGAGTTCAAATCGTTGAATTTATGCATGATACTCGCCACCGCCTTGTTATCGCTCTTTTTTCCATAGCCTATATCCGTAATTATTTTCTGCGGCCTGTCCTGCGACGCGGAGAAATTTTTCAGCACGCAACCGCGCCGGTTTCCAATTAACGTCGTCTGACGCGAAAATTAAAAAAAATATATAAAGGTTTCTCGCGCAAAAAAACGAGAGAAAAAACACGAGCCCGTTTCCGCGAGCATCACAAAAGCATAGAAATGTTTTCCAATTAAATTTATTTTAGCGTCATTACTGTGAGAGTTTTTGGCTCGGATAAATTTTCATTTAGAAGGATGAATGCGGCGCAACATTATTTCCGCCACTCGAAGTAACTAACTCTTCGGGGTGCAGCCGATCCGCACCAACATCTTCGGAACCTTCCGTTGCCTATATTTTACAGGGTGTTTTTTAATTGAGGGTGCGATTTTTGGGTCAATTTTAAAAGAAAACTTCATAGGAAAGTATGTCCTAAACGCATTCACTTTGAGGTGGTAAGCTTTTCCAAAAAATATATATTTTTTTAATATGTGTAATATCACTTTAGATATATTAATCTTTTATTTAATTAATATCAGCAACCGTTATCGACGGAATAATTATAAAATTCTAAAAACTAAGAGCTTAAATATAGGCCCGAACGTGGAGACACCATTTAAAATAAAGACAACGAAAGTCCAAACAAATAATTTTAATAAGTCTTTGCCTGTATATTCTTTAATTTACAGCTGGCATTTGACGTTGGAAATGTTAATATGCTACGTAACAAATTATTAAGGCTCATGAATGGAATTAATAGTTATATCTCTGAATCTAGGGGTCAATGGAGTTGCTCAACTCCACCGAACCCCAGGTCCCCTTTTGTTTACTGCATTTATTAATATTTTTCTAGTTTTTCTTAGCAGTTACCTGTATGCTTTCGCTCCCTCTACTTCTGATTGCAAGAGTCGAAGTTTCAACTCCAAAAGTTACCCGTACTGTTCAGTTAATGTAAAGTGGATATGAAGAAAACAAGTGCTAAAGTGCTGCTACTATTATTTACCATTTCATAGTTGACCATAATCGTGCCGATGCGCTTACGAAGACGCGAAGATAATGTATGCATTATTTATACAAAATAAGACCAAGCATAAGCGATAACGTTGGTGAATTTTTTTGTTAATGATCAATAAAAAATTAATAGCTTATAAAGGATAATATTTATTGTAACAGATGTTCAATATTTTTAAATACTAAAAGTGTGCATTTAAATAGGTACTAATTTTTTGACTTCTGTGATAAGGAGCGTCATCCTGCTGCCAAACTAAATTTCGTCGTTCCCTTCCAGGCACTTCATTTTCAACAAAGCGTTGGATAATATTTAAAAGCTCCATGTAGCGTTGGGAATTTACATTCTGATAAAAAAAAATATTGCACCTTTGATAGAACTTCCACCTGAACTTTTTGAGTTTGTAAATATAGACTCATCTGTCCAAATAATTTTAGCAATTATGTTTTCTGAAAAGCGTCTCTCCATAAAATTGCTGCAAAAATCTAACCTGATGTTGAACTAATTTCTGCACTGTATTTCTAGGACTTCAAAAAGCATGTTCGAAGCGCTGTTTTTTTGACAACTAGATCTAAAGACGCATTTCGGGTTAAATCTTCAGGGGTTTCTGGCAGAATGCAACAAAATATTAAATTGCTCTTTATTGTTGAAAATATTTTTGCTTGCTTCAAAGTTCCATACATTCTAAGGTGTTGGTAAAACCTGTCGAAGATCTTTTTTTCTGGGCGCCTCCTTAATGAAAATTTTCTAATATAATCTCCAAGAGCCAGGGTCGGGTTTTTATTATACGATATGTAACTTTCTCACATACCAATCTTTTCCTCTGTCGTAAACATAATACGCACTTGTTTTGCTTAAATGCCGTCATAGCCACCTTACACTGACTGAAACTATATGGCAACAGCATACTATTTGTTACAAACGTTTAACAGGAAATATTTCAAAAAGTAATATAAAATTGCCTTAAATTTTGATGCTAACAAGATTATAATGTATTGTTATGTATCGAAAATTAAATTAAAATTGAAGTAATATACCAGGCGTCCCATTTAAAATAAGAAAGGCGATACTCGCTCACGAAGATGTGGCTGAAGTTAGATTTGGATTTGGATTCGGATTTGCGAATATTACTGTGGACCAGTTCGTTATTTACCTTAATTTAAAAAACGTATTCCCGTGGAATTTCCGGGAAATTAAGCAAGGAAATATTGTAAGGGAACTCCCAAAAATCATATCCAATGTTGCCCTACAGGAAATAAACCCTTTCCGCTCGCACCTCCCCAAATAAGTAGATATATTTATTTCGCAATCTCAAAAAAATCTGACGTTGTCCCAGATATTGAATAAGACTATCGAAGAGCCACTTAATTAATTAATTAAATATTTAAACACAGTCCGTTCGACAGGCGGCGTTCTACCACCACACTATTGCAGGACAGTATACGGTTACAATTAGTTTACAGTGAAATACAAGAGTACATACGAACCAAAAAGAAAGCATAAACAAAAGGTAACTCTATAGTCATAAGATTCTTTATCCTTCCATCACATACTCTTTCGCTCCTTCCATTCTTCTTCCTGATATGTTCCTTTTCCGAATCACTTCTTAAAACCGTTTAAACTTAACTGAAAAATACCACAACATGATACCAATGTTGACAAAAAATATCATTACTACCATCTGTAAAATTTCTAATTACACATCCTTCTAGCGTGCGAGGAGCGTCACTTTATCACGTCAGTTTCGTTTCCCACGGATCCGAGCCACTTCGGACATTTCCGGTAATTTACCGCAAGGGGTTTGAGAGCGATCGGATGTTTTCTGAGGTATTTTTCACGCTTCGAATTTCACATCAGTGAACGTATTCTTGTTGTTTTGCGAAAATGTACCCAAAAATTAAAAGTCGTAGAAAAAGTATAGTACGCAACACGTTCGGTAAACTTTTAAGTCACTTGTTTATTAAAAACTCGCTC